GAATCTACGACCATCCAGTTTATTGCAGTTGTCAATTTCTTCATATGCTTCATTCTGCGAATGCTGAGATGAATTGCTTGGGCATAGTTTCTGCATTCGTCCTGAATACACAAACGACTGAAAATCGGAGTAACCGTGTGTTGGTGATGATTCACTTTCTGACAAGCAAACGGAATCTGCGGGCATCCAATTGATCGAAGTTGCTAGAAGTGTCGATTTTCTTCGCTACCGTTGATGTGCTTCCATCGTCAATCGATATGAATGCATGAAAATATCAATGGAAAGATTTTGAAAATTAAGAACAAAAGATCACAAAAAGAAAAACATAATTGTAATGAAAATATCAATGGAGAATTCTTTTTTTAAGGACAAAAGATCACCATAGAAAAACGTAATTTTAGACAAGATAGCCTTTTAAATACTCGAGACAAGATATATGATTACATAATATTGAACCCGATAACATTTTAATGCTAATCGAATACGGGATTAAGGGCGTTCAATATTATGTTGGTACTTCATATCAAAACGTCTGATCTTGAATTGTTGACAAATTACACGATTATCATAAAAATTAATAGCCCAAATATCAATATTCGATAAGTCCTTATCGATAGTCCCTTAGAAAAATATTTTTACTTTGACTCGATAGCTTTACTCACTTGACCTGTTATTGGCCGGTATAATTAGGTTGTATGCACTTACAAAAGGTAAACGGGCACTAAAGGTGTGAATGAAAAAGCTCTCATACATGAATATAGCAATATATTTTTGAAGACTGGTGGTTTTTCGCTTTCATTTAGGTTCATTCCACAGTATCTCGATAGTTTGAAACCAAAAGAAGTACGATATTGTCTCTATGTACCGTCGTTGCACCCTGCGTATTGTTGCCGGTCTTCATTAGTCCAATACAGAACAGAGGAGTAAAACTCATTCAATTTAATTTTGAGAGAATGTAGAGCTACAAAACCATCTTCACAATGTCAAACTATTACAGACTTCGTCTTATCAAGTATATCTTGACTGCATTAGCCATCTTTCTTGTATCACGAAAGTTTGTTAATGAAGCGATTTGGTTGGTTTGTATTTTAGCCAGTCATTCTGTTGAGCGCTCTGAATAGCTGTATTGACTGGAGTACAATCCAATCAAATCCATCATAAAAGAAAGGCAGCTATTACAGTCAAAGTATAATGAGAGCTGCAGTGGCTCAGTGAGTTTGACGCTTGCTCACTAACTTGAAGGTAGCCTTTGGAGATCAATTCTGGCATAATGTCGCGATAATAACCCGGTTTCACCTGTCAGTAATGCAGGTCGGAGGGGTTGACATGCAAAAAGCATCTAGTCGTTTGGATGGGGAAATTAAGAGAGTCCCCGTTTTCAACAGTCTGTGCTCGTTAAAGATACGTCGGTAGTTACAAATTGAAAAAGAGTACACTAATACGGCTGTACTGGCAAAATTTCACTCATTGCACACAACATGGCGTTGGCGTTCTCCGTTTTCATTAACCCAATCTAGTGCAGAAAAGTCCGAAGTTTTACTCCATTCATTTCATTTCATGTCATTTTATTTTCTTATACGCAGTGGGTGTGCTGAATATTTTATAAGCCTTTATTTGTAATGTGAATAGGTAAAACTTGCTAACAATTCTCTCATGGTATATCAGATAACAATGATAAAATCGGGTGATTGGGTCATAATATTTATTTTCTGTTGGTAACAAGATAGCCTATCCACACTGAATATGACAACACTCTCCCACGCAGCAACAACCGATACCGTCGTAATTATACGCCTTCAGAACACCACTGCGGGAGAGATTCCGAACAATCCATGAAGTACTTTATTGCTCATTGTAATATAGGACCACCAGTTACATACTTTTCTAAAAACAAAAATGGCATACTAAGAACATACTAGTTTATTGTAGATAAGTATACTGAATTAACCATGCAGTTTAAATGTTTTTATAGAAACCTATTAAACATTTAAAGCAAATATAATAACACTGCCCCACTTGATAAAATTATTATATTCAGAGATAATATAATCAAAAATTACTCGAAAAACGTCGCGAGAGTGTTGGATTACAATCAATTTGTAAGGGCGTCGGTCCTTTTACATGCTGACCGATATCAGATACCATTATTGACTAAAGATCATGTTGCGTCTACTTATTGTACAAATCCAACTGGCAAGACGCTGCCCCGGTTATTTTGAACGTTAACAAATCCAGTCAGCATGAGGTTTTAAGATCTATCGTTTGAGTCCATCTCATAGGTAAATCTGGCAAATTCCTTCTTTATCTATAATTCAGTTCTATTTTGATTTTGATATTTAAATGACCTAGAACGTGTTGTTTATTAATTTTGTCACATCATAGATGAGAAATCAGCAACAACAAAAACGCGAAATGAAAAATCTACATGTACACTTTGATGAAGCATTTAGATACATGGACAAAGGTGTTTCGACGGTGTACTGTGAATACTATTACGGGTTAGCTTAGCTAATGAATTTCCTTTCAAGAAACTAAGATACAATATTGGTCAAACAGATGGCGAACATATCCCTTTAAAGCAAATATACCAGATTTTTATAACGTACACGTAAATCATGTAAATTCATATAAGATCACTTGAATGCAAAGTCCTTAATATATGCAATACAGCTACGTGATTGAATGCCATTTTACTTTTAAGTTTAAGCAAATAAGTGCATAGTGGCCGAGTTATTGTGCTATTTGAAAAGGTGCATTATGTATATACTATACATTATGTATTATCATACATAACGTGAAGTACATTTCCCCAATGTCAGGCTATTACGAACTCCGTCTAATACCTTGACATCATAAGAATCGCTGCATTTACAATCTTCCGTGATCAGTGGCGGAGCCAAAGCTGGTGGGAGGGGCGGGGGCGGGGCAGCCGCCCCCCTCGCAACCTCAGATATTTCGCCTCTCCCCCCATTATTTATGTTACAATTATATTATTTGTATCATTTAAATATTATGTACTGTACATATACAAATTTTGTATCAGGAGGGGGGTTCTGTCTGTTCCCCTTTCTTTCCATATTTATATAAATAAAATATTGTTTTAAAAAAAATATCTCGCTAGTTTTACATTTGAGCGTCTCTGTTTATTAATAAAGGCTCTTTTGAGGTTGCCTCTGAATGAAATGTTGTATTAGAAAGGCTGTAAAGTAACAGTCTAAGATACGTTTTGATTTACCTTATATCTGAGTGAATGAATGACTCTTCAAAGAGCACAATCAATGCTTGAATATTGAATAGATATTGGCTTGATATGGTTAGTGCGTTGGTGTAAATACCCAATTATAATAAAGGCTACTCATGGGCATCGATCACAATAATAGGTATTTATGGGGTACGGTAAAGTCAATACACCAATTTTACTTTTATCAGCTGGATACTATATAGATTAGCTATCCTGTTATCATAAAAGAGCATCCGTTTGGAGAGGTCAGCGACCATTCTGAACACTGTCCCTATAGCTGCTCGATAGTTGGACACAGTGTGATGTCTTTGTAGGGTTTTTGTATTTTCATTATCAAACGATACAGCCTACGATGCACATAATACGCCTGTTTTCTCGCACCATTTAAACCAAGGAACGATTTTGGATGAAACAAAAAAGAAAACCCAAAAATGAACCTCATGATCTACTAAGCTCATTTTTCATGTTACAGTATTTTTTATTGCAAAATGAGACTGCTTTTATAAGCAATATTTAAGTGTAACCACACCTCATTTGGTCTAGTTCATTTACATGACTTCCGTTTTTTTCTGCAAAATAAAAGAAAGTTTCAGTTTCCTCATGGAAAGCAATTACAATGTCAAGCTATTACGAACTTCGTAATAGCCAGTATTCTTGTATCATGGTTGAGGCGATTCGATTGGATTTTACGACCGGGAATACAACCAATCAGAGCCCTCGACAGAAATACTTTAAATATTATGGCTTATTGTTTACAGACTGTTGATGTCAAGAGCGCTAATTGACTGTATACGCTAGCGTACAATCCAATCAAATCGCTGCGTTTACAAATTTCCAGGATACAAGAAAGATGGCTATTGAGGTCAAGGTATAAGAAGAGCTTGACATTGTGAAGATACCCTTTAAGGGTTTATCATTATTTAAGTGGAAGAAATTATCAATTAATTAAAACTTATAATAATCTTAAGAATTTTCTAATGGCTTCGAGAACTTGATCGATTTTTTTAAGGTCTTGCGAACTCTAACCCATTGACAATTTTCTAAACATTCCTTTATGAATTTAAGGGCGTGATGATATTGGGTATTATGAAAGGCAACGTATCAAGTAACACTTTTTATTTACAAAGTCTCATTCAAAAGCATATGACCTTGACATTCTTGGTCCCTATTAAGTGGTTATATAAAGGATTTCTTTGACGCCTACCTGTTTTTACCTCTATTTTATATGCTGAGTAATAAGTCGCCAAATTATCTATACACCGGTCATAAGTTAGTGACGTGTACAAGATTCAAATTAAATCCAATTAAAAGTTTCTTTATAACAGTTTTTTAATACACTCTTTCGTACTGTTAGCTTTTTAAGCGATAAATTACAGATATAGGTAGTCCGAAACTTAGAGACCCTTTGCCCTAGGTAATCCGAAACCTAAAGACTTTTGATTTTGATTTTTTTCAGTCATTTGGGGTAAAGATTATTGAAATATTTTAAGACACAATTATCAAGCAAATCAAATATAACTTGTTATCAATCAGATTGCTTTTAAGTTTTTAAGCGACTGGACAATCCAGACTACATATATCTGAATGTATTTTTTAAATGGTTTAGAATATAAATGACCTTTCCAATTTAATTTGAATCAAATTCATCTGGGATGAATACTTTAGAGAAAAATGATGTCCCATTCAAACAGTATTTTTCTGGCTCTATCTTAGTAACACCTGTGCAAAACAAGGATTCGTTAGTGAGTACAGAGTCACCATGTTTCGGATTACTAGAACGAGTATCGGACTCTTTTCTGTTCGTGTTACGTGTTTTGCGCCTGGTGGGGTAATCCTATTGTCTGCTTGCAGCTTGGGCGTATTCTCTATATATGTTTGTACATGTATTAATGAATATATTATGTAATTGTAATGACAGAAATGCATAGATCAGTTATCGACCTCTTGAAGGTGTGACTTGACTCAAGAGAGTAATTTAAAGGGAATAACCCTGCACTTTAAAGGTGCTTGACCATCTTTTCATGCTTTCCAGCTGATGGAACTCAACCACCCACATCACTTTTCAGAATCAAGATCCCACACCAAGGGAACTTGTCATTTCAATAAAATATGTAAAACCCCTGAAATTTAACTTGTCCAGACAGTTTTTCAAATCGTAATCAATGAAATCAAAATAGGACCTTTAACTTATAAAAAGCACGGATTTGGGTACGTTGCTAATACTAATAATTTCACACTGTTTAGCTCAGTAAAATAAAGATAAATTTTAGAATAAAAAGAAGAATATAAGATGCAAATTCTCAGGTGGTACCGACTTGTCCCGTGAAATAATAAAATAGACTTAAAGATGGGTTTCCTTATTTTCATATAAATGAAAATACTAATACTTGAATAGGAAGTAGAGGTGTTCTAATGACTTGGAAAAATACCAGTTTGTCTCACATATTTTTTGGTTTATCCAGGCGTACATACATGGACATTTGTGATTGGTTAAAACTCTTAGTTATATGCAATAAGAACATAATGATATGATTAAGAATACATGATAATTCATTACAACCGCCAATCAATCAAATAGTTTGCCTAATTTCACACTAAAAAGGTAACCCATCTTTAAAACATAGCTGTGTCATAATGACCGCAATTAGCCACCATACTCAATGAAGATGTGTTCTTTTTTTCAGACTGCAATGCACCTTTAGGGTTAGAAAGTGAATCTATAAAAAATGAACAGATTAAAGCCTCCTCATTGAGTTTAGACCAATCTCTTTCCAAATTAAGATATGGATGCTGTGATGGTAAGCCCGTTTTATATTTCTTTTTATTACCACCAGTTACATTGCAACAAGTATCACGCCATGTATTTTCGGCTGTAAATCATTGGTATTTTATTCATTTGGCCCCCCCCCCCCCTTTTCTATTTCCACCATGGTGTTTTGCCCCTTTACAATTTCCACCCTAGTTTTTGTTTGTTGTCTACAGAGAGAACAGTTACGACATATTTTATTTCGTTCAACAATTCAACCGTAACAAAGAGTTGAACCCAATACCAATGACGATAGGCTACAGCCAGGCCTCTACAAAATTTAAACTCTTTTACAATAAGTTCACAATTTTATATAACACTAAAATGGGCAATTACTTAGCGATAATTTATGAATTTTGAATTCACAGATTTCTTGATCAAGATTTTGAGAAATTTCAATGAAAATTGTCACATTAATGTATATACTCTTAGTTTATATCTCTAACTTTACCAGGAACCACTTTGGTTCTGTTCGGCTGACTAACTGCCTGTAGAGTCCAAGTTCCCGCCATTTTGGTTTCAAGGTCACCTTTAACAAATATGTAATTCCTTTAATTGTTTAGACAGACCGGGATATTTTTTTTTTTAATTAAATGGATAAGCATTTTAGACTACATTTAATCTGAATTTGGTCTGAGAATCTCTGTCATGATCCATTTATTTCCGGTGTCTCTGAAATGCACCATCACTCAATCACCAACATTTTCGTGTTTCAAACAGTTATTTTATGTAATTTGTCCCCAATTGATGCATTCAAGCTACATATAGGGCCTACATGTATAAAGGACTATTGGCCAATCACAATATTGCAACTTAAAAATCTACAAGACAACTTTAGTCCTATACTATGTATTCTCACAAAGGAAATTATCAAAATTAGCATTGATTTGGTGCATTCTGAAAAATTTGGGGTCAAAAGTATCAAAATTATGTATTGAAATTTCTTAAAATTGCTTAAAATTAAAAGTGGGGGTACAAAATAGTTTTCTGGGAGTGAAAATTCCTACCTTGTACTGTACATCCACTGGTGCCACCACTGAAACATTTGCTAATACAGCTCAATTTCAGCTATTGTTTTCAAATGTTACCTTCTGTTCTATTTCAACTTTTGCTGATTCTTTTAGTTACCCTTTCTTTTCCCTTAAATTCTAAAACTTATTATAGAATAACATTAACCTGAATCTTTTATTTCAGGAGAATCATTTGCGGCATGGTGCCCTGCCGAAAATCAAAATGGTGAATGGGTGGAAGTGAGTTTCTATGGCCCAACATTGGTTTCTGGCATTAAATTACAAGCACCACAGTCAATTGAGGAAGTCACCAGCAATCTGACTAAATTTAGTGTGCAATTTGAGCTGGCAACCTCACCACCAGGTGTCCTGACAACATACATTGATGACAACAACCAGGTAAAGACTGCTGTTCATAATCAGGAGTGTATCTTGAAAATGCCTTAGGGGTGGGCCAAAGACGAGAGATGTCTTGACGAGCTGAAGTATCATGAGCTTCAGGGGTCTGTGGGCTGCTCTAAGCAAGTATGAATAATTAGAGGGCAAGGTTGAAGGTGTCCTTTATTGGCCACATAATTGTCAAGGGAGGCTATCAGAAATTTCTTCCACTGTGTTCAAAGATATAATTTTTAAAATTTTGGGCAATGGTCCCCCTGGCTCCTGATGGAAATGCCACGATTAATGCTGGATTTAAACACTTCTTTTTTGTGGCAGTGGAATAGCTCGGTCGATAGCAAGTTTGATTGCCGTCTGCTATGCAACTATGTTGTGGGGTCACATCCTTCTAAGGTGAAATGAATAACAATGTCTTGGTGAGTGCTTCCTAAAATTTACCTGGTGTCAATTTTCAATCCCTATCATCTATTTATTCATACATTGCAACAAATGTTGATGAATTGTTCAAAATATTTGAAAATCACTATTTTTCAGACTGTATTTGAGAGTCATTTGGATACAGAATCTAAGAGTAATCTAACATTTCCCAGTGTACTGATACGGAAGATTAGAATAGTTGTTGAAGAATTCAATGTTAATCCATGTTTTAGACTGGAAGTTTTGGGATGCAGTTCAACTGGTATGACCCTTTTATTACTGGCAAATTTAACTGTCCAAAAATACGATGAGAATGGTTTTCACCAGTTTAAACCTATTATCATTTTAAAGTTTGCAGAATTTTTAATCACAATTGGGTACATCTGCTATTGAAATGTCTTATAGCTGAAGAGTGTTTAAGTATACACTTTATATATTCATCAATTCAATGTCATTCTACTACTATTAGAACTGTTTTTCATATCATTACCATTAAAAAAGTGCCATGACCAAATTTTTGAATTAATTCTTTACAAAAATTGTAACAAATCTTAATTTATGCACTAAAACGGAGGACTGTTCTAAGTTTTCTAAGTTAGCTTTATTCAAAAGCAGTGGCGGAGCAGTCACTCGCCCGCCTCATAACCCAAAGGAATGTTTTTTTGGCAAAAATATCATAACTAGGTAGAAATTCAGGTAACCTCAGATACTTCGCCCCGCCACCCCCTCGGACTTAAACCTGGCTCCGCCACTGTGCAAAAGATAACTTAAGGTGTGGTATTTAATATGCTTTTAACTTCAAGATAAGGAAACTTGTACAATCATCTTTTAAATTTTTGATGTTCATATTGTTAAAATTTCTGCCCCTTTTCTTTTAATAGAGACTGTTGTACCAGTGGGTATAAAAGAACCTAAATTGAGATTAGATTACATTTCTGAGGATGATATAAAATTGGTATGTGAGACTACAGATCTACCGTCATTAAGCATACAATATCAAGTGACGTGGTTTCGTGATAATATCGCTATACAAACATCACTACTACCATCACTGTCTACATCACAAACTTTACAAGTTACCATCCAGGATTTCAAAAATCAAAAATCTGTAAGTTCACTTAGTGTAATATCTTATAACGGAAGTGATTATTATTTTTGAACACCTGTGTTTTTACATGTTTCCTATTACATAATAAAGCTTGTAAAAATATCATGGGTTCATTCAACCCTTCAACTTGGATTAAATTAGATCTTTCAATATTTTGTTTCATTCATATTATGTGGGTTATTTCATTGAATCAATTTTTTGAAAAGTTTGTGAAGATGTTCTCAAGAATAAAGTTATAAAAATTGTGATTAATATTGAGCTCCTCAATCTCAGAGAGGTACAGTGTTGAAAAAGCATCCCCTGTCCTGAATATTAAACATAAAACATGATTTAGGGAAATATATCACTTATATCGTAAGTTTTGACTCTATGTTTGCCTTAAATTAAATGAAAAACTGACTAGGGATTTAATGGACTGAATTTCCTTAAGGGGATTAGGGGGATGGAAAGTTGAGAAGCTCAATCACAGAAAAACATCAGGTGATTCCTAAGGGTCAGCATTAATTTGTCAATAAGGATTTTGAATTGGTCTTTATGTAAAATTTTTTCAGAAGTCATTGAGAAAAAATATTTTTTTTTCAAATTTCAGCATCAGTGTTCCATTAAAGCCTGTCATTCATTAGACTGCAGTAAGGATATATTTACAGACAAGGTTGAAAGCGATGTATTTATGCCTGGTGTTACAGTGAGTTGTTTTTCTCTCTTGTATCTGGAAATATTTCAATGAACCATTTACGCAAACTGGTGTTTTTTTTTTCGATAAACTGTTGTCACGTGATACTATGATGTCATAAAAGCACAATGATGTAATCTAAGATTTGTGGCAAATTCATGGAACGGATCATATAAAAAGGTGAAAATTGTGTTAATAAAAGTATCTGAATATAAATATAAGAATTAAACATTGGTTTCACTAGCATTATTTGTGTGTAAACACAGTTGATCACACCACAAACATACATCACATCACATTATCAACCAACGTTATCACCAAAGTTTAATTCTTAATTCAATATTAATGTAACCAAAATTAATTGTAATAATGTAGTCGTGCACATTCGAACTATCAAGCCAGGACAACTGGCTCCAATTTCTTAATGTGTTCCATCCCCAGCGTGTACATTTGGGAGAATCAAACCCTCCCTTTTCCAAAATCAAATCTGACAAAAATAGCAGTGGTAGAAAAAGTGTCCAATTTTCAAATTTATGTTTTATTTTGATGGTCCTTCCATTGATTTGTCATGTAGAAGGACAAAATTTGACATTTTATCATTGTGTTGTAGTTGGAAACTGAAGACAGTCTGCAAATTTGTGAAGGAGAACAGGGCAGCTTTAAGGTTGTGGGAAATGCACCACCAAGTTTCATATGTCTCATCAATAACTTGAAGGAAGATTGTCAGATTTACCTGCAGACAACTGTAGCAGACGACAATCCCGTCAGATGTACCAATGATAGAATTCTACCTCAAATCACTGTTCCATCTGCTTCATCCCAATCTCAATGCAAATGGACCTACAGCAACGAAAATTGGATGAGCCCAATAGAAATACCTGTCATGGCCAATCAAGATTTGTTAATTGATGGTACCAGAATGAGCTCTATCACTGTGACTGTAGTTCCTGGAGAATGTCTGTCATGCATGTCTAAATCAGCTCAAATGATCAAGGTAAGTGAAGGTGTTTTTAAAGCTCAAATTCAGTAACGCTCATACATCAGAATGGCAGCCTTTTTCACAATTCAAGAGCTTATCTCTTGCTGTCATAATGCACTTGGATTACAAGAGCCAACTTCAAAACAGCTATCATGAAAGTGGGTATTAAATTAAAAGTGAGGACACCAGTGTCCATCTCAGCTAACAGGAATACAAATTAGAACTTTGCTCTCTTCAAAAGCCCTGGAGCACAGTAGTTTAGAGCATTGAAACATTACATAACGTCATTTGCTTGGTTAATTACGTCAAACAAATGCTGGTTGTGGATTCTAATCTTGGTTAACATGTGAAAGTCTGGTGGTGCCCTTAAATAATTCATTTGTAAGTAAATGGATTATCTGTGAAAGATCAATTCAAAAAGGTTTGACCAAGGACCAGGTGAGCCTATTCTCTGCTTTGAAAGATAAGTGGACTTGTATGAAAATTTTATTTACAGGTGGAAACTTGTGATAAAGATGAAATATCTGTATGTAAATCATTACCTACTGGACATATTACAACTTTCGATAATGTGTAAGTTTTTAATACATGATATCCAAGCAATATCTAATATTTGACTTAAATATAACCGTGTGTTATATTTCTTTTCCATCGATGGCCTATCTAAGCATTAAGGAATAATTAAAGAAGAAAATCTTATATCCCAGTCACCCTTATGTCCATGGAATATGTTAGCCTAATATCTATGCAAATTTGATATATAATGTTACATCTGCAGTAGAATTTATTCAAAGTAGTATCTTATACTGAACAAATGACTTATGTTTGAGGAATAGTTAAAGGGACAGGTGCACCATTATTTGGGTTGATTTTAGTCTTGAATATATATGTAAATAGTCTTCAGTAGAACTAGAAATGTATCAAAATAGGAGTTTCACTTTCTATTTCTATATATGTAATTCTATATATCACAGAGTATCTTAAATTGACAAGTCGTCATTTTAACATTCAAACGCAGATAATTCTGGACACCCATGGATTTGAAGGCTCAAATTTCGACGGTGAGCTGTGCACACTATTACTGATTAGCTCAGCTAAAAAATTCCAGTTTCTGAGACTAAGTTTGATTGGTCAAAAAATGGCCCACCTGTCCCTTTAAATCAATTACATATGCAACCAATATGATTTTGACTTGGAATCTGTTTTAAAGGGTTTACACCAGTCAGTTAAATGGTGAACAAATTTTATACCAGAGTAAAGAGATGCCATATTCAGTGAGTACTTATTTTCATGTGCTTAATGACCGAAAGTGGTGATGATGTTGTGCTTTCGTTGATGCTTTGTGTTGTGGTTAGGAAAAAATGATGCTTTGTTCTTTTAGGATCTTGTGTTAAATACAGAATGTGATGATGTTGATGATGCTGCTGTGTGCTGTTGTGCTTTTGTGCTGTTGTGCTGTTGTTGCTGTTCTTATCACAATTTTCTTCTTTCAGGTTCATGTGTTTTTCATACAGAATGTGGTGGTGTTGTTAATGTTATGTGTAGTTGTGTAATTGTTGTTAGATCAATTGATGTTTTCTTCTTTCAGGTTCATGTGTTTAATACAGAATGTGATGGTGTTGCTGATGCTGTGTGTAGTTGTGCTGTTGCCATCAGATCAAATGATGATGTTGTAGTTATCAGTGGCTGCAAGGGTAATGACCATTTAGAAGTTGACATGTATTTGAATGGTGATCTTGAACCAGATACCACTATTTATAGTTTTAACAGTGGCAGAGAATATGAGGTAAGAAAAACTCTTACCACCACATATGGACATTTCTGAACATACATTTAGCTTTTTAACCAATTGTTGCAACAAATGTTAAAGGGATAGTAAAGAGGTTTTATAAACTTTTTATGTGTATCGGGGACACTGATACTATCAACTTTCACCCTTCCAATTATCATTCTGACGTCTGTGTTCTTGCAATTTCACTAAAACTAACGTGCTTTATGACGTCACTAAAGGGGAGCTGCCAGAAGCTACATGGAATGGTGCAAATTGAAGCTATCAGTGTCCCTGATACACATAAGAATCTAGAAAATCTTTTTACAATCCCTTTAAAATGAAAACAACTATGCTTGACTTGAAAAAAAAGACTGAAATTGTACAAGGACCAAAAACATCATGGAGTCTGATCTTCCGATGCATGGCCCTCTTGTCAGTGACTTTTCTTATTGGGTTAAGAATAAAATGTGTCAGCTAAATATCCAACTCTGCTGCTGTGATGATGAGTTTTCTACACTAAATGCATGTTTTTTTGTTGAGGAGAGCTCATCTTATGTTTTGGAGAGGATCTTTCGATGAAAAATCTTCATGGATTTGGCTAGTATAGAGATTTGAGTAACTTTCAATATTTGGAGCAAAGCAATATTTTTGACAGAGAATTAAAATGATATTTTCAGGTATATTTACCAACTGGAACAGAAGTTAGTGTTAAACAATTCAATGATTTCATCAGTGTGTGGATTTACTCTTCTCCATTAGATTTCAACAACACACTAGGTGAGCTTCTTTTAAATATTGTATACAATAATACATTAGGCCATACAAAATAAATAGTCTGTTTTACAGGCCCAAAAATGCCTGATTGTTGCCTTAATATTAAATGCACATTAAATTTGTGGTAATAGATAATAACTGCTTTTGCTCACTCCGATTTATTCCAGTTGAAAATCTAAAAACGCGCTTAGAAATAATAAATTTGCCCTTTCGCCCTGATTTTTTAAAAAAGGCCTGTAAAACAGACTATTTATTTTGTATGGCCTTACTGTTTTGATATGTATATGGTATATAGCTATTGAAAACCTAATCTCTATGGTGTCTGAAACTGGCCTTATGGATTTGATGCCAAAAGCACATTTTGGTCTTTTACTTGAATCAGAAAATAAACTGCACTTAATATGAAGCTACACATTGATCTACAACAAATTGAATGAGTTAAATAAGAGTAAATGTGTTGACCGTGCTCTACAGGAGAAATGTTACCCAATTGCGCACTCCATGATATGATTTGCAATAAATTGCAAAGCCATAGACTGTAGTACTCCATCTCATTTCATTTGTACTATATTTTTGTAGGTTTATGTGGATTATATGATAATTCTGATAGTAATGAGTATATTAAACAAGATGGTGTAATGGTCAATGACAATGTCAACAATGACTTCTCTAAAACATGGAGGTAAGTTTATTTTTATATTGATAAATCTATTGAGAGAAAATGATTCACCATGTGTCCATAAGTAATTGAGAAATATTTTTATTTGTTTATGTGTCACTGGTAACAATAAATGACAAAATTTCTTTTAAGACCAAAATTACAGATTTCTAAACAGACCTGACTGTCCAATCAGTAGGAGTTGAAACCCATGCTTTTTTGTGATAAAAATTGTAAAAATTGTTCTTATCATTTTAACAGAGTTGATCGTAAGGATACTATATTTTATGGTATTTGTCCTGATCAAATGACGTCTGCTCCTAAAGATGTAAGAGAGAGTTGTGAATGTAGATCAGCAGATAGTACACGATGTCATTCATCTCATGTTTTAACATGTCCTGCATTAAAAGCCTATTTTCCGGGTAAGTGGTGTTTGGTTATATTTTAATTACCACCTTTGCATTTCAAGGCTTGCTGTCAGAAACATCTTCAACAATAGAATATAGTTATCTAAATATTTCATTCAAATATGATAGAGCTCAATTACAGCTGTTCATAGCACTTTTACGATTGAAAATGTGATGTTTTTTCAAGTACATGTACATGCATTTAAGATAATAGTATAATAAATATTTATTTTACATGGGTCAGAATGAAGTCCAATACACCAAGGTGCCAATGTCCTGTCTAACGTATGATCTGTAAAGCCTGAAAGTTTATTCCATATATAGCAATTTTGTAATAATTTTGATAGCATTGCATCAAATTGTTGTTGTATTCCAGATTATGAAGTAACGTCTGATCTTGTAAAATATACTGCGTCTGCTCCTGTAAATTGTCTGATGGGGGTACAAGTTATTGATGAATATATACAGAAACCTGACCCTGTTAATGTAAGTACTATAAGCTCTTTTGAATTTGACTGGAATTTTTGTTATCAGCTCAAAATATGTTAAAACACATGACCTGAACTTGGTTCAAAATCTTAAAGTTGGATGTCTTTGCTCTCCTAAATTATGTATTTCTTCAAATCTTACAACTAGACTCCATATATCAAACTATAATGATTGCTGAATATTAGTATTTTGTATGCTTCTGCAAGTGCTGTCTATTTTTCTTTCTAGGTACCAGTCTGGAGAAATGGATGGAATGAAGCTAATGCTACAGAATTTTGTCAGACAATCAGCAATTCTAAGATTTCCACAATTTGTAACAGTGTGGTTCAAAATTATACAGATGATGAATTGACTAACTGTATCAACAACATTAAGGTAGGCCTACTCTTTCATTTTCCTAAATGGCCTTTTCTTGTTTAAGTGTCTAAGGTGCAGATTTGTAATCAATAAGGAAAAGCTCTCCAATGTAATTTTTCTTAATTGGAAACTTCTTGTATTCAGTTTATTCAAATGGGAAAAAAATATTGTGGTCCTTTGTATTGAACATCTCTTTTTGGAAGTAATGCAAAAATGTCCAAATTTACGATTTGACTTTTTGAAAATTTCCACTCTTCTACACTGTGCATTGATGTAGCTTGTATTTTTTTCAGTGTGTGGACTTTTGGATTTCTATTATAAAATCTTGGTTTTCTCTTGGTAATGTTATTATTATTTCTATTTTAGTATACAGGTGACAGGACATTCTTTAGATTATTAGAAGATGGTTTGGAAGAAAGATGTTCAAAACAAATCTATAAAAATCTGACCAATTTAGTGCCAGACTCTACCATTAATTCACTCTGCCCGAACAGTTGTAGTAATAATGGAAATTGCATAAATGGTAAGAATTTGATATCTTATTTAAGCTTTAGGTTTGGTTGATGCGTAAATTTATCCTTGAGGAAGCATCTTCCAAAAATATTTGGAAATACTTAGTTTAATGATTTTATTAAAACACATTACTCAGTAATCAGACCTTATAATAGTAGAAAATTGATAGTGAGTTGTATTTAAAACTACTCAGTATAATTATTTGATTAATGAACACTACTCAGTAATCAAACATAATAATAGTAGAAAATTGATGGTGAGTTGAATTTAAAACTACCCAATTTAATGATTTGATTAAAGAACACTACTCAGTAATCAAACTCAATAGTAGAATAGTAATAGTGAGTTGTATTTAAAACTACTCAATTCAATGATTTGATTAATGAGTACTACTCAGTAATTATACCTAATAATAATAGAAAATTGAGAGTGAGTTGTATATAAAACTACTCAATTTAATGATTTGATTAATGAACACTATTCAGTAATCAAACCTGATAATGGAAGACAATTGCTGGGGAGTTGTATTCAAAACTACTCAGTTTAATGATTTGATTAAAGAACTCTACTCAGTAATCAAAGATAACAATGTAAGTAATAATAGAGTTAAAATGGCTGGGCCCTGTTTATATACCCTCCCTACTCCTTGACAAATAATAAGTTTTAACAAGTTATTTGCATTTTTTTCCCCCTAAAAATATTTTGAATATTTTCGAACTGCTTGGTTTATTTTTTTCAGGAATTTGTTATTGTGCTGGTTTTATTGGTGATGATTGTTCTGTGAAAGCCAAGGACAAACCTGTAATAACAAGATTGAACAATGATGGACTTTGTAACACTAGAAACCAACCATGTGATTCTGTTGTCGTAGAAGGCTACCATTTTGTTAAGGGTACCAACTTTAAATGTCAATTCAAGAAAATTGAGGTAAATTAGATAATGAAGTTTGATTTCATTTACTTTATTTCTCTGGATTGCATCAAACAAATCGGAACTTGTCACTTTTAGTCATCTTTCCTTGTTGAAATAGCTGTACATAGATGCGAACGATTCAGGAAAGCATTTTTGACAAGGTATCTTTGGTAGACAGATCCTTTACATTGTTATATTTTGAAACCTTAGCACTTTTCTGTTACAGCCTGACTTAATGATCTCATAAATGATTAGTTATATTACAAATTCATTCAAATTTCCAAAAAACTGTATCTTTAAATATTCTTTTTTCTAAAATAGGTGAATGCCACACATTATAGTAGTATTGGTGAATGGATAGATAGTACCGATATAGAATATATTAATATTGGTTTGGTATCCTGTTCATTACCTAAAGCTGGTTACTATATGATACGTGCCTCCAATAATGGACTGGACTACAGTAATGAAGTTTTCTACTTCGCCAATGATAGAGATTGTTACAATTGTAATACCACCGAAGGAACTTGTGCTCAAAGGGTAAATACAACTTTCATATTTTTTGCTTAACAAATTAATAATATGTTGGTTTTTGCTGGACATTAATTATGGCCTACTTTGAAGTAACTGGGGTTAGTTGTAAAATGATAATTATGTTGGGTGTATTTATGTTTGTATGCAGTATGTGAATTTTAACATCCCACAGAATGTTAAATATGAATTTTGTGTTGGTTATTTAGGATAATGTATGATGTGATATCTTGTGTTGGTTATTTAGGATAATGTATGGTGGGATATCTTGTGTTGGTTATTTAGGATAATGTATGATGGATATCTTGTGTTGGTTATTTAGGATAATGTATGATGTGATATCATGTGTTGGTTATTTAGGATAATGTATGATGTGATATCTCTATGAATTTTGTATTTAGGATAACAATAACATATGATATCATATATTGTGTTTGTCATTTTAGGATAATGAATGTATCATTGATGAAAAGTGTCATTTTGTGTTTGTTGTTTAGGATAACATATAATATTTGTGTTTGTTGTATGATAATGAATGTATCATAGATGGAAAGTGTTATTTTGTGTTTGTTGTTTAGGATAACATATAATATTTGTGTTTGTTGTAGGATAATAAATGTATCATTGATGAAAAGTGTCATTTTGTGTTTGTTGTTTAGGATAACATATAATATTTGTGTTTGTTGTAGGATGTATTATAGGTGGAAAGTGTTATTTTGTGTTTGTGGTTCAGGATATCATGATATTATGATATATTGTGTTTGTTATTGTAGGATAATGTATGTATTATTGATGGAAAGTGTTATTTTGAGAATGTATTTAATGATAGGAATCATACATTGATATGTAAACCTGATAAAGACGCAGATGGTTGGACATACACAGATTGTAAGTTAATTCATCAGTTTGCTTTAGCTCCATGTATGGTCATTTTGAGTTTTTACATCCTACTCTTCTGCACCTGGTTGAGCTAATTGAAGATGGCCATTGCCAAGCAGTGTGCAATGACGGAAAAAAAAAGATTTCCAAACGTACAGGGTTCTTTAACGTACACAGCCTGTAGCACACAGGGCTTCGGTTTATTGCTCCATCCAAACGGCTAGAGACCTTTTCCATGTCAGCGCCACTGAACTGCATCACTGACAACGGAAACCCAGTAGAAAAATCCAAAGGTACTATCTAAACAAATGGACCTTCAGGTTAGCAAGCAAGGGTCTAACTCACTTAGCCATTGGGTTAGAATATAGATTGTTTGATAATCATATTCTTTTTGATTTCAGCACCATGCATAGAGAGTACCGCAACATGGAATACAACAGAATCTCGGGCCATTGGTTTCCATAACCATAAAACCTATAACAATGTCGTTGATCTTGAAGCTTGTCAGAAACTTTGTGCTGGAGAACTGGAGTTTTCATGTAGGTCTGTGGACTACAATACAGAAAACCAGAGTTGTCATCTTTCTAAATATAGAAGAACAGACGTACAATCATATTACTCAAACTTTGGCTCAAATATAACAAACTCTGAATGGAATTGTGAAAAAGGTAACTGTAAATAGCTTGAACCCATATCATAAACTCAAGTCTTAGTGAGAAATTGTCTTTCTAGACTAGAAATATCAAGACTGTATTGTTTCCTCTGAAACTACGTGGGATATAAAGATAAGAATTTGACCTTTCATCATTGTGATCTTTTTTCAAAATATAAGTGAATATGCACATGGTTGCAAAGAAAATATTGGTCATAATGACCACTTTGATTATTGGTAACCACACGCAAATGATAATTGCTATGGTGTGAGGACCTTGAGCTTCATCAGCTAGTTAAGTAGAATTTTCTTTATATTTGCTTACCTTTCCCTTTTCAGAACATTGTTCTGGCTTGAAAGTGGAATGGAAGATGAAATCTGCTTTAGTGCCAAAGAAGTCTAATTTTACGGAAATAGCTGATGTATGGTCCTATGATGTATGCCGATTAAGATGTCTTGCCATGGAAACATGCACCTATGTGATACATAATGCTATGAGAGGACTTTGTTTATGGTCTACAGATGAGATCAGTGAAGACCAGGAAATGGTTTCAGCACCAGGATGGAGTTACCATCTGATAGAATGTAAACCTGGTAAGATTTCCAGTTGTCCAATAGCTATCTTAACAAATTATGATTTGTAGGCAGAAGTGTTGTTTCTCTTAGATAATCATTTAAATTTAATGGTCTAGAGCTGAACCCGATTTGATCAATTTATTGAAGCTATTTATATCAACCAATCACGTATCTTGAAAATACTTAATAAATAATTATAATGGTTTTTTGATACCTACGCTCGATAGAAAACCTAAATATTACCTAATTCATTAGCATAGTATATACTTATAATGTTCATTTGTTTAAAATTAAAACCCATAAGGATGACATTGCAGAAAACTCTCCCAAAAGTTCTTGTACACAATATGGTTGAATTAATGTCACTCAAATTTAATTGGAATTGATAAAAATAATATTCTCTCTAGTTGCGTCCTTGAAATTGTATACCCAAAACCATGTCAAAAAATGTTTCAGGTTCACCTAGTGATAGAGAAGGACCTTCAGTATCGTCTGCTAAAATTATACCAACGTTCAATGGTGTTGGTAATAAAGATCAGTATGAATGTCAATATAGTGAAGTGGTCAGTAATAATAAACGCTTTGTTCGATTTGATATTTTATGGAATTTCAATGGACAATGGATCTATGAGAACACTAAAGAGGATAATGTTACTGAATCATATTTACCTGAAAAATATATTGACAAAGTGGTATATGGCACCAAGGTATGTTTGTGGTTTTATTAACATTTCTTGCTTTGAAGATTCTTCTTTCAATAACATACTCGTTAAGATCTATTTGCTGTGAAGCTGTCCTCTACCTATTAATGGTTACCAGATGACCACAAATCTGCTAATGTGCAGACACAGGAACAATCTTGGTTGCCAATTTTTGTCACTGACTTGAATCTTGAGAAAAATCTCGCATGTGCCTGCACTTCCACGACAAGATTATCTCAAAACATGTCTGATAATTGTGAACGATTATTTTATTGTCTGCAAGACAGCGTCAACATCCAATCAGATTCAATTTTCTTTCAATTGCAAGAAAAAAAATATGTGGAAACTACGACTGGAGATTTTTGTCTCCTTGTGTGCCCTGAGCCGGTCTGTGAAACTCTTAAAAAGACTCCAGTTGGTGAAAAAACAAGTAGATTAGCATTCCCGCAAAATGTTCTGAATGGGGTGTTTTTGTGATATTGCAGCCATGTCACTTTTCTTGAACACTTAATCGTCTTGGCTTTCCTTTCGATTCCCCATAAAACTGATAATATTTCTTTCTTCAGATAATGTGTGCTGTCAGTGTGTGTTACTATGACAACTGTGAAGATACCAGAAGTACACTAGCTGTATCAGATGCATATGAAATTGGAATATTGGTAAGGAAACTGATGTTGATAACCATTTCTTCTTTATCGGAATATCAGAAAAAACTAGATGAATCATCACGTTCCAGAATAATATGGGCAAAGCAAAAAGTGTTTCTAGGAACATTTGGCTTTGTCCTTCATTTTCATGGTTAATGATCCACGATTGCTATATCATTGATCTTGAATATGTTCTACACTTCAGGTGTCCACAAATGAAGATCTTGTCTTACGGGAAGGAGAAGAAGGAGAGAATATTCAACTTCATGCTACAGCTCCACCATATATTCTATGTCGAGAGAAAGGAGTCAGTAATATGACCGTCTGCAAAGTTAAACTGACTATTAAAGCAGAAGACAATGGAAAACTGGATTGTCCTGGAGGTTACAAAGTAGCGCAAACTGCCATCAGAATAACCAATGATAAAGATGAAGAAATGTCTGTCTGCAACATGGAACTGACCAATTCTGACTGGCAGAACATGTATAACATCAACATCAAAGCAGCAACAGACAATAAATATGATGGTGATGCTATTGGTAGTTTGAATATTAGTGCTCATTATATGGTGGAAGAGAAATCAGAAGTCACTGAAGCACTTATCGAAAGCAAAGTGAGATATATTTTTTGCTTATTCTTAAATTCTACATTTGTATATCTTTGATGCATTCAGATTTTTTGAGAGCTGGTCCGTTTAGACTTTGCATATAATGAAGGTTAATTGACGCTAAAAATGCACATATTTGTTTGAAAATGTCATGAAGAAACTTTCACTACAGATGGTCCTTGAGGCATCAATCAGTCAAAAATATTTTAATTTTACATATTGACATCCTGAAACTCTGCAATACAAATGATTTTGGACATCAGGGCTAGTGTTCTCAAGTTGTGATCTGTTGCAATTGAAGGGAAATATAGAAATAGCTGATGACATGTTCAATCAAGCTGGGATGGATTAAGCAAAGCATTTGCATTGAAACTGTTCATTTAGTTTTTCACAAAGTATCTTAATTTTTAGTTAACCATTGTGGATGTAGACAGAAGTGCTGTATGTTTCTCTGTGAATGATCCTCATATGACAACTTTTGATAGTAGGTGAGGATAACATCATTAACATCTATATGTATTATATCAAGAACTATTAATATACTGATATATATAAATGCTTAAAGTGAGAGTATGTACCATTTTACTTGGTATATTAAGAAAAAAAAGTAATACACCAATTAAAATCTTAAATACATTACATTAATTTAAAAACCCAAATTCGCTACCCACTTTCCCACTATTGATATCGATATATTATGACCATTTGGAGATGGTACTTAAGAATTATCACGTGACAAACTGAATAAATGATGGAGTAATTTATGTATGTTTGTGGCGTGGTCAACTACATTAACACACAAATAATGCTAGTAAGACCAACGTTTAATTCTTATATTTATATTCAGATACTTTTATTAACACAATTTTCACCTTTTTATATGATCCATGAATTTGCCACAAATCTTAGATTACGTCAATGTTTTACATTGACGACATCATAGTATCACGTGACAAACTACAGTTTATCCAAAAATAAATGCCAGTTTGCGTAATTGGTTCATTGAAGGGAGTTATAGTAGAAATGAAAATATTTCGTGATAATTTCTGTTTTTATGAAGTTGATACACACTTCCCCTTTAATGATTTATGTTTAAAATGTTTACGTCACTTTTTATTTTTATAGATATTACAATAACTACCATCAAGGAGAGTATGTTTTATATAAACATTCCGAATTACCTCATTCGGTAAGTACCGCCAAATTAAAGAGATGAAGTCATTTAGATATATTGATCTATATTGATCAGAGTTAAGGTCCTCTGTGCCAGTGGCGGAGCCAAAGGGGGGAGCAGAAGGGTCAGCCTCCCCCCCCTCCCAGCCCTGAAAGCAAGTGCTTTGGGCAAATATCTCATAACTAGGCCAGAAATTCGGGCTATCTCAGATATTTCACCTCCCCTCGGGACGTAAACCTGGCTCCGCCACTGCTCTGTGCTATAAGCTGAGGCTAGTTTTATAGTAGAATTTCCTTGTGATACTCTACAAAGCATTTGCTGTCTTTTTTTAAGCAATAAATGACCTCACTTTATTTCAATTATTGCTTCAGGTACATGCTTTCTATAGAAGTTGTAATGGTCGAGTATCGTGTACCTGTGCTGTAGCTATTAAAGTAGATGATGATGTGGTTATTATTGATAAATGTGGTGAGTCTGCTGACAATATCTATGGTTTTACTCCAATCAGTGTTAAACTATTCCGTAATGGTTTACTGACGCCTGGTTTCCAGATTTTCAGTGAATATGGTGGTCGGGAATACAGGGTATGTTTTTACATTGAGCTTTGTCTTCTTAGGTAATTTAGGGGCTTCTTGGTTGGTGAGTTCTGCTCGTTCAGGATTTACGGAATCAACAGAATGTTCAATTATGAAACAACTTGGAACAAAGTTCAGGAAGCGTTCCATGTGTGCCAAAAAATAGACAGAAAATAGACAGAATTTAAAATGGCAGACAAGGAAATAATGGAAAAATTTTGAATGTGACAAATCCGCTTTCATAACGGTTGATTGAGGGCAGAATTAGAACAAACAGAACCTGCAGAATTCTCAAATGGAGCACCACCATGGCAACTAATATGACTTGATTACATGCAAGAGCTGTAGTTCCAGAACTGTATTGTACATTTATGTCATGGTCATGATGCTTAGTTAAAGTCTGTCATCTTTTATCAATTAAAATTTATGATGTACATGGTATTTAAGCAAAAAAAATAACATCCATCCATGGTCTATAAGAGTAAGTTTGGTTTCAATGATCTAAACTCTCAAATCATATGGCAATGGTTCCTCATGGATGTGGATTATCTGCACAGATATAACGTCTGCTAATACCAAAACCAAAAGATTTCTTACTGCTGCTTCGTACATATGCTACGTGTCCCAGCGACCTATCTGTCCAACAATTGTCTTTATTGTATTGACATCTATGGGAATAATCAGTCGTTTGCTATTCAGAAACTGAATGTCTGCTCAGGCTGAAAGATATATTTTTTTTAATTGTAGGTGGTGTTACCAACTGGTACAGTAGTATATGTTAGTAGAAGTGTTATTCGGGGATATAACTATGTCAATGTTTGGATTAAGGCCTCAGCATCTGATTTCAACCACACCAAAGGTATGAGAAAATGAACCTTTTCATTATATTGAGCTAAATTTTACTACTGTATACAATTATGATGTAAACATTTGACTCTCCTGGTTCCCTCTGACCACTTTATAAGAGAGGTGCATAAGCGGGTAGAATGTTTGCTCGCTAATCTGAAGGTCCTGGGTTCGCAGCATAGGTCTAGATAATACCTTTGAAATTTTTTAACCAGATTTACCCTTGTCAGTGATGCAGGTCAGAGGGGCTGTCTGCCCTGCTGTCCATGCAAAATTTCACTGCATGGTGTTGCTCATCTTCATTAGCCCAATTAGGTGCAGAAAAGGACGTAAAACACCATTTCATTTTCATTTCTGACCTCTCAAAAGTATTATTTGCTCCATTAACTCATGTTTTTGTGATTGTTGTAGGTTTATGTGGTAGCTATGACGATGATGTAGATAATGATTTGATGAAAAGAGATGGCACTTTATCAACTGATACTTCAGAAACACCTGATGATTTCTCTTTAAGTTGGAGGTTTGTTTTCATTGAAATTTTTGTCATAGTCTCCCTTCTGTCTGATTGCCCACATATGGCTTGTTATATGACCAATTCTCCAGTGTTTTGCTTTAACTTAAATGTCCAAAGTTTACTTGATGCAAATTAAATTGGAAGAAGCAGTGGACTGAGCAGGGGCCACAATATTTTCCCAAGGGGCCATTGCTTTACAATGTAATATGATAAAAAATTTGAAAGATGGGGGTCAAAACTAAATACTGTGTATCCATCACTCTCCCAAATAAGTACAGCTTTTTGACGTGGTAATTTTGTATTTAGATCGTTTCATTGGTTAGGATTTAAATTATTTTTTTAGGGTGGACAAGAAAGATACATTATATACAGGAGCTTGTCCTGAAGAGAATGCTAAGCCAACCCCTAAAGTGAGAGAAACATATTGTTACTGTCATGATGACTCAGACTCTTGTAACCCTGGCAACCATCTTCAAATATGTCCATTTGAAAACAAAGGTATAGATTTTTTTTTATCTGATGCTGTATTAAGCACAATTTTTTTAAAAAGAATTCCATTAGATATTTCACGTCTGATGTGCTACTACTTTTCTTGCAGTATTAGTTGTGCGGGAAAGTGGCACACTGCTTATTTCTCAAGTTCTTCTTGTGTTGTGATTGACATATTTAGCTCCACCTTTGCATGTGCATTTAGCCAATAGGATTGTCAGGCTTATTATAGTGTTGCAGTCCCAAACTTTTTGATAGACCCTTCCAAACCTGCATACTTTTTATCAATATGGCATTCTCCTTTAAAACAACTTAACATTATATATATGTATTTATATTTTTGTAGGATCTGATATAACATTACGTCTGCAGAAAGAATCCCTATTCCCTACTAAATGTAGAAAAGAAAATACAGGCTTCAGTTATCCAGAATTTGAATATGATATCAATGCTGTTCCTGGGGTAAGATTTTACATATATACTATTTATTGATAGAGAGCAGGTCACCTTGAGAGTTATTGAATTTTGCTTGGTTATTTTTTATTTATGAAAATGGAATATGGTGTTTTGGACAAGGGATTGTTTGTTTCATTAATTACTGATATGCATTGACTGGAAAGCTGGAAATCGTAAATTTCCCTAATTTCACACTGCATAGTGTGCCCATCTTCGTAAGCCCATGAAAAAGGAGGTCCATAAAATCGGTTGTCATTTTTTTCTTTGAGATTTTCATTATATCCTGTTACAAAAAGATTATCAATTGTAAATTATATTTTTCAGGAGTACAATTTCCCTACCAAGAGTGGAATGTCAGAAGACTATGTTAATGGTATTTGTAAGTTCTCCTTGGAGTTCTTAGATTCTGATAGTAATTGTAAAGATGTACCTAATGTTCTGTATGATTACAGTTTTAAATCGTGTGTGGAAGATATCAAGGTAAGCAACCAAATCTTTGTCATATTTTGATTTATTTTCAGTAGAATCTGACTTTGTTTAGGGTCTTGAACAAAAAGGATTTTGTTGCATTGCCAAATTCTTTTTGGGTTCCTCGACCTTTCCAATTAATTTAATACCATGAAAAGAAAGTTAATGGAATTAAGAGGTTTATTTTCACTAAAAGATATGCATATTTTAAAAACACAATAGTCGTCTACCCCCGATTTTCTTTTTTCACTTAGCCTCTGGTGGCTGGTTTGATTCAGATTTTTTTTTCAAGCAATCCAACATACTTTTTCTGACTCACTTCTGGAGTAGAAAAAGAACTGCTGGCAACCATGTATAAGTTTTCAGGGTTACATACATGTTGTTTATTTCATATGTACCCTCTATCCTTCATACAAAAGATTCTGCTTTACTGAGACATAGTTGTGAGCAAGCGTAATTTTGTAGTAAAGTGTCCAAAACATCCATGGATGAGATGACTCATGCAGTTTTATGTGAAGTGATCAACATTATTTTGTGTGAATATTTGCAGATCACTGGTGAACTGGCATGGAATAAGGCTGCCTTTGAGAATATAAAAGTCCAATGTGAAATACAATTAGCCTCTAATGTTAGTTTATGGACAACTAATGCTGATGGTGCTCTTGCTCCTCCTACTTCCATTACTGATCATCTTTGTATAGCAGCTTGTGGTGGTGCTGGAAAATGTGTCAAAGGTTGGTTGTTTTTATAAATTATCACGATAATTATTTCATCTGAAAGGAGTTAAATAATAGCAATCTTTACTAGCTGAGGCTGATTGGAAAATTTCTATTTAATGACCAAGGAAATTAAATTGCAAATAATGGTAAAACTCCAGGCAAATAATGGTATAGCTCAATGCGAATTATGGTATAGCTCCATGCGATTAATAGTAAAGCTCCAGGTGAATAATGGTAAAGCTTGTGGCGAATATTGGTAAAGCTGAATGCGAATAATGGTATAGCTCAATGCGAATAATGATATAGCTCCAAGCGAATAATGGTAAAGTTTGTGGCGAATAATGGTAAAGCTGAATGCAAATAATGGTATAGCTCAATGCGAATAATGGTACGGCTCCATGCGAATAATGGTATAGCTCCAGGAGAATAATGGTATAGTTCAAGGCGAATAATGGTGTAGCTCAATGCGAAAAATGGTACAGCTCAAGGTGAATAATGGTAAAACTCCAGGAGAATAATGGAAAAGCTCCAGGCAAATAATGGTAAAGCTCAAGGAGAATAATGGTAAATCTCAAGCATATTAAAAGCATAATAATTGATATTTCAGGTGTTTGTGAATGTAAGGAAGGATTCAGTGGACCAGATTGTTTTCTAGATGAGAACGAAGCTCCAAATTTGTTCTATTTGGGAAATAAAGGACTGTGTGATTTACAGAAAGATCCATGTGATAGAGTACATGTATTTAATAATAATACAATAGATAATGAAGCTCTGTTCTGTCATTATTATAAAGTAGAGGTTAGTATATTATTATACCTGTGATAGAGTACATGTATTTAATAATAATACAATAGATAATAAAGCTCTGTTCTGTCATTATTATAAAGTAGAGGTTAGTATATTGTAATACCTGTGATAGAGTACATGTAGTTAATAATAATACAATAGATAATAGCTCTGTTATTATAAATAGTACATGTATTTAATAATAATACAATAGATAATGAAGCTCTGTTCTGTCATTATTATAAAGTAGAGGTTAGTATATTGTAATACCTGTGATAGAGTACATGTATTTAATAATAATACAATAGATAATGAAGCTCTGTTCTGTCATTATTATAAAGTAGAGGTTAGTATATTGTAATACCTGTGATAGAGTACATGTATTTAATAATAATACAATAGATAATGAAGCTCTGTTCTGTCATTTTTATAAAGTAGAGGTTAGTATATTGTAATACCTGTGATAGAGTACATGTATTTAATAATAATACAATAGATAATAAAGCTCTGTTCTGTCATTATTATAAAGTAGAGGTTAGTATGTTTGTCATTATAATTGGTTCATAAATTGAATTCTGAATTTGAATACTGCATATAATATATTCCTGAAACACTTATATTTTCTTGTTACATGTAGCTGTATTCATAATTCCATAAAAATGGAATCCAAAAGCATTTTAGACGCTCAATACATTGCTGCCTACATCAGCTTATCCAATCATGTTTATAAATTTATTTTCCAGAGTAATGAAACAACGTATAATATTATTGGGGAAGAAGAAACCAGACAAGCAGAATACATATCTGTCAATGAACTAATCTGTCCTCTACCAGAGAAGAGTTCCTATGTTATTAAAATCAGTAATAATAGAACAGTATACAGTTCTCCTGCATTGCTCTTGGTGTATGATTCTTTATGTTATAACTGTAGCTTGAACAGTGGAGCCTGTATGATTAAGGTATGTCTTTTTTAGGACTCATTTATTTCCCATGAGTTGGTCAGCATGTAGTGATAAGTCAACTGTTCTGTATTCAATAATCAAGTAATTGTGATGGGTAGTATTCAAATACAACTCACATTCTTAAATAATGTAGTTTGATTACTGAGTAGTGTTCTTTAATACAATCATTAACTGAGTAGTTATAAATACAACTCACTGTCAATTTTCTTAGATTTGATTATTGAGTATTGTTCTTTAATCAAATCATTAAACTGAGTAGTTTTAAGTACAACTCACTATCAATTTTCTACTATTACATTTGATTACAGAGTAGTTTTCTTTAATCAAATCATTAATCTGAGTAGTTTTAAATACAACTCACTACCATTTTTCTACTGCTGTTAGTACTGATTACAAAGTAATTATTATTCAGTTTGATAATGTGTAAAGTTCTTTAATCAAATCATTAATTAGATTAGTTTTAAATTCAACTCATTATCAATTTGCTACTGTTTGATTACTGAGTAGTATTCTTCAATCAAATCTGAGTAGTTTTAAATACATCTCACTATCAATTTGCTACTATTATTACATTTGATTACTGAGTAGTGTTCTTTAATCAAATCATTCATCTGAGTAGTTTTGAATACAACTCACTATCAATTTTCTACTATTAATAGGTTTGATAACTGAATATATCTGAACACAACTCACTTGGACAAGCAGTGTTCTTCTATTGTTAGGTTGATTACTAAGTAGTGTTCTTTAATCAAATAATTAAAATGAGTAGTTTTTAATCACTATCAATTTTCTACTATTAATTGGTTTGATAACTGAGTATCTTTGAATACAACTCACTAGCAGTTTTCTACTTTTATTAGATTTGATTCCTGAGTAGTGTTCTTAACAATATCTATTATTATTAAGTTTGATGTTCTTTAATCAAATCATTAATCATAAATGAAAATTGATTGTTTTTCTTTAGGTCTTTTTTGATAAATAGATTTTCTTGTGATAATGGATTTTCTTCTTAAATAGTTTTTTTTGGTGATAAATAGGTTTTCTTATGATAAATAGATTTTCTTGTGATAATGGATTTTCTTGTGATAATGAATTTTCTTGTGATAATGAATTTTCTTGTGATAAATATGTTTTCTTGTGATGAATAGATTTTCTTGTGATGAGAAGGAAGTAAAATGTTTCTGATCTTTTTATTTTTAGGATTCAGCCTGTTTGATTGATGGCACTTGCTTTGAAACTGGAGAATACAATCCTGACAATTCTAGAGAATTCTGTGATCCAATGTTGAATACAACTGGTTGGCAAGTAGCAAATGGTAAGTTTACATTGGTCTATATATACAATCATTGAATGTATTTGCATTTTGCATTCATTGAAATACAGCTATTAAATATCTCAGTACATTTCAGAGAATCAAACCCTCCCTTCCCCAAAATCATGAGAATTCTGTAAACTCTGACAGTTTCAGTAGGCTCCATAGTTTGAACTCACATATACCACTTTTCATTATGAAATACTTACTCACTTATGATTGATATACTTTCTCTTGTGAAAAGATGCCATCATTTAATCTTTTTACTTTTCAGATTCGTGTGAAACCTTAGATCTTCTGTGGCTACAGACCAAAGATAAATATTATATCAACAGTACAGTATTATCTAGCTCTACATCAAACTATTCTGATTGTCAAAACTTATGCTTGGCCGAAGACAATAATGGCTGCTTATCCTTCCAACATAACATGACCACCAACAAATGTTCTCTGAATGCTCAATCCAGATCCACAGCGTTTGAACTGTTTGTTCAAGATGATAACCAGGAAACTTATTATAGTGAATGGATTTGTGACAACAGTAAGTTCTGATTTGTTCTTGAATTGAAATTTGAATTAATTCATATGTTGTGCCTTTATGCACCTGATTGGTGTAATTGGTGACAATTCAATGCAATTTGCAATGAGGAAAATTTAGACGGGACAACATAGACTTTTTAATTTTTAACTGTCAAGGGATCTTAAACATGCACAGTCTGTAAAACACAAAGTCTCAGTTTATTGGCTGATTGAAATTGGAATGGTGCAAAGGGATGCCATCAGTACACACAAAAAGTTTAACAAACCTTTTGCAAATTCTATGTCCACCTGGCAAGCACATAGAGCTTAAATTGTATCATTGAATTTGACTTTAATTTCAGATCCATGTGCCACTAGAGGAATAACTTGGATCAGACATGCTGGATTTGCTATATTAGGAGAGAAGATCTTGAAAGAAATATCAGGTGTATCATCTTTAAGTGCATGCAGAAATCTTTGTTTACGTGAAAAAGATTTTGTATGTCGTGCCTACCAATTATTGGTGGAGGCCAAGACCTGCTCTCTTTCTGCTGCATCAAGTGCTGATGCAAATAATGACTTTGTTAGATGGCCTGGTTATATATTTGAAGAATGGACATGTAAATCTGGTAAGTCTAGAAGGATCTTGGACTAGGAAGGGTATAGTGTGTCCAATTGTAAGATGTCCATGCTCCTTGTAGTAGACATGCATTCAAACCAAATATTTTTTGTTCAAGTTAATCCATCAAACCTTTCCCATCAAGTAACTCATCCTCAACAAGTTTCATGTTGTTATCACCATGAGGGATCATCGAAAAAATGACCTAATCACCAAAAAACGTTTTGGTTTAACAATATCTTGCATCAAAGGAATTTAAGTTTGTTGGTAGAACATCAACAGAATTTAGGCTAAAGATTGTGTGAGTGAATTTTTGTTTCAATGGTTGTTCTTCTAGGAAATGATCTACCAATAGCCTCTAAAAATCCAACAGCTAAAATAGAAACTGATATGAATTCAAACTACACATTATCTTGTGAATTCCCTGCCATTGAAAATAGAGTTAACAAGACCTTTAAGTATCTGGTGGAATTTTGGCTAGATAGACAACATGTTATCCAGATGACCAATGTCAGCCTGGAGGAAAGTGCTGATACTGGTAAGGTCTTCTTGAATCCAGAACAAGCTAGAGGTCATGAGTATGGAACCAAGGTAAGTTATTTCTGGTTGTCTAACACCATTGATTGGTGCAGAAACATTGTTTCAGAACAACCAAACATTGTTTCAGAACAACCAAACATTGTTTCAGAACAACCAAACATTGTTTCAGAACAACCAAACATTGTTTCAGAACAACCATGATGGCCTATTGTTTATCTTTGATAAATTAGATTTGAGATGATCTGTTATGTTGTGCTTTTTTTTGTTCTCTTCTGCTATTTCAAATCGATGTTGCAGGTTTTAAGGGATTTGGGGTGGGATACCAATGGTTTCATGTGAACAGCATAAGACTTAGTGTTTGAACTGGGTTCTATTTGTCTGGCATGTTTGGCTTTATTTTATGTCTACAGAAACTGTAGAGAAAGTGTTATGGTATTGATATGCGAATTGGCAACAAATTTCAATGGTCATTATGATTTATTCTCTAGCTCTCATGTGCTGTACAGACCTGTTTACAAGAAAAAGATGGTAGCTGTATGCTCGGAGCTTTAAGAAGCAGTAATAATATTGAACTGAAAATAGAGGTAGGTCCAGATACACCAGTTTTGTGTGAATATGGCACAAGTGCCTGTATTCTGTATCTAAGCCATGAATCATTCCAAGGTGAATTTCTTTCATTGGTACCGGTAACCCTGTGGATTTTCGTTAAATTCTGTGGTCAACGTCCTTTATATGATATAAGTGTAACTTTTCCAGTTTGAGAACCAAGATGAAATGGAATTAGTCGAAGGACAGCCAAGTAAAAGCATTGTCATCAGAAGTAATATGCCACCATCTTTTGTCTGTCAATCTACAGAAGATTGTTCCTTTATGGTCTATGGAAAACTACAAGAAGATGAAAATGACACACTCTGTTTTGGTGGTGAGGTGATGAGTCAAGCTGTACTTGGTTTCAAGTCCATGTGTGGAATTAAAATAGATTCTCAAAATTGGCAAGACAAGCATGAAATTCCTCTGAAAGCTAAAGTTGATTCTTTGAAAGATGGCAACAAAGACAGACACCTGAACTTCTGGTTAGATGTCATGAACGAAGATATGTCAGTGTTTAAAACAGATCTTAATACATTCAAGGTAACAACAAGCTTAAAGGAAAATGTTCCTAAGACTTATGGACATAAGCACATGCGAATGATCACCAACTAGACCAATTTATGACCAAATCTAACATTTGTTCATGATTTAACCTATTTATATGGCTATAAAGGTCCACTGAAGTTACTTTTACATTAAAAGTGGTATAGAATATCTTTGTTTTGAAACTGCAAATTTTGAGCCAAAGATGTGTACTAGCTAAATGTTCCACATGCATAAAATGTTAAAGATCACTGGAATGGATTGGATCAGACCACATCTATTGACAACTTTCCCCCATTAAAGACCGCTTCTGTTCACATACCAAATTAAGTTGTAGGAAACTTTTAAAATGTTAATCTCTGATAAGGTTTAATTACTCCCCTAAAATGACTTGAAAAATATATAGGAACTTTTATATGTTTCAGCTCTCCATTATTGACAAGGATAGAAGTGCTGTTTGTTCTTCCATGAGTGGAGCTCATCTTATTACATTTGATGGAAGGTTGGTATATATGTATTTTGGAACTAGATGTTGCTATTAAAATATAAATGAACAGTCAGATGCTGTTCAGATATTAAAGGGATTGTAAAGAGGTTTTCTAAACTTTCTATGTGTATATTGATCGCATCAATTGGCACCATTCCAATTTCCACATCTGTGGTTCTTGCAATTCCACTAAAACTAACATGTTTTATGATGTCACTAGAGGGGAGCTAGCAGAAGCTACTATATATATGTAATTCCACTCTAGTGACGACATAAAACACGTTAGTTTTAGTGGAGTTTCAAAATGGACGAATCTGAACTTTTATCTGAATTATTTCAAAAGATACTGGTAAAGAATCATCAGCATTTTATTACGATAGCAGACGTGTTCAATTTGAAAATTGATTGAAGTTTATTTCTTTGTTTTCTTTCAGATATTACGACATTTTATCTTCAGGAGAGTTTGTAATGTATAAACATACAACTTTACCCCTAGAGGTTAGTGTCTATTACCCTCTCAAATACATGACCCCAGATATCCCTTGTGGGTGGTAACTCATAGGCTACACCCTGGGGGCACTAGTTTGGGAACCAGGAGCATAGATGAAGAAACATACTTCTGAAAGTCAACATTTTTTTGTTTTTGTATTGAATCTTAACTCTGTCTACTGTCACGTCAAATTTTGGCTTAATGACCCCCTTATAGAAGTGTTAAATGTCCCAAATCAATAATATTGTGCATGGTTTTTTGTATCTGATCCAAATTTAGGTGAGAACATACTACCGAGCCTGTTTTAAGAATGGAATGTGTAACTGTGCTGTAACTGTAAAGGCGGGAGATGATGTCATATTAATAGATAGATGTGGAGCAGACCTGAAAACCTCAGACAAACAACCAATGATAGCCAAGATAATTCTCAATGATGACCTCACTCCTGGTGTTTACATTGATCAGATTGGTGCTGGCATGAAATATAAGGTTTGATTTAAGCTTTTGGTTGTATTGATTGAGGTCTAAGTGCTACATAGCCTATAAGGAAAACAATAGTCTTGCACTTTTGATTCAACAGAATTTTAGAATTGTTTCCATCATTAGGCATCAGTTTAAATAAATAGGCCAATGAGACAGTGGTAACCAAGTGACGTCTCATAAGGTTAACTTGGAAATTTTTGTTATGACGTTTTGTTTTACTTGTTTTTATTTGTATTTTAGATCACACTTCCCACTGGTACTGTAGTTATTGTAGGTCTGGATAATCAACATCTATCAGCCTATCTTAATGTATGGATTGTACCTTCAACTCAAGACTGGATGAAAACACAAGGTAGGCTTCAATTTTTCATTTCATCTCAATTGAAAACATCATTTTATGTGGTGACAATGAGCATAAGTTAACCTTAAATCAGCTCAATTTTCTATTGATTGCTGAATTTTGTGTTTTTTGAAGATGGTGTTGACGTATGTATGCACAGTTAAAGTTGGGTCACAAACTTTTGAGAAGTGAAAATATCTTGTGTTATTGAACAATAAAACGCAATAAATTACAATATTAGGCCTACCTACATGTATGGGAGCTCTCTGAATTATTACAGTTCTCAGAACCCTAGTCATAAGAGTGACAGACCTGACCACAGGGTGATTTCTGAAAGAGTAAGCATGCCCAAGAAACTTGTTTATTTCCTGCATTTCATGATAATGATATTTATCTAGGTTTATGTGGTGATTTTGATGGTGATAATACAAATGATCTTATCAATAATTTTGATGGTAAAAGTCCAGTTGTTATGTCACCAAATGCATTCACAGCATCATGGAGGTAAATGCTATATCGGATCACAAAAATGTATATTTGATACATCAAAATATTTTCAACAACTGTACATATTTTTCAATTCAAGAGACTGGTTTGAACAATATTTTATAACAGTGACCCAGAATTTAGAATTTTTTAGTTTTCAGGAACATCCTCAAAAAATTAATATGATTCAGTCTTATTTTGAAAAAGAAATGCATCAAAAGCTTTCAAATAGATCCAAATATTTTGTCACTTCAGGACAGGTGAGCAGTGATGCTTACTTGCTAACCTGAAATCGCTTAGTCTTTTGGATGCTGTCCAAAATTTCCCTCATTGCAAGGTATTGACTTTGTGGAAAAGTCAGATGTAAAACTCCATTCATTTCATTTTAGGTCAGCTAAAGATTCAAGTCTATATAATGGATATTGTAAAACAGATTCTGATATACAGATAGAAGATATGATCTATTGTGATTGTATTAATAATAACACATCACCATGTACCTCTAATGGAGACATCAAACCATGCCCACATCAAAATAGACTCACATTCTCTGAAGGTAAACTAATTGATTTAGAATGCAGTACAACTTCCTTTTTCGCAGCAGACATCACCTCCAAAATGAGGCTATTGCAGTCAGAGCTTCAACTGAGATGTCAGCTTTGGGCAAGATGGCATATTCACATTTTCAGCCAGTTTTCCCTGCAGGTTTGAGAGGCTGAAAAAGAAAATATATTATTAGAAACCTCCAGGTTATGTACTGAAGATGATTTGAAAGTTCAAAATGGAAAATGAGATACATATTGATGCAGTTGTTTAGACAAAATCGTCTTGTTAGCTTGGTGCATATTGTTGGAACTTTCTCAGTCAAATAAGGTACAGAAAAGTGGGGCATTAAAATCAATCTAGGAACCTGTGCACCTCGTTTATAACAACTTGTGTGGAAAATAATTTGATTTCAGGTGAAGATGTAACTCAATTATTTGTGAAAATAGCAGAGAAATCAACTTGTTCTAAAACACCAGAGTTTCAATATTCTGCTGACTATAAACTTCAGGTACTGTCATAAATTTTAAAAAAATATAGTGTTCATTTATATATTCCAAATCTTTATATTTGCTTTTTCCTGAAATTGCTATATTTAGTTTAAAGTAGCACGTTCACCGTCCATTCCATGGTTTCTGACCAATCGTATCTTGGTCTCAGAAACAGGAATTGTTCAGCTAAGCTGATCAGTAACCTAATAGTGTTCACAGCTTACATTCAAAATCCGTGTGTATTTATAACACCTTGCCTTATCTTGAGACTTTTCCATGTTGTAGAGTTACAGCTAGAATATGACTTATTCAAGATCACCATGCCAACTGAGATTAGAACCAATGAGCACCATCTGTTTAACCAACCAAATGCTCTAAATAATTTGAATATTTTGGTTTCAGGAATATGATTGGCCTACGTTATCTGGTATAACTGAAGGTAATGCTACAGCTTACTGTGATGAAGTTATCAGTAACTCCAAACCAGCGAATATGTGTCTAGCTATAGATAATATCCACGCTGATTTCATCATGAAATCTTGTCTCTCAGATATTAAGGTAAGTATTTTTATTAGAGAATTTTCAAATTCAACCTGATTGAAATGCAACTCAATGGCATTTTGAGCAAATTCTTTATTATTTGAATAATTTATGAATTTTCGCAACTTCTGCCATAGAGGTATAGAGCAATTTCATAGCAATAGAACAAAATGATCGAGCCGCCTTAGCTTCATGGTGCGCTCGTAAATTATTCCTTGACATTTGGAAATATAGAAAAAAGAGCATAAAAGATTTTGTCCTATTGCACACTGCATGGCTTTTCTCTTTATTTGTTTGTAAGTATATGTCGCACTTTGACATTGATTCAAGTCAATTGGCAGGGCAAATAAGTACTTCTGCCAGACAATAGTGTTTGCAAAAAGTGGAAGCTAAACTTCATTTTGTTTCCTTTGACTTTACAGATGAACAACAATAGGAAGTGGTTAGGAACAACAGTCAACTCACTTCTGCAAGCTTGTGTGATAGAATTAAAGTTACAGGGAGCAGACGCTGGAAAGGAAGATGATGGTGGTAGAAACAGAACAGAGGTTAATCAGAGCCTATATGATATTATCTGTCTTAATGATTGTTCTGGCAATGGAACATGTGTTCAATGTAAGTTCTCCGAATCATAATGGGCGCATTCTCATTGGCTGCTTGATTGGTGAGTTCTGCTTGTTCAGGATTTATGGAAACAACAGAACGTTCAACAAGTTGGAACAGAGTTCAGAACGCGTTCCACGTGAAGACAGAATTCAAAATGGCGGAACCTGTTCAGAACTCTCCAATCGAGTGCCACCTTCAGGATTTTTTCTTATGATGCAGTCCTTTTCAATTATGAAACTTGAAGTTTAGGCTTCCAATATGAGAATTGTTATCTTTACTGATATTGTACTGTTCACAACGATATCTCTACAGTGAATAAGAGTAGGTTAATGCTGCTGCTAAAGTAAAAAGTCCCCCATTGAATACTGCTTGGATTGTCCAACTTGATTCACTCATATTGGAGCAGAAGTAAAATGTAAAACTTGACCTTTGTACCCTGATAAAAGCATGTTTTGTCCCAAGAAGTACTTGTAGTCATTGCATTGTTTTATATTTGATTCAGATTAGGATAAGTTAATCCTTTAATTCTTTAATCTGCGTATAGTTTTAATCTTTGTATTTGTAAAATAATGCAGCTAATTAAAGATCAGCTCTAAACTTTGTTATTCCCATTTTGCAAGTTTATACTTGATATGGGAAAAAAATATACCTACTTTCTCAAGAAAATCAAATCAATAGAAAGTTGGATTTGACTCCATCAACACTGATTTGAAACAATTTGAAAATAGGAGGGTTTTAATGGCCGCAAAGAATTCTATAATGTGTTGTTCTGTTAGTGTTACTATATTATGGATAATGACTTTAAAATCTGTGCGGTCTTTTCAACTTGTGTTGGGTCAAAAACTGTGTAGTTTTGTCTATTCAAATCAGTCATATGTTTTAGGTAAATATGTTGTACAAGACCTTGTTCAATACCTCTCGTAATTACTGTGTTCACAGGGTCAATGCTGTGAATTTCTGTTTGATATTGGGTTTTTTGGAACTTTGGAAAGTTGTCTGCAATGATTTTCACAACATTTACGACCTTCACCTTGACCCCATACAAATATAGCAAGAACTTCAAATGTTGTTCTTCTTTGTTGATGATATTCAAAGACATTCATCAAAAGTTGATTAAGAGCTTGGAATAGGAGTATAAAAATATATAAACACTGCTTATTCAACATCTTCGTCCACCATAGTTACAAGTCGTGAATATAGCTCAATATTGCTCTTTACTTTTGCTAATGAGTTTTGAAGACAATATTTTCTCAGCAGGTATAGAACACAGAATAAATGTCAAGTACTCATATATCAATAAGTTATTGCCCTTGTCAAAATATTATCCGAGCCAAATTCTTATGCCACAGCTATCGCTTTCAGAGTTGGCCTGGCGTTGGATTTCACCCTCTAATATATATTACAGTAGCCTATTCCATATTTCAGCAACCTGTGTATGTAATGAAGGTTTTATCGGACCAGATTGTTCTGTTGAAGACAATGAACCTCCTGAGATCTACCGTCTGGTTAATGATGGAATCTGTGATATATCTCAAGCAGCCTGTGATCAAGTGACTGTATATGGTAACAAATTTGTCAAATCAGACAACTTGACCTGTAAATTCCAAAGGATCTTGGTGAGTTTTAATGCTATTTCTGCATACATTATGGTTGAATTACTATTTGTGGGCTTTAAAACCAATGTTCCCCTGTTATGTAGCAGGTTGAAGATTCTGGTCTTTCAAATGGGATGATAAACTAAGGTCCATCTGTTACTTGCTGTGGACATTACAAATCCAAAGAAATAAAGCACCAAAAATAATGCCTGTGAAAAATTGTCTTCTTTCTTAGTTTTTGAAGATTGTCAGCGGTGTAATTTTTTATTTAGATCCAAGACATGAATTACACTGTTATTGCTGATGAAAACACTGTAGAAGTTGCAGCCATGTTTGTTAGTTTTAGTCATATAGTATGTAAACTACCAACTGTTTATAGTTATTTGATTAGTATCAGTAATAATGAAGTACTATATAGTACTGAGACTGTATTCAGTGTCATACATCCTAACTGTCATGATTGTGATACAGCTGGATTCTGTTCCATTAAGGTTAGTTTCATAATTCATATTTCTTTACCCCTTAACCCTTTTTAGCTCAGTGGTTCCCAATCTTTTGCAGCCTTCACACCCTTGGAGCAATCACATGAATCTTTCACACCCCCAAATATTTGTTTCATCCACATTTTCAGCATGTGATGATGTCAGGTGCTCTCTATCTGAAAATAAATACCTCTCCTACACCAGTTGGCCATACCCCTAACACCCTAGTCCCACAGCCCCAGGGGGTGAAAACAACCCAGGTTTGGAACCAGGGATTTAGAGGGTAGTTCTTTACATGATGTCATTTGCTTGGTTATGTCAAAGAAAGGGCAGTTTGGGTAAATTGGTATGGATATTCTTGGAAAAATCAATGTCAAGAGGTTTAGCCAAAGACCAGCTGAGTTGTTATCCTTGTAAAATATAGTGGTTCTATTTTCCTTCATCTTGGAACCTTCTCTTCTGGTCTCCTCTTACATTTTCTGTTTTGAGGCCCAAGCCAAAGATATATTGACATAATATTTGAAATAAATTGTTATGGCCTTGTAAATTTTTTACTTGTTGATACTTTAAAAATATTAATTAAATAATAATAATACTTATCTGCAGTCCTCAATATGGTCTTTCAAGGGTATGTGTTGACTATCTAGCCCTGAAATAACCAATATTCTTGTCATCAAAGATTGGAAAAAATGTAATGGTTGAATTTTGTATTTCATATGATATCTTTTTTTCAGCCTGAAACTTGTTTCTTTGGTTTGGAATGTCACAAATTTGGTGAAAAAAATCCAGAAAATGACACATTGATTTGTGATCCTTTTGAAAATTATTATGATTGGTCAACAGTAAAAGGTAAGTTGATTATCTTATGCATTGAGGATAAATTTTGCTCAATCATTTGTACATGTAGCATGTTTTTGTTCTTCTGTTACATTAAAACCACACATTGGCTCAGAATCTAAGCTGATTGTCAGCAATCCAGATGTGCAGGATTCAATCTCTGAAATGGAGATAGTATCTTCAGATTTTCTAACCCTGTATCCTCCTGTCAGTAGGAAGATTTCTTGGAACTGGATTGGGGTAGAACAGTACTGCTCCCCCTGTCTGGTAAAAATGTCTTCACTGCACACAAATGATTTGCTTGTTAGGGCAATTAGCATAGCCCAAATATAAGCAAGATTAAGTGACTTTGTTTTGATTGGTGATGATGAATATGGTTATACGATTGGCTTGCAAAGTTTCACGCCTGGTATCATGGGTACTCGAAATAAACTGCTTGTTAATGTTGAAATGGTCAGCAAACAAAGCTTTTGTCCATCTGTACCAGCCCCGTCGCCAGGAATGAATTGATGCCATGGCTCAGATTTTATACACAGAAAATCTGACAGGCCCAGAGAGCTCATTTCTGACAATTTTGAGTTGCCAAAAACGTATCAAAATCTATATCTTTTTGATTTTGCACAAAGACACTGTAGATGAATCAATGTCTGCTGAACTGAAGAAGATTTTGCTGAGGCTTAATTCTAACTTGCTTGGGCCAGGCAAGGACGGGGCTCAGCCGTACACAATATGATTAATGTGAAGAATGCTGATTTCCCACAATTCTGGTTTCAGATTTCCCATATCTTGAACTAACTCCAACTGTTAAAGCTGAACAAGATGGCGAGAACTTTAAATTTGTCTGTGAATTTCAACTTCCCCAAAGATCTGATTTGAAACTGTTTTTGAAATGGTTCCATGATGATGCTGAAATTAAGATGTTGGATCTGAATCTAGAAGATACAATGGCCGAAATAGACATTAAATATGTGACTGGTTTTAAATTTGGTTCCAAGGTAAGACTGATAACAATCGTTATTGTTCTTAAAAGGTAATCTGCAATCAGGAATAATCCAAATAAATTTTGAAGTGCATCATCTGTCTGAAAGAAAAGCAAATTGAGAATTTAAGCTTTTGTTGCCTTTGTTAAGTTGTACCTTTCTTTAAAATCTGTGGTGGTGCTTGATTGGTCACTTCAGCTCTAACAATTCTCAGTATGTGTTCCACCATGGAATCAGAAATGGGACATTTGACACATAGAATTAGAACAGACAGAACATGTTCGGAAGTCACCAATCGAGCATCACCATTATTTCATGGTGTTATCAAAGAATTTGATACAGGATGGATAGTCTTGACTTCGAAAAATTGATTTCTTTAGACCTTTGAGATGCAAGTTGTGTAAGGGAAAGATACCAAACAGTAGGAAAAGAAAAGAAGGTGATTTTGATGTTTCCTGGCAAAATTTCCCTCATTTGACACTTCTTGACTTGTAGTATGTATATTCTGTTTGTAGATTGAATGTGGAGTATTAGCTTGTTATGCTGCTAGTTGCGAGTCAACCTACAGTCCACCAAAAAAGACTATCATATCATTCATGGCCGAAATTAAGGTAAATATAAATTTTTATGGTAGATCATTTCATCACCTGCATGAATTTTAGAGAAAACGCTCTAGGTATATTAGTTTTAGTAGAATAACTTTTGGTGTGGACAAAAAAAAAATGCTTATAGATTTTCTTTCAGGGTAGGCAAATTGTGCCATATAATTGCCATCAAAATTATTTTGTACTGTTATTTAGAAATTTTCTACCGGCTGTTTAAATCGATATTCAATTTTGAACATTACCTAATTGATTTACCTCTGAAGTACAGACAATACTTTAGTAAATTTAGATGTCGAAGTCATAGACTTCCAATTGAAGCCGGGGTTTTCATAAATATCCCAGTAGAAAATCGTATTTGCTCTCTCTGCAATGAAGATGAAGTAGGTGATGAATTCCATTACATTTTCAAATGCCAAATCCTCAAGAACGAACGCACTAAATTTGTGAAAAGTTATTACCTCAAGCATCTTTCAGTTATTAATATGTATAACTTATCTAAATAGCCAAGGTACAGAGTTGGAGAATCTATGTAAATTCATCTCTATTATTGTACATAAATTTAAATTAACACTGAGAGTTATAGATGTTATAAGGTGTCAGATTACACTAACTGTAGATATTATTAATCCATACTGTCACTAACTGTAAATATTATGTATATATTATATTCATGTGTCTCAATGAGATTTGAATAAAGATATTATTATTATTACCTCTTAGAATGAATAATACAACAGAATCTGTGTACAATCAGGTAAATCCAAGTAATTATTCAAAAACGCTTTTTCTTTTTAAGAAAAATCCTTTAACAGAATAATCAGAGTCCATTACATCATTCTCTCTTTATATTTTACAGCTTCTGACAACAAAACTGAGTTTAATAGAAGGTCAAGATCCAGGCTTTATAGAAACACAACTGTCCGTACCACTGAAGTATATGTGTAGCCAAGACCAGGAATGTCAGATACAAGTTGGCGTCATCTTGCCAGAGGAAGATGAGCTCCAGTGCTCGGACTCTCAATATTATTACCAGACGGTCTTTTTATCAACTGATGAGACACAAACTTGTCTGAAAAAGATCTCAGATTATCCAGACACTTTGAAATTAGAATTGAAAGCAAGTATTGATGGTCTGGTTGATGGGACTACAAGAAGTCAAGTGATGATTGGTGCTAGAGTGACTGCTGGAGAAGAAGTGGTCTATAATGATACAATTGGTTCCACTTCAGTAAGTGTAACACTTATTTTGGGAAAAGACTGTTAAAGCAGAATTTAAATTTTCTAGATACATTTTTGGTTATGCTTTTTAATAGGTATCTGTGGCATGTTGAGTCGACAAATCCAGTTGAATAGTGGCATCAGGTTTCTCACAATAGTGAGCATGATTGTTAAAAGAATTTTTTTCGTTTGGATATCAGCTTTTTTGTTAAGTTTTTTGTTTGTTTGTAAGGTTATAGGCTAACACGTAAAGAATTTTCTAGAATATATCGTATTTTTTAGATCAGTATTAAAGATAGAGATACCATTGCTCTTTGTGGCTCATTGATCCATCCTCATATGACAACGTTTGATGGCACAACATATAATGTATTTAGAGAAGGGGAATTTGTTTTATATAAACATACTACCATGCCTTATGAAGTAAGTAATATTGGACTTAGTTTAATGGAATTCATACATTCCTATGCCAGCTTTTGGCCTGGCTATATATTAAAGCTTAGGCTAACAATAAGGAAATCCCCTGTCTAATTTCTTTGGCCTCTTCATTACCAGTACTTTATCAAAGGAGACTCATTTTAGTATATGTGCCTAATTATCCACATGACATTGCTCCCTGTTGAAATCTTTGCTTGGCAGAAATTGTTCATCTTTTGCTACTGACAGCTGTTTTGGACATATGATCCTAATCAGGGCAACTGGTGTGTTCATAGAATTGAACGTTATATTATATTACAGTAGAATTACTTTCAACTAAAATCTTATTGACCAGAGTTCATCTCATTTTGCAAACACGTATTTTGGAATCCAAAATCTTTATCAGAACAACTGAACAACCATTGATGGAACTCCAGGTGTTCAAGCGAATTAGGCAGACTCATTGAACAGAAGGGAGAAATCAAGAACAAGAAAATTCTAAGCTTAAATTAAATGATGCTGCATGCTTTTGCATGTGATGATGTTTGATTGGACTATTTTTAGGTGCGAGCCTTTTTCCGACAATGTGATGGTAAAGTATCATGTAACTGTGCTGTCAGTGTAAAATCAGGTGATGATGTCATCATAGTGGATAGATGTGGAGCAAGCAGGACAAACCAAGAAAAACAACCCACCACTGTCACAATTTATAAAAATGGTGACCTAACACCAGGCACTAGAATTTATAGATACTCAGAAGGCAAGAAATACAAGGTAGAGTTTTATCGACATCATTATCATTATAACCTCTTAGCAGACTACTAGCCGATTTAATTTCATCCATATCACTTTTCTGAATCAAACTTTGACTACAGGTTCATTATTTATTAGATTATGAATTTAATGATGCGTACAACAGTAAGATGAAATATCTATCATCACACCTTTTTATACGCCCACATGAAATGGGGTAAATCAGAAGAATCGAAAAATATTTAGTATGAGTTATTGCCCTTGTTCTTGAAAACGCTTTCAAATTTAGCTTTAAAACACTAAAAGGCATGATTGTTGCTGGATTTTGACAATACTTCGTTTTATTATTCAGTCCACAACTTTATAACTTAGGTGGATGAAGTATATTCCAATTCAAAGCTCTTAATCAATTTTTGTGAACATCTTTGAACTTCATCAACAAAGAAGAATCACATTTGAAGTTCCTGCAATTTTTGAATGGGGTCAAGGTGAAGGTCATAAAAGTTGCTCAAATCGGAACGAAAATTTTCACTATTTTCATGACTTTCTAAAGTAGTAAATGTGAGAGAAACCCAATATTGAAATGAATTCAAAACAGTCACCTTGTAACATTGGTAGTCATGATAGGTATTGAATGAACCTAATTTTCATTTTATTGATGACATATTTGATGTATCTTGAATAGATCCAACTACCTACTGGAACGCTAGTATTTATACAACCAGGCAAGAAGAGGCATGAGAAAGGCTATCTTAATGTATGGATTCAAGCCTCTCCAACAGACTATGAAAGAACACAGGGTTTATGTGGAACATTTGATGAAGATGTTGATAATGATCTCCAACAACCTGATGGTCAAGTCTATGCTGGTCAGGAAAGAGAACCTGATGCTTTCTCTCTTCAATGGAGGCAAGTTTTTATGATCTAGTTTGATATAGACAAGATGGGGTGCCGCTTAGTTCCTGCAAGCAATATGTTTTAGGCATCTAAATGCTATGAAATGTACAATCACTGTGTGACAAATAAAATACTCTGACAAATCAAATGATTAAAATACAAAGTAGGCTTGACACACCTTAAAAATATGGGCTAGACACATCTTGATATATATGTTTTAAAGATATTGATGTCTAATAATGTCAGGGTATGCTTACTCTTCAAGACACCTGATACCAGTTTTTAACATGAAATACTTACTCACTGGTCAGCTGTAATGGACAAATGTTATTGCCTTTACAGAGTTAAAGAAGCAGAAAGTCATTATTCTGGTATATGTGAAGAACTAGAGAGTAACAATAAACAACTAGTTTACTGTAAATGTTTACCATCAGGACCAGAGTGTTCACCTTATAATGATATAGTATCTTGTTATCAGGATGATGATATAGAGCTCTCCATTACAGATGGTATGTTGGTCCTTTCCCAAGATGCAATAATCCTTGTTCCTCTTGAAGCCGACATACGTTCAATTATTTGGTTTAAAAATGAAAATTTCTATTAATGAAATATAGTTATTTTTCAAATTTTTGAGACTCTGAAAAAAAAAGCTTATGCTATGTGATTAGGTTTGGTCATCTTTTAAAACTTAATATTTCCCTCATTGCACACCTCATGGTCTTACTGTCTTTATTGTAATAGGAACTGATGTAACCAAGTTGTTTTTACAAGAAGCTATATCACCATTAGGCTGTACAGTAGATACTAAAAAAGTTATCTTCGAATATGAAGTAGACTACATATCAAAGGCAAGTATTTGTCGGATTTTTAAAGATTTATGTAAAATTCTAGTGAATTATGTGACAATGTTTACTGATTTTTAAACAATGACAATGTTTGCTGGTATATCTGGACATTGACAATGTTTGCAGTTATTGTTACACTGGTAATGGTTGCTGATTTCTGAACAATGACAATGTTTGATTATTCCAAAAACTGACATTGTTTACTGATTTTTAAACTCTGACAATGTTTGCTTACTGATTTCTTAGTCTGACAATGTTTGCTGATTTCAGAGCACTGTTAAAAATTGCAGTATGCTGATTTCTGGATACTGGCAATGTTTGTTGATTTATGAACTGATAATGTTTGCTGATTTTTTAAACTCTTACAATGTTTGCTCACTGATTTCTTAGTCTTCAATGTTTGCTGATTTTTGAGCACTGTTAAAAATTGCTGTATGCTTATTTCTGGACACTGGCAATGTTTGTTGTTTTCTTATGATTGACAATGTTTACTGATTTTAGGTATCGACATTCCCAACTCCACTTGGTAAAACAGAAGATGATGCACGCGAGTATTGTTTTAATTATATTGTTAGTACAAGTATTGGTGGATCATGTTATGAAATTGGATTACTCGATGCTGAGATCGAGAGAACCTTACAATCCTGTATCATTGATATTAAGGTAGTTTCATCTTCTGAAAGTTTTTTCTTATTCATTTGATTTATGTATGACAAGATACATAACTTATTTTTTATTTACACACCATTAGAAAGAAAGAAACAACTATGTTATACAAGGATAACAACTTAGGTTCACAGTTAAGGATCCTCTCTACCTGCTGGTCCTTGGCCAAATTGATCTCTCCCAAGCAGATAACTCTGGCCTTTGATATTCTTTGAACTATTACCTCTAAGCTATTCTGCATTTGTAAGCTTTACTATTGATATTACTACTTTGTTCATTCTGAATTTTGGTCAGTTTTTGTGGTCACACAACTGCCTTCTGATAACCGTCTAAACAATATTTCTGCAATTTGCGCTATTTTATGTCTTGATTGCAGTTTTTCCTATGTTAGACCAAACCTTGTGCATGGAAGCGTTTTACATAAGGTGTGCCACTTCTAATGAAAAATTTGGGATTTTTTGTTTTAGATCACAGATGATTTGACATGGGCAGAAAATGCTTTAACCAACTTTGTTGAGCAATGTTTATCACTATACAGTAGAGATGTCACCTTATGGAGTAGAGGAAGAGTAGATTTTATCGTCACTGAAATTTGCCCTAATCTGTGCAGTGGAAATGGTTATTGTTCTCAAGGTATGAAATATTTTAACTTCTTACTATTCATGGATGAAAACTCTAAAATATGGATAATAAAAATTTGTACAAGCAAGACAAATCCATCGATCAAAATCTTGTCCAAAGTATGGCAAAATTGAGTGTAAAAGTTGCATAATAGGTGACTCCTCCAAAGAGAAGTACCATCAGGTGTTTTTTGAAAAGAGTTAGCATGATCTGCTTCGTGTGACACCCACCATTGAAATGTTTGGCGGAGAACATGTTGATTTAGTATGAATTATTGTTGTACTGTGTTCTTTAGGTGGGTGTAAATGTAATGAATTATTGTTGTACTTTGTTTTCTAGGTGCATGTAAATATAATGAATTATTGTTGTACTTTGTTTTCTAGGTGCGTGTAGATGTAATGAATTGTTGTACTGTGTTCTTTAGGTGGGTGTAAATGTAATGAATTATTGTTGTACTTTGTTTTCTAGGTGCATGCAAATGTAATGAAATATTGTTGTACTTTGTTTTCTAGGTGGGTGTAAATGAAATGAATTATTGTTGTACTGTGTTCTTTAGGTGCGTGTAAATGTAATGAATTTTTGTTGTACTTTGTTTTCTAGGTAGGTGTAAATGTAATGAATTATTGTTGTACTTTGTTTTCTAGGTGCGTGTAGATGTAATGAATTATTGTTGTACTGTGTTCTTTAGGTGCGTGTAAATGTAATGAATTATTGTTGTACTTTGTTTTCTAGGTGCATGTAAATGTAATGAATTATTGTTGTACTTTGTTTTCTAGGTGGGTGTAAATGTAATGAATTATTGTTGTACTTTGTTTTCTAGGTGCATGTAAATGTAATGAATTATTGTTGTACTTTGTTTTCTAGGTGGGTGTACATGTAATGAATTATTGTTGTCCTGTGTTCTCTAGGTGCATGTAAATGTAATGAATTATTGATGTACTTTGTTTCCTAGGTGCATGTAAATGTAATGAATTATTGATGTACTTTGTTTTCTAGGTGCGTGTAAATGTAATGAATTATTGTTGTACTTTGTTTTCTAGATGCATGTAAGTGTAATGAATTATTGTTGTACTTTGTTCTCTAGTTGCGTGTAAATGTAATGAATTATTGATGTACTTTGTTTTCTAGTTGCGTGTAAATGTAATGAATTATTGATGTACTTTGTTTTCTAGATGCGTGTAAATGTAATGAATTATTGATGTACTTTGTTTTCTAGATGCGTGTAAATGTAATGAATTATTGATGTACTTTGTTTTCTAGATGCATGTAAATGTAATGAATTATTGTTGTACTTTGTTCTCTAGGTGCATGTAAATGTAATGAATTATTGATGTACTTTGTTTTCTAGTTGCGTGTAAATGTAATGAATTATTGATGTACTTTGTTTTCTAGGTGCGTGTAAATGTAATGAAGGATATATAGGAGCTGATTGTTCTGTCAATAAAACAGTAGCGCCCTCTATCAAATTTACTACTGGAAACCAGTGTGATTTGAAAGTGAATGAATGTAAAAGTATTGGTATATTGGGTGGACCGTTTATCATCTCTGACAACCTTACGTGTATTGTCACCAAATTACAGGTAATTCATGAAAACAAACTTACCAATTTTCAATCAGATGTATGTGGTTCCTGCTATTCCACTTAAACCTTTTAAAGCTATCTTGTACTTCTGCATTGCCCATCATAAAAAAATCTTTACCATGGATAGGTACAGTTGAAAAAGACATGTGCTTGGTATCCCCTGTGTTGTACGTAAGAACCTCTAGAGGATATTGGTATCCGAGGCTGGTAACCAAGGATCTAATTGTTGACATTTTCCTTTCAGTATGATGGCGAATACAACTACGTATCAACTGGTGTTACAGTTACTACACAAACTATATTTTTTACCTATGAATATATCCAATGTAAACTGCCATCTAAAGGCTCGTATGAAATTAGTGTTACTAATAATGGTTTACTGGTCAGTACAGTCCAGACTTACAAAGTCTACGATACAAGATGTTTTGAATGTTCTGCTGATGGATGCAAGCTGAAGGTAATGACATTTGTCAAAAACAGTTAGTCATCAGTAATATTGTTACTGAGGCAGCCATAGATTTACAGAGTATATCAAAGATATATGCTCACCATGAAACATGGCTGGATCTCTAATTCTGGTTGCTATGCAATTTGACAATTAGTTACTAACAATAGCTGAAAACAGAACCTTGTCCACACTTTGAGATAGTAAATATCTTATTCCAACTCAATTCAGCAGAAGTCTGCTTCCAGATTACTGTGGTTTGAGCATATGGTTGGTTGAATATTTTCTTGATCATTAACATTTTGTTCATTAAATTTGTTCAGATTCTTGAGCAAAATAGATGTAAACCCATAAGGAAAAAAGAAGCATCTTAAACTGTTTCATAATCACATTATCTTGATCTACATGTATCATCAGCTTTTAGCAAAATGGCTGTTTGAACCTAGCTATCCATTATGTAAATATGTATTACCAATGGTTTATTTCAGGACAAATATTGTTATATAGATGATACATGTTATAAAATAGGAGATACATCTGATGAGAATGATAATTTATTATGTGATCCTCAACGTAACATTACTAGCTGGACAAATCGTCAATGTAAGTTGTCACTTTTCACTTCTGCATCAAACACTAATTAGTGTTTGATGCAGCCATGCCTGCAGTTGTCATAGAAACAGTTCCAGAATTGCATACTTGTCTTTTGAAAAGTAGAATGTAAATACTCATTTCATTTCACATCTGACAGGCCAAATTTCTGACTATTTAGTACATGTCTGCCATTTTGTTTTTCAGCCTTTACTGATATAGGAGTGATCCCTACCTTAAAAACCAGCTATAATAAAACAGAGCCAATGTTTAACTTTGTCTGTGACTGGTCTAGTTACGTTGATAATGATACTACTCTCACTATCTTTACACAATGGTTTGTGGATGATGTCCAAATTACTGAAGTAGAAATAGAAAGAAATGTCACCATGGATACTTTACCACGATCCTCCATTGATAGTTTGGATTATGGTACTAAGGTAAGTTTTGCCAATTTTAACTCATTTTGCTTTCTTTCCTACATTATGTTTTATGGTGACTCATTGAGTTAGACACCTACCAAGAAGGTCAGATATACTTGTGGTTATTTCAGTTACCAACTGTGAATGTTCAAGATCCCTTAATTATTGGCTCTCATTTTTTTATATATGTCTTCGTCAACTTTTTCGTCAATATTTTATAAGTATGGGGTTACCATAGCATATGCCGTTAAACCTCTTCAATAAATAATGAGACTTTATCCAAATGACTTCATAGGAGGCATTGAATTTTAACCAATCTAAAATATCCTTTTCGTACAAAAGGGGTCATTACATATTTTTATTGCAGGTTTTCTGTGGTTTAGTTGCATGTATAACAACAGATTGTAACAATACCAGAAGTCCATTAGTCAAATCTGAGGATTTTATTGTGGAAATTCAGGTTAGTGGGTGTTTTGGTCTATTAATATAGCCAATCATTTCAGTTTCATTACCTTATGGACATACAAGGATTTCAGATTTCAGATTTTCAGCAGAATACATTGGATCAGAACAATGCTTGTGAAAAAGGCCATTGTGAAACCATAAGATTTCTGCTACTCTGTTAAAGTTCAAAAGATGCCTACTCTCATTCACTAATTAGACGCAAAGCAGAACATACTCATCTTCTGACACCATGCAACTGTGCTCCATCTTAGTTTTGTTATTTTTGGTAATTTATTTCCATAATTAAAAATGTTCTATTGAGATTGTGTTTCTTTCTGGTAGGTCATAACTAAATCTACCTTAAAAATTAAAGAGGGTGAAGATGGTAAAGTTTTCAGAGTCAAATCAACATTTCCACCATCTATTCTGTGTCCAGAAACCAAACCAGATTGTTCCATTCAACTGAAATACCATATCCCGTCTGATGCAAAAGACATCTATTGTCCGAGTTCCAAACAAATCATGCCGCAAGCTGTAATTGAACAAGTCAAGGGGGATAACTCTACTGTACCAGCCTGTGGTATTTTCCTAACAGAAGAGAATTGGATGACGCAGTTTACTATTTCTGTCCGAGCAACAGTTGATCTGAAAAAAGACAAGAACCAGAAACGCAAAGTTATGATTAGCACTGAAATTCCCTCCAGAAATTCTACAGTGACCTTTGTTACTTATCAAATTGGTCAAATTAACGTAAGTTGCTTTATTTTTCAAAAACCGTACTTAAGGACCTAATAGTTAGTTTGGGAAATAATATCTCATGCTTTAGCTTTTGGTGCAACTTATTTCGCTTAAACTGTATTCAGTATTTAAGAACTGAAGTATACAGTGAAACTGGAGGGTATGAAAACATTGCAAGTTATGGCATTGCATGAAACTTTTGAAATAAAACATACACATTTATTCTTTTCTTCATTTTCAAATGGTGGTGGCATTGAAATCAAATGTTTTTCTGGGTGGTTTCATGAAATTCTGGGTCTTGTGTCGCAATAAATTTCAAAATCAATATTTATTGTCTCAAGTCTGGTATTTCTCTATGTAAAAGTTTATATTTATATAAATATTAATAATATTAATAATATTAATAATATTAATAATATTAATAATATTAATAATATTAATAATATTAATAATATTAATAATGATATTAATAATATTAATAATGATATTAATAATATTAATAATTGTAAGGTTATTTTTGCTTACAGTTAGAAATAGAAGATAACGACAAGGGTTCAACTTGTTCTTCTGTCAATGATCCTCATATTACAACATTTGATGGTAGATACTATAACAACTTCTTCCTGGGAGAGTTTATTTTATACAGACATGTTAAATTCAGTTACGCTGTAAGTAGGCTTAATATTTAGTGTGTCTGATAGAAAAGCAGAAGTCTGCAGGGTGAGGGGTTTGGGTTCTGCTACGGAGCACGAGAACTATCTTGACATTCAGTGTAGTATGAGATGATCTGATCGATTCTCTCATTCTGCAGCGTTTGGGATTGGTTCTATTTTTTTTCTACCTTCCTTTGTTCTTCAAAGCACATCCAAGTTTTAGCTTGTAAATACTCGAGAAGGCACGACAGATTATGACATTGGCCTTGCTCCCCCGTATTAACAAATTTTGTTTATTTCTTTAATTTTGGTACATCTAGGTTCATGCCTTCTACAGACCGTGCTCTAGTAATAACAAGAGAAAAGGAGCATCATGTAATTGTGCTGTAGCTGTTAAAGTAGATGATGATGTAGTTATCATAGATAAATGTGGGCCTAAGAAAGATTATAATAGAAAGCATCCAGTCACTGTCACTTTGTATAAAAATGGCGAGGTGACACCTGGTTTCCAAGTCATACAATATAACAAGGGCAGAAAATACACTGTAAGTTTGGTCTGAAGATCGCAGTTTCGTATATCAATTTATTTTTGAAAAGAAGTTTGTCTATCTACATTTATTTAATAACTTTAGTTATTTATTTACAAACTTATGTTTTTCCTGTAATTTTTCAAGATGTCTGATTTAGTGTTATCTAATTTCTGATAGAATTACAAATTATTTTTTTCAATTGATATGGATTAGAAACAAGTGTTCTATACATCAGAGTAGACCAAATATAACATTATTTTAGATTATGTTACCAAGTGGTATGATTGTCTCTGTTAAAGTTAACGGACGTAATATCAACCTGTTTGTTCAAGCCTCCTCTGTGGATTTCAAGCAAACAGAAGGTAGAGTGTTTTTCTTTGCTTTGGTTATATATGCAATTGAATGAAATGGGAATCTATAATACCAATTAACTATAATTAAATTTAAAGGAGTAAGGAGGTTTTCTAAAATTTTGTATGTGTGTTGGGAACACTGATGGTATCAATTTACACCATTGCAATTTTCAACCAGAAGTTCCTGAAATTCCACACGAACCAAGTGTTTGATAACATCATTAATGTGATACAAGCATATTTTGTCTTTAGTTTTAATGAAATTGCATGAACCACAAGCATCTGATTGAAAATTAGAATGATGCAAATTGATGCTATCAGTGACCCGATACATATACAATTTGTTTTGAAAACCTCTTTACAAACACTTTATAATGAACGATTTTGTAGCGTTGCTGATATGCTAACTTGATCAATTTATTTAACCTTCAGCTTGATTTCACTGTTGTCGTGAGTTAGTATTTCTACCAGTTACATCTGATTGTTGATTTCAGGTTTATGTGGTACCTATGATAATGATAAAGACAATGACTATCTGACACCAGATGGAAAATATCTGTCTCTCAAGGGTAAATTCCCAGATGACTTCTCAAAACTTTGGAGGTAAGTTTGACTTATTTACTTATTTCATTAAATTAACATAATAATTTTCTACTCCAGCTAATGAAGATGGGTACATCTATACATAGGCTACTTTGTGGTTTGTCAGGAAAGCTCCAGTGACTAACATTTATTCAATTAGCAGCTGTTAAAGTCCTGGTTCCTAACCTGGAGTGTTTTCACCCCCTGAGGTTGTGGGACTAGGTTGTTAGAGGTTTGGCCAACTGGTGTAGGAGAAAAATTTATTTTCAGTTGAGAGAGAACCTCACATGTGAAAGGGTGTGAAAGGTCCACATGATTGCTCCGGGGGTGTGAAGGCTGAAATAGATTGGGAACCACTGTGTTGAAGAATCATTAACATGGACAGCCTGCAGCAATTAGGCCTTGATTTATTGTCCCTTCTGAACAACGAGATGCTTTTCACTTGAAAGAGGAGGTGGAGATGTGTTATTCATCATATAAAAAATTGCTACAATAAATGTTTTCAGAGTAAACAAAAAGGACAGTATATATGGTGGTGTATGTGCTAGTACTGAACTATCAAGACAAACTGCCACCACATATTGCACATGTGGACAAGGTGGAGATATCAGTTGTGCTGGAAATGGTTTTGTACGTGGCTGTTTTGATAGTTTGAAGAAACGAAAACGAGGTCAGTATAAGACAAAATTCCTTATCAGTATCCAACTATATATAATACATGATATTTCGAATTTGGATTGTAGGTACTGATGCAACAGACTATCTGATATCACAATCATATACTAAAACTACAAACTGTGATACACAACCAAATACAATATTTGTATTCGACTATATGATACATGATATTATAAATTTGTATTGTAGGTACTGATGTAACAGACTATTTGATATCACAATCATATACCAGAACTACAAACTGTGATACACAACCAGATACAATATTTGTATTCGACTATATGATACATGATGTTATAAATTTGTATTGTAGGTATTGATGTAACCGACTATCTGATATCACAATCATATACAAGAACTACAAACTATGATATACAACCAAATACAATATTTGTATTTGACTATATGATACATGCTATTATAAATTTGTATTGTAGGTACAGATGTAACAGATTATCTGATATCACAATCATATACAAGAACTACAAACTGTGATACACAACCAAATACAATATTTGTATTCGACTGTATGATACATGATATTATATATTTGTATTGTAGGTATTGATGAAACAGACTATCTGATATCACAATCATATACCAGAACTACAAACTGTGATACACAACCAAATACAATATTTGTATTCGACTATATGATACATGATATTATATATTTGTATTGTAGGTACTGATGTAACAGATTATCTGATATCACAATCATATACCAGAACTACAAACTGTGATACACAACCAAATACAATATTTGTATTCGACTATATGATACATGATATTATAAATTTGTATTGTAGGTATTGATGAAACAGACTATCTGATATCACAATCATATACCAGAACTACAAACTGTGATACACAACCAATGTATTCGACTATATGATACACGATATTATAAATTTGTATTGTAGGTACTGATGTAACAGATTATCTGATATCACAATCATATACAAGAACTACAAACTGTGATACACAACCAGATACAATATTTGAATATGATGAAACCTATATACATAAAGTAAGTTCACCATTTATTTAACTTAGATGGCTTTTGGCATGAAATCAAAATTTGTAAAGTAATGTACCAAAACATTTCCGAAAGGAATGCAAGGATGTATTCAGAGAGCATTAGACCTTTTGTTGGCGTCACAAAATCTCATCATTGGAGAGGGCAGAAATTTGATTGGCTGGGTATTATCAAACTGATGAGGCCCGTCTTTAGACCCGAACTGAAGTGATCTACTTAGCAATTCCTGTTTCGAAGACCAAGGTACGATTGATAAACCATAGCCTTGAACATTAATTGTTTTCATACATTTTCTTTTTCCTAGATTCCAACATGGCCGTCTGGTGAATATACTCTAGAAACAGCAACTGAATTCTGTCAGAAATATGTTTTACAAAGTCAAGTTGGTAACGTTTGTACTAGTAAAATACCTGCCTTAAATACATTCTCTTCAGTACAAGCTTGTATCGAAGACATTCAGGTACATTTCTTCATGTTTTGTTTTGTTTTATTCGAGCAATTGTTAGTTGTTTCTTGCACAAGCTTGTATGGCCATCAGCAGACGTCATTAGTAGAGTAAGAGTCAATGTATGCTGCAAGCTTGATAAGATATATCTGTTACTTGTTGTTGTGTCACTATACTATATTCTACAGCATTAATACAGTAGTTTTACGTTCTAATTGTCTGCACTTGATAGGGCTAATGAAGATGGGCAATGCTGTTCAGTGTGCAATGATGTAATCATGAAATTGATGTCAATAGACATTTTTGTTTGAACTCTTCCCCCAGTCAACCATAATTATATAAGCTTATGGGTACCTAATGGACAAACTATACTTTTGATGAACATAATTAATATGTATGTAGATATAATGTGTTGCATCAATTGCTAATTTTCAGGTATTTGGTGATACATCATTCGCTCAAACAGCTTTGGAAAGTTTGAAATTACAATGTACCATAGTAATAGAGATCAATATTGAATTCTGGATTACCATCAATGGTGTAATAACAATAGACCCAGAAATAGATGACATTATCTGTCCTTTTGACTGTAATGGACAAGGAACTTGTAAAAAGGGTAAGAAAATAAATATTCATAAACCATTATTCAATGAAGTTTTATGTCCAACTGCTCATTACTGTGTACTGTACATGAGACCATATGCCAATGACCATTTGCTTTTTCATGTGCATGCACTTCCACAAAATGTCAAAATATTACCGTGCCCACAAGTATGACAGAAGTTTAGCAGTCACTAATTCTGGCTATTCTGTTAGTATTTGTGAATTTTTAACATAGTCTCATTTTGAAAGTGGTGCTAGTCAGAGCAGCTGAAAAATGTGTCCGGTCGAATGGGCTGAAAAATTAAGCCATTATATTACAAACTGTGCATGAAAAGTTCCAAAATTGTTGACATATTGAAACTGATAAAGAATGGGCTAATTTTGTATTTTATTTACTTTGCCAAACTTTGTGACTTTCTATGCCAATATCTTTAAACTTACTTTGCCAATATGTTTGTGACTTTCTATGCTAATATTCTTCAACTTACTTTGCCAATATTTTTGTCACCCTTCTATGTCAATATTCTTCAACTTACTTTGCCAATATTTTTGTGACTTTCTATGTTAATATTCTTCAACTTACTTTTGCCAATATATTTGTGACCCTTCTATGTCAATATTCTTCAACTGACTTTGCCAATATTTTGTGACTTTCTATGTTAATATTTTTTAATGACTTTCAATGCCAATATTCTTCAACTTACTTTGCCAATATTTTTGTGACCCTTCTATGTCAATATTCTTCAACTGACTTTGCCAATATTTTTGTGACTTTCTATGCCAATATTTTTTAATGACTTTCAATGCCAATATTCTTCAACTTACTTTGCCAATATTTTTGTGACTTCCTATGCCAATATTCTTCAACTTACTTTGCCAATATTTTTGTGACTTTCTTTGCCAATATTTTTAATGACTTTCAATGCCAATATTCTTCAACTTACTTTGCCAATATTTTTGTGACTTTCTATGCCAATATTCCTTAACTTACTTTGCCAATATTTTTGTGACTTTCTATACCAATATTCTTCAACTTACTTTGCCAATATTTTTGTGACTTTCTTTGCCAATATTTTTAATGACTTTCAATGCCAATATTCTTCAACTTACTTTGCCAATATTTTTGTGACTTTCTATGCCAATATTCCTTAACTTACTTTGCCAATATTTTTGTGACCCTTCTATGCCAATATTCTTCAACTTACTTTGCCAATATTTTTGTGACTTTCTTTGCCAATATTTTTTAACTTACTTTGCCAATATTTTTGTGACTTTCTTTGCCAATGTTTTTATTGACTTTCAATGCCAATATTTTTTATTGACTTTCAATGCCATATATTCTTCAACTTTCTTTGCCAATATTTTTGTAACCCTTCTATGCCAATATTTTTGTGACCCTTCTATGCCAATAATTTTGTGACCTTTCTATGCCAATATTTTTGTGACCCTTCTATGCCAATATTTTTGTGACCCTTCTATGCCAATATTTTTTTTGTAGGAGAATGTGAATGTAACAGAGGATTTGTTGGTGATGATTGTTCAATAGATTTAAATATACCACCATCTGTGTTTATACCACTCTCACCAATTTACTGTAATACCGCCAACAAACCTTGTACCACACAGGTCTTGATTTATGGTGAAAATTTCTATGATTCCAATGATTTAGTGTGTCAGATTAGACAAATACAGGTATTGCTTCTTTTCTAAATATCCTTTGCATTGACACGCGTGTTTATTCAAAATGGCAGTAATAATGATTTTCCAATATTATGTTCAGAAATATCAGATGCCATATTTGTATGAAAACCATGTCATTGTTATATTTGTCTTGTAAGGCCATGCAAATAAATAGTCTGTTTTACAGGCCTTTTTTAAAAAAAATCAGGGTGATAGGGCGAATTTATTATTTATTATTTATATGGTTTTTGTTAGATTTTCAACTGGAATAAATTGGAGCGAGCGAAAGCATTTATTATTTATTACCACAAGTTTAATGTACATTTAATATTAAGGCAACAATCAGGCATTTTTGGGCCTGTAAAAACAGACTATTTATTTTGTATGGCCTAAGTTATGTTTTGGATGTTATTGGAGCCTCCTTACTAACTGTATGTCCAAAAAATGTAATTGTGTTATTCACAAAACGGAGATCTATAAACAGAGGCCACATGTGCCACCATTTAATATGTATGGACTGTTCGAAACTGAATTTGGGAAGGCTTAATGTTGCTGTTCTTGCAAAACTTTCCTCATTTCGTGCATTAGCCTAATTAGGAGCAGAAATGTAGGCTAGAAAATATATTATCTCATTTCAGATCTCCTCTACAGAGTTAACAATTTCTAAAAGTTCTGTCTCAGTGAAAGCTACATTTATCAACCTGAACACTATACAATGTGAACTCCCCTCACTGATAAGTTACGCTGTCAAGATAAGTAACGATGGTGTCACTTTTAGTGATGATGTCAACATACTGATGATCAATACTGATTGTGTCAAATGTGACTCACTGGACTCCTGCAGAATCATGGTAAGAAATGTAATTTATGAGTAGAATACTTGTATGATACAATGCTGTTTGAAGGATCAAATTGCAGGAGAAAAGTCAGGTTTCTGCACATACATTTATTTGGAATGTTAAGGATATCAGAAAATGTTTCTGTCCAAACCCACCATTTTAATGTAACATAAATCATACATGGATTCTATTGTTTAATGTCAGAATCTCTTAAACATTTTGATTCATTCTTCTTGAAAAGTCTACAACTTTGATTTCCCTTAAGAATATTCAATATCATATGTCACATTACCATAGTACTGACTCTGGCCATAAAATTCTAGAAAGATGTAAATTTTCATACAGTGTGATGTAACTTTTCGTACATGTGTGATGTTAATTTTCATACATGCTTGATGTAAATTTTCACACTTAGAGGATTTTAATGTTCATACGGCATGTATGATGTAAATTTTCATTAATGTGTGATGTAAATTTTCATTGATGTGTGATGTAAATTTTCATTAATGTGTGATGTAAATTTTCATTAATGCGTGATGTAAATTTTCATTAATGCGTGATGTAAATGTTCATACATATATGATGTAAATATGAATATATTTCAGCCTGATATGTGTTATATTAATGGTAAATGTTATAATATTGATGGTGTATCAGAAAAGGATGTCAACATGTTCTGTATACCTTCCAAAACACAGATGGCTTTTTCACCAAAACCAGGTAAGTGTGACCAGGCATCTTTTTTACTTTGATTTTTGGATAGATGTAGGACTTCTCTTTAGTGGTCAGATCTATGAAAATCTTAAGAGAAATGTGACTATTTGCCGGTTCTCTGGTCATCGTGACCCATTTGATTATTGAAGTTGCTAATTCATATAGATACTGTTTGATATTTCTGGGAGTGTCAAAGCAAACATATCTCTCAGAAGTGATGATCGCTAATTTCAAATGTACAGGAAATCATTTTTAGCTTTGTAGACTCTCTGAAAAAGTTGACACATTCAATCCCATAGTGGCATCAGATGCCTAGAAAAATATAAGTGCATATTTATGATACATACTATTTTGTTTTGTCTTGGAAAATAGTCATGTGTGCCTTGGAATATAATAAAGCAAATCTTTTTATCCATTGATCTATTTTTAGATTACCCAAGTGTTAAAAAACCAACCCTGAAAATAGTAGACCTAGAAGAGAGTCCATACCAACAACTACTGTGTGAATTTGACCGAGTTGATAGTAGAGATCTTCAATATTTAGTATATTGGTATACAAGTAGTGAGACCATAGTAGATAACGGTCCTTTTACTAGTGTCAAAAATATAAGTACTACTACTGCTGAATCTTTTACATCCTTTAACTATGGTGAAATGGTAAGTTTCAAAAAACTTTTATACTGAATATTCCATGATTGTTGCCACTTCTTAATAAGATATGATTGTGGACATGCAAACTGATTAATGTTCTTGCTCTTTAGATCTGTAAGACTCCAATACCATGATTCCCATTGTCAGTAATTTAGGTTGCTGGCAACAACTTCGAAAAATAATATCTAGCAATGATTCCCATGGGACGAAAGATGGATCATATGCCAAAAGCTTTGAAAGTTTTACAATTACAGGAAAATTAAGATTTCACCTACTGCTGCCTGGATTTGCTTATCTCTGAAAAGAAAGATGTAAAACTCAATATTTTTCATTTCAATATTATGATATCTTTATACCTATACTGATGTAAAAAATGTATATTCTAGGTACATTGTGGTGTGACAGTATGTTATACATTAGATTGTGACAATACACGCTCTCCAGTAGTAAATAGTACCATTATAACTGCTACAGTACAGGTACCGTATATTTGTGTGTACAATGCACACTTTTTTTTAACCTGAAAAGAGCTTAATTAAAGGGACAAGTGCACCATTTTGGGGGGTTTACTTGAGTCTTGAGGAGTCGTCATTCTAACATGCATTTTTCAAATGCAGATTATTCTGGACACACATGGATTTGAAGGCTCAAATTTGGATGGTGAGCTAAGAACACTATTACTGATTGGCTATTGAGACTAAAGTACGATTGGTCAAAAAGAATGGGGCATCTGTCCCTTTAAAACTAGAGTACAATTTTGTTTTCTGATATTTTTGCTATTTTGTTTTCACATGATATACTTCCTCATAAGAAAAGTTCATTAGCTGCTACCAATGTTTCGCCAATATGTGGTTGGGTTTCGTTTTGCAGTTTGGATCGTTGGATCGTTGGTACTGGGTTTATTTATGTACATACATTTTCAGGTGAAAGAAACAAACATCACTATCATAGAAGGTCAGAAGGCCCAAATGGTTCATGTTCACAGCCCATTTTCACCAGGCTTCTTCTGTGGTAACATGTCTGCATGGAAGTCATGTCGGTATGTTTTAACAACTAAGATAGAAATTGCTGAAGAACTGATATGTGGTAATATGGTTGTCAATCAAGCTGTTTTTGGCGAGTCCATTGACAAGGTGCCCTGCAGTTTAGGAATTACGTGGCAGAACTACAAAGAACCACTTGCCATACCAGTTAAAGCTACAGTTGATTCCTTACGTGATGGTGACCAAACTAGAAAGCTTAAAATTTCAGTTAAACTTCATAAAGATGAGGAGGTTTTGGAAGAAGTTACATTGGAATCTGTTGAGGTATGATCAGTTTTGTCATTTGCTGGGTTTGGGCATAGGCTTTGTCTTTTTTTGGAATTTGTCAAGTTCCAACAAACCAAACATTCATTTAATGGCACAATATTGTCAGGAACTGAAATGTGTGGATAAACAGGGTTCTACTTTTTTCAAAACTGGCCAACAATGTGACTCATGTAAATAATATTTTATTTATTTACAGTTGACTATAAAAGACAATGACAAGAAAGCATTATGTAATATTGCAAACTATCCTTATATTACAACTTTTGATGGCACGTAAGTAATGGGTATTATTTATCTCTTCAAAATTTCCTTACACTTTCTCCCTACGAGTGGAAAAGAAATATCCAATTTTTACATGGATAACAACCCAGTTCTTGAGGATCCTGTCTATCAGCTAGCACTTGACTAAATAATATTTAGGCACTATTTCTAGAATTATCCATAATTATAGATGGTTAATTATAACTGTGTCATGTAGGCCTATGATCAATTTAATTAATTTAAAAGGCTTAAAGCTTATTTGAAAAAAAAAAAAAGAAAAAAACAATCAATTTGGAGTTTCAAATCACGAATTCACGCGCTTTGGAAAAATCTCCTGACTTTTCACCCAATCTCCATATTTTTCAAGGCAAATCTCCAGATTTTTTTTCCTGACCTGTACTAATGTATGCTAAATATACTGACAATTGTTCCAGTATTAGTTATTTGGACTATAATCAACTGATCTATTGTTTTCATTCAAAACTGAATTGAATTGTTCTGAAGACCAAGCTCCAAAGTCATAGACATATTGCATCTACAGTCAGACATGACTGGCACATCCAGCCAAATCAACAGCCCTGTTTAACTATGAAATATGTATGATTAAGTTTATGGATAAAGCCTAAATCGTTGATATTTGTTTTCTAGGTCATACAAGCATTTTATGGAGGGAGAATTTATTGTGTATAAACATAAAACAATGCCATTTGAGGTGAGATTGATTTTTTTTTTTACAAAAAGGGGTCACTCGATTGATGAATTCGGCACGTTTGGGATTCATGAAATTAGACAGACATTCAATAAAAAAGTTGAAATGTGTTATAAGTGTGCTGAAAAAAAAATATTTAAGAAATGGGAAAATTTGGATATTGACACATTATGTCCGCTTCCGATTGAGGTTAGGATTGGACAGAACTTGTTCAAAAATCTCCAGTCGAGGGCTACCCTCAAGGAAAAGTCCTTGTATGCCTACCTAGTGTATTCATCGGAATAAATTGTTTTGTATTTTTTCTTCTTTAGGTACATGGTCTGTTTAGTCAATGTAAAGAAAATTTACCATGTAGTTGTGGTGTAGTAATTAAATCACATGATGATGTCATTGTTTTGGACAAATGTAAAATGGCAGACGCAGGACACAGACCACTATCAGTTCAGGTGTATAAGAATGGTGATTTCGCTGAAGGTACCAAGATTGTGCGTTACTCTTCTGGCCACAAGTACAAGGTCAGTTAATTTTTCATTTACAAAGCAAACTTTGGGCTGTTTTATGCAAAATTGGCAGACCCAGAATGGGAGAAAATGGACCCAGCTTTAGGCTTATTATTTAGGTCGAGCTCAGAAATAACTCTTTCCTTTTGGATTTTTTGGATTGGCCTACTGTTTTTGCCAACATTTTCCTGAAATTTCCAAAGAGTTGAAAAAAACAGTGAGCTAATGCTTCATTTATGGCAAAATTTCTATAGCATTATTTTCATTATCCCAATAATATCCCAAAAATCTTGTTAAAATGTCATGTATACATAGAGAGCTTGTAAATGTAAAAGGTAAATACATTAACTTGACCAATTCATTGTTTATGTTGTATTGAAGGTATTCCTACCAACTGGTACTACAGTCACAGTGATAGCTGAAAAACAACACATTAGTTACTGGATTCAAGCTTCTACCTATGATTACCAACAAACGATGGGTAAGTTCGAAATTTGTATGACCCTTTTGACTGAGTGCAAAAATTGATCTTTCATCTATGGTTTGAATTAAAGATCGGTACTAAAATGCATCAGTACAAACTAGATAAGTACTGTATAGTAGTGTATAACTACCAAGCTGACGAGGCCATGTTTCGCTATTTTCGGAGGTTGAAATAGATCTTGAATATTGTCTACAGAAGTGCTGTTTATCATTTGCTCTTTTTTGTTTAACAGGTCTATGTGGTAGCTATGACAACGAGAACTCCAATGATTTGATGTTAGCAGACAACACCCAGACAACAGATACTAGTGGTACACCTAGAAAATTCTCACGAAGCTGGAGGTAAGATAGATATTGTGCCTAAACCCAGAAGATAACAAGAATATTTGATTCCCCAAAAAATGAAGCATGAATTAAGGTTACATAATTGAAAATAGAAAAAGAATGATAGTCTGTTTCCTGTTTTCAAGATAAATTTCCCTCATAGCACACTGTATGGTGTTATATTCATGACCAGAAAGCCAATTATAAGACTTCATTTGATTCAATTCTCCCTTTACACTTTTTTCAACAGAACTGACATGTCTCTGTATTATGGATATTGTCCCAATGGTGAAGATAAGAAGATGATGATGGAGATGCCAGTGTACTGTAAATGTAATGAGAATCAGAATGAAATCTGTCAAGCTCAGTTAGATGTAACGAGATGTACAGGAAGTGATGATAAGAGTCTAACTGGTATTCTAAGGGGTAAATTTAGTTTTAATTATATATTTATTCCTTTCAAATTTATAAATTTATTTCCATCTACAACTTTGAGGTAAACAACCTCTTGGAATAAACATAAAATTTAAATTTCCTTGAACTAACTGGTCCCAACCTCTTGGCATTGATCTTTCCCAAATTATCCATTCTCATTTACAGTCGAGTCAACTTGAATTGTGAGATAAAAATGACTTATTCACATGTTGACTGAGATTAAAACCCATGACCACCATTAAATGTACAAAAGAAGTTATAATTTGCAACATTTTATTTCCATCATTTTTTTTTCTTTTTCTGTTTCTGTTCTTCTGAAATCTGAAACCTGATTTGATTTTTTACAGGTGATGATGTAACTGATCAGTATGTAAAACTGTCTATGAAACCAAAACAGTGTTCTTGTAACCTACGAGAGCCTCCATTGATGTTCAAATATGATGTGGATTATGTCTATATTGTAAGTAAAGATTTGTATAATAAACTTTCCAGGCATTCGTTTCTAAAAAGATGATGGGTTTATATCTGCATTTTTTTTAAATTTCAAAGTTTCATTTTGTGCCTTAATTCATTCCCCTGGGCTATTCGATAAAAATCTTTGTAGGTTATAACATGCCTTGATTGTATAGCTTGGCATTTTCAAACATAGGTAATTTTGCTCAATAAATTTTTGGTTTCGTCAGTTCATTTGCTTCCTGTTTTTGTTTTGTATGCCACTAGACGTTTGAAATAATTATTGAAAATACAAGAACGTTGTTTCTATTTTTGATAGGATGCTGGATGGCCAACTGATGCTCCAATAACTGAAGCAGATGTCAGGAAGCCAAGTTTTAAAGAAACATTATTCAATACTACAGTCTATAAACAATGTATGAAAGTTACAGGAATACAATTGAATTATAAAACAGCCTTTGAATCTTGTATAGAACGTATAAAGGTATGGCTTTCTATATGTCTATACTTTTTTTTTAATCTGGCAGTCCTTTGGCAGTCCTTTGGCAGTCCTTTGGCAGTCCTTTGGCTGACCACCTTTTCTTCATAGACATCAAAAAGATTTTGCAGGTTTAACTGATTTTGATTAACAGTGTGTATTGTGTATGCATGATCATCAATCAAGTTTGAATTTGAGTGCTCTCAGATGATAAGAAACACAGTTATTGCCCTTGCTTTTTTTATAGCTCAACTAGTCTTCACCAATTACCACAATTTTGAAGAGTTTCTTTTACAATTTGATGTTTTCGTTTTTTAAAGTTTCCAATTGATTTTCACGAAAATCTTATGTGACACAGAATGAAATGTTGCATTCTCATTATTTTAATTATACTCTTTTTCAAGTATTCAATTGAATATTTCAGATGTTTGGGTATGAGAAATCGTTGCCATGGTGTTCACATGTTCAATTCAATGTTATATATGAGTGTTTGTATGAAGTTACAACCAATGTTGAATTATGGGTAAACTCTAAACCACCAGCCATTATTTTAAATATTGTTTGTCCAAACAATTGTAACATGAAGGGAACATGTGTTGAAGGTAAATTTCTTTTAAAACAAATTAGCCTTTAACCCCTGTATTGCCTTCTGCTAAGTGATTAGGTGCAGACGCGATAGTTTCACATCCTATTCAAGGAAGAAAAAATTCTGATGCTACAGCCAATGCTTCTGAGTGTCGGTCCATTCACCCAAAAACTACCTAAGCAGTTAGTTTGATGCCTCAATGAAAATTGGTCCTCTTGATTTTGGCATAAAAATGGCTGTTTGAGCCATTAACTTACTTGTATATTTAAAGATTTTGAAAACTGAATTTCATGTGATCCCTATTTAATTCGTTTGATGCTGACAAATAAATCCAATCCATAGCATGAAGAGCTGTTGTCATATTTTGACAGAGACTGACGATCGTGAACTTTTGGCACATTTTCCTTTTTTGGACTCGGTGCTTCAACTGCTTTGCATGTGAACATAAGCTTTCAATACTGCTTTACTCTTTATTTTTAGGAGTTTGTGTCTGTGAAAAAGAGTATGGTGGCGTGGATTGTTCTATAGATACCAGTCAACCGCCAACAGTAACTGACGTACTATCAGGATCTCTATGTGATGCTGCTACCAATAAAGATTGTCAGTCAGTATATATTACTGGTAGTGGATTTATTGACAATGGAACTCTTACTTGTCATATTCAAGCAATACAGGTATGGTTTGAAGAGCACGTATATTTTATTAAGATAACACAAAATCAGTTCTTGGGGATCCATTTTGCTGGTCCTTGCCTTGATTATCATTATCATTATCATTAGAAAGGTAATGGGTTGGTTTGTTGCCGACTGCTTGTGTAAATTCCACTTTAAGCTATATTTAGGTTTTCCTTACATAGTTGAATGTATCTGCTTCTCCAGCAAGGTACTTTGCAAGTTTGTCATCTGCTACATGTACAAATTCTATCTATAGCTATAATTAGATTAGACCACTTAGTCCTTACATACCCCAATAATGTAGTGGTTTAAATTGTCGTCTGCTACATGAATAAGTGTCTTATGTTCAAATCCCACTTAATGGCACAAAAATGATGCTCAGCCAAATTGTTACTTCAATGAGCTCTCTTCTAATAAGGTGAAGAACAGTGCAAAGTAAACCTTTCCATTCTAGGTCAATGGCCAATATGACAAGGAACTAAACCAAACAGAAATGCCAGCTAAGTTTATCAGTGGAGAAATGGTGAAATGTGAGCTACCAGCCATGTCCAATGTCAATATATCTATCAGTAATAATGGTGTTCTGATGAGTGAGAATGCTGTGGATTACATCATATATAACCCAACATGTGAGATGTGTAATACTACAGTCTGTACACCAAGGGTAAGTAAGAAGCAGAGTAAGGCAGCCATTTTAGGTCACTTGAGCAGATGTGTGGAATACCCTATTCAAGAAAAGTTGGGAAAGTGAGTTTGAGTTACTCACTGGCATCATATATTATAATAAGACGCTCTTGAAGTATATCCTCCCACGAAAAATGGATTAATAGGTCTTAGGTCTGTCATTGATGCAGGTGGGTGGGGTTGACATGGAAAAAGTGTCAAGTCATTTGGATGGGACAATAAATCTGGGTCTTTCTGTGCTAAAAGCTGTGCATGTTAAATAACCCCTCAACAGTTGGAAATCAAAAAAAGAGTAGACTAATGTTGTGCAAAATATCTGTCATTGCACACTGCATTGTGTTGCTGGTCATCATGTGCCAAATTAGGTGCAGAAGATTCCATCGATTTAATTTCATTTGCAGGATGACATTTGTACCATCAGAGAGAAGTGTTATGAATGTGGTCAAATATTTAGAGATGATCCTACCAAAGTTTGTCGACCAAGTCTAAACAACACAGAATGGACAGCTATCAAAGGTTTGTGTCTCTAAAATGCACTTGAATGTTGAAGGCCATAGCGCAATTGTAATGATACCTTAAAACTTTCGATCAGATTTCTAAATCTGAGGGACAAGCATTGCACACTGCATGGCATTGCCGACTTCATTAATCTTAAATCTCCATCTATCATTCAGCCTTGTTTACTATTTAATCTGCTTTAATGCTTCAGTGTTGTTTGAATATTTGTTAAATTATTTATATAACATTTGTAAATTTCTTTATCACACAAGAATAAAGCAGATATAAAAAGTCAAATTCTAAATGAGCATATTTTAATTTGTAGAAGAGGACATAGACATACAAAGATACCAAGTGGACAACATTGATGCTGATACTTTAAGCACATTATCTGGAAATTTTGATATCAAAGGAAAACCAACTTTGGTAGAAGGATTTGGTGGTGGAAAGGCTATTCGAGTCAATATTGCAGACGACAAATTGACAATGAAAGACAACCATCCAGTCTTATCCGACTTACAAAACTGTTCACTTGGATTCAGATTGAAATTTTATCTCAAATTCGAGTCGTTCTGTGAAGATACCCTTATTCTCCATACCGATGGAGGTGCTGCAAATGGAATGGGAATGTCTGTTTCCTACAGATGGGGTCAACTCTATTTTACTGTCACCACAGAGGACAAAGAATGGACCATTGCTTCTTCTTTCAAGCTTATTGACAAATTTGTTGAATTTGAACTGAACTGGGAGAAAGGCTGGGGAATGGAACTCAAGGCCATGGATACGGTGTGGATGATGAGAGAACATTGTAAACGTAAAACATCAGGTTTAACAAAGGGTCCTCTAACCATTGGTGGCTTGATGTCTGCTCCAGAAAAATGTAACGGCCATTTTGTTTTTGGAGGATTAGAAATTTCTAATGTTCCAATACTCGTTTTGGATGCCATGGACATTATAACAGGTGAGTCTGAAACTTACATACAGAAATGTAAAGAAAGCAAATATTTCAGAATTGGTAGTTAACATTTTTATCACAAATTTTTAGAATGCTTGTGTATCGAAATCATCTCCTTATCGCAACCAAAACCTGTTATATACATGATGGCCTACTGTGTCTATTGGAAGGCAAACCAAAAATGATAAATATTTATGATATTACATAATGTTCGAATCACCCAATCACAAGATGTCATGTAGCCATTTTTATGTCTGTGAACTTTTGAAAAATATACGAGTATGTCAGCCTTCTCTTTCACCGACTCTTTGGAAATTCTGCACTGTCTTGGTAGTAGCCAACTGTCATGGTGTTTAATGTAGAGCTTATCTATGTATTTCATGGCTTTGAGTTCCTATCTTCAGATGTTCCTGTTTTACTTCAAAAACCAACTCTAAGCATTAGTTTTGATGACATCATGGATGGTGGAGATATAGAGACTCTGGAAGCCAAATTTAAATGTGAATTTGAACGTCTAGAAAGGTCTGATGTAGAATATACGGTCAAATGGTATATAGATGATGAAGAAGTGAAAAATGTTTCTTTAACCAAGGAATCTGAAGATTATATGATGGAATCTTCTTACAAGAAATGGACCTATGGGATTAAGGTAATGTTTGTAAATTTTGATTTTCTAATGCTGTTTTTACGACCAGATCAACTTATTACCAAAATATTATGATTTCAATATGATATACTCTAAGTTATTATTTTGAAAACAAATTCTGTATTAACTTAATATTGAAAAGTTTTATAGCACAAAAGGGCATTGGATACCTTCGGAAGGTAACCTTCCATGGCATTATTTGCTTGATATCAGCCATCAAATGATGGTCGTGGGCTCTAATCTTAGCCATCATGTGCAAGTTTAGTGACCTTGAATAAGTCATCTTTCCTCATAATTCAAGTTGACCCAGCTGCAAGCGGGTACAGCCCCGTCAGGAATGAACTGGTCCTTTGCCTCAGATTTTGAAGAAATAAAGGCCTAGAGAACTCATTTCTGACAATTTTGAGGTGCCAAAAACGTATCAAAATCTATATCTTTTTGATTTTGTACAAAGACACTGTAAATGAATCAATCTCTGCTTAAGAGACAGAAGGTTTTGCTGGGGCTTAATTTTAACAATGCTGGGGCCCAGCCTCCACAGACCCCAACCTAACAACGGGTCTGAGTGGGTATGGATTATATCAAAAGGTTTGGACAAGGACCAGATGTTTGTTGTTATCCTTGTTCAATATGATTATTTCTTTCTTTTTCATATCCCAAAATACTTATCTTATTTCAGACATATTGTATGGTGACACCATGTTATAAATTTGATTGTAAGAAATATGAAGGTCCAGCTCAAGCCAGTAATGTCATCACAGCTGAAATATTGGTAAGCAGACTTTTGTTGCACTTGTTTCGAAATAACGCACTTATTCTAAATTTATTTTCATTGTTGTGAGAAAACAAGTAAGTATTTTTGGAAGAGCACGAAATTGTGTTTGCATATTGCATACATAGATTCATTTCAATTGTTTTAAGACTCTTTGTCAAAAGTGCATTTCTAAGTGATTCTATGTCGAGATTTTATTTTTGTAGGTGAAAGAAGAAAAACTTGAATTGAGTGAAGGTCAGTCTGTTATGGTTCATGTCCATTCTACGGTACCACCACATATGTTGTGTCCTGTTGGTAGACCAGATGTAGCTAAAGGAACAGCTACAGTCAATAGTCAACTTGGTGAATTTGATGGCAAACAGCAGATCTGTCCAGGAGACAACCCTCTGATTCAAGCTGTTCTTGGATACACACAAAATGACTCACCATGTAGATACCAAATAACAGATAGTAATTGGAATAAGCCATTAGAGGTTAGTGACTGAAATTACAAGATTCCTGCAAGGAATGAAGCTGCCATGTCAGAAACAGGAATTATTTAGCTAAGTAATCAGTAATAGTGTTCACAGCAGACTGTCGAAATTTAAGCCTTCAAATCCATATGTGTCCAAAATTACCCTGAAGGTTATAATGACAACTCCTCTTTCTTGAAATTCTGGCATGTACATGCATTTTGTCCAAAGTGATCCCTTAAAGTTATATACTAGAGTATATAAGAGTACATGTATAAATTTTGTTTGTTTAGATTCCAGTACGAGCCACTGTTGATGGTGTTCTTGATGGTGCTGTAAATGGTATGTTAAAGATTTCAACAGTCATTAACTGTGACGGAATGACAGACAAAATTGAAAAGGATTTCAAGCCAATTCAGGTATTTTTATCAAATTAACAGACATTTGTCTGATTCTTTGACCTTTTGAACCATCTTATCCTGAATTCCAAGTCATAAACATTATTATTTTCCGATATTACTGTCATACTTACTCGAGGAGAAGTATTGTGTCTATTATTTAAGGCCATACACATGTACCTTTAAGCAAAGTCATGTGGCTGGTTAACAGGCTACTTGAGTTTGCACATAATTTTTTGGGCAGTAGAGTGGCTAATCGCTAAATATACTTTTTCACATAAGGCTCTTTGTGATTAGTGATATCATCAAACAGAAATTGCAGTAAACTGGAATGGTGCAAATTGATGCTATCAGTGTCCACGATACACATAAAAAATGTAGAAAACCTCTTTACAATCCCTTTAATGATTTGGATGTTAGCTTCTTGTAGTATGAATAATATGCGGAAGACCTTCAGTGAATCATTTTTCAAACCATTCCATGCAATATATGCCAGACTAATATAGGCTTTGAATTTTCTAGATTAAGATTGAAGACAATGATAGTGAGTTATTATGTGAATCTATTAATGGACCTCATATTAATACCTTTAGTGGAATGTAAGTACTGATTTCATGTGACTCTGTATATAGGCCTACAAAGTTAATTTTTCCAGAAGGATTTAAAAACATATAATCTAGAATATACCAGCAGAAAATATGTAGAAAATTAAATAGAAATATTAAAATAGAAACTGAAACATGTTGTTAGACCAGTTCTACTACCATTCTTTATTTACAATGTAGGCGCCCTAATACAATTCTTTTTATGGAAAATACATAGTTTATGCAAAGATGAATTTTTGCAGCGTTCCATTTTTTTACATTTCAGTACTTTTAACAACTTCTTTGAAGGAGAGTTTGTGTTATATAAACATACCAAGATGCCTTATGAGGTATGATCGATTTTTAGTTAGATTTTACTTGACAATTTTGATATGCACAATTTTCACTTTAAACACTTTTCTTGACAATTTTAATACATACAATCTTTCCTTGACAATTTTAATATGTACAACCTTTACTTGACAATTTTAATGTGTACAACCTTTACTTGACAATTTCAAATACATACAACCTTTACTTGACAATTTTAGTATGTGCAACCTTTGCTTGACAATTTTAATACGTACAACCTTTACTTGACAATTTTAATACGTACATCCTTTACTTGACATTTTTAATACTTGACAATTTTAATATGTACAGCCTTCACTTGACAATTTTAATACTTGACAATTTCAATTTTAATACGTACATCCTTTACTTGACAATTAAGGCACAACCTTTAACTTTTAACTTTTAAATGTACAACCTTTATAATTGCGATATGTACAATTTTATTATGTACAACTTTTACAACTTGAATTTAGGTACATGGTTTATATAAAAAATGTAATGCATTTGCATCTTGCAATTGTGGTGTAACAGTCAAAGTGGATGATGATGTTCTGGTGGTGGACAACTGTACACCAGAAAAAGGTCTTCCAGCTCTGGTAACCCTGTACAAAAACGAGGAACTCACTCCAGGATTCTTAGTCTTAAGATATGAAGATGGTGCTAAATTAGAGGTAAGAGTCACTTTAAGGCCCAGACTCCTTTTGTCTGTAGTTGCGCAAGCACTCCTTTTATTTTTACGCTAGAGCCTGAGAACTGATAGGACTAATAGAATATTGAACAATTTTTGGCACTCATCGATGCTGTACAGATCTTGAAATAGCAAGAATGTCGTCAGGGTGATCCAAGAAAAGTATTTCCCGACAGTCATTTTACCGGATTATGTCATTAGGCCTGGTTAACTATATATGTAGTTGGTATGACGCCTACGGATTGGCACATGCTAACAGATGCATTTACACTGCGTCGCATAGGGTTGCCATTTTCATTTTTTAATATACTGCAATTTGGCAAATGCTTCTGCCAGTCAAATTGACATCGAATATGAAATGAAATAAACAAAATAAAGTTAATAATTGTGTTTTGTAGATTGTGTTACCATCAGGAACCACGGTTACAGTCCGAGTAGAATCAAATCCTGTCCTACCAAACTATCTCAATGTTTGGATCAAACCATCACCATTAGACATTCAACAAACAGAAGGTAATCTAATCTTTTATAGGTTATGGGAATTTAATTATTAGTTCATAATTTCAGATATTTGTGGTTCTTCAATTAAAGCGACAGTTGCTCCATTTTGGGGGGTTGATTTAAGTCGTGAATCAAATGGTAAATAGTTTTCAGAAGTACTAGAAATGTACGAAAAATGCATAATTCCTTCAATTATACCTTAAACTATGATATTTCACTGTCTATTTCTATCTATGGCAGAGTCTCAGGAAAAGTCTTGCTAATTCAAACACAGGTGAATTTGAATGATGAGCTGTGAACAATATTACTGATTAGATTCTGAGACTAAGATATGATCGGTCCAACAGATGGCTAATCTGTCCCTTTAAAAACTGTATGTTCAAATTTTTCTTATGGCCTTTACATTTTTTGTGGTTCTTAACATTTTGCATTGTGTTAATTGCAGGTTTATGTGGTGTTTATTCTCCTGTTAAAAAAGAGAATGAAGAGACTTTGAAACTACCAGATGGCAAATATTTTACACAACGTAATATCAACCTTTTTACAGTTGCTTGGAGGTATGTAACTAAGATTTAGATATCACTGGCAGTTTAAACTTAACTCAGAGTCTTGGTGGTTATTCAACTTGTTCACTAGTTTAAGGGGTTTCGTGGTCTTAAGATTCAGAACATGATTAATCTTTTTTAACTACTCAATTCAATCATTTGATTGAAGAACACTACTCGCTACTCTCAAACTCAGTAATAGTATAAAATTGATAGTGAGTTATAGTTAAAACTGATTTGAATTAAGAACACTATTCAGTAATCAGACCTAATAATAGTAGAAAAGTGATAGTGAGTTGTATTTAAAACTACTCAGTTTAATACTTTGATTAAACAACACTGTTCAGTAATCAAACCTAATGATTTGATAAAAGAACTCTACTCAGTAATCAAACATAATGATAGTAGAAAATTACTGAGATTAATGATTTGATTGAATAACACTACTCAGTAATCAGACCAAATAATACTAGAAAAGTGATAGTAAGTCATATTTAAAACTACTGAGTTTAATGATTTGATTAAAGAACTTTACTCAGTAATCAATAATAGCAGAAAATGATAATGAATTGAATTAAAACTACTCAGTTTAATGAATGATTTAAGAATTCTACTCAGTAATCAAATACTTATAGAAAATTGATAATAAATTGTTTTAAAAAACAACTCAGTTTAATTATTTTATTTAAGAACAAAACTCAGTAATCAGATATAATGGTAGTAGAACATTGATACTGATTTGTGTTTAAAACAATTTAATTAGAGAACACTACTCAGTAATCAGACCAAATAAAAGTAGAGATTGATTGTGAGTCTTATTTCAAAACTACTTAGTTTAATGATTTGATAAAAGAACTCTACTCAGTGGTCAGACCTGACAATGGTAGAAAATTGATAGTGAGTTGTATTTAAAACTACTCGATTTAATGATTTGATTAATGGACAATGCTCAGTAATCAGTGAAAATTGAAATTGATGGTGAGTTGTATATAAACTGATCAGTTTAATGATTTGATTAAAGAACACTACTCAGTAGTCAGATATAATAAAAGTAGAAAATTAATAGTGAGTTGTAATGAAAACATCTCAAGTAAACAATATGAAAAAAGAACACTACTCAGTCATCAGATGTTTGAAAATTGGGAGTTGTATAGAAACTGATCAGTTTAATGATTTGATTAAACAGCACTACTCAGTAATCAAACCCAAAAATAGCAGAAAATTAATAGTCAGTTGTATTTGAAACTACTCAGTTAAACGATAAAAAAAATCTACTCAGTAATAAAAAAAAAGGCATTGTACTTAAAATAACACAGTCGCATTAAACAAATCAATTATCATTCAACTTTAAATTATTTATTTAGCATTTTGCAATCATTTTAGCAAAGAATATTGTTGATTTGAAAATTGTCCATTACATAATTGCACAAACTCTTACCATTGTTTCTATATATAGTAAAATAAATTTCCTGCCATTTGTCCTACTCTGCACTACTCTACATGCATGCATACTATATTTATAACATAATGGCACAGCTACTGAGATATGAATTTGAATTTTAAATAAGTGTCTTTTTGATCCAATATTTTACAGAGTAACAAAAGAAATGAGATTATATAATGGTTATTGCCCAGAAGAGACAGTTGAAACTGAGATAGTAAAGTATTGTAGTTGTCAAAACACAGATAAACCTTGTGAAACTGATACCTTCAATATCAATTGTCGACCACCTAAAACTGTAAATGAGGTTATCACTTGTAAGTACCTTTAAGACTGGTTCTTTTCTTTATAGCTTATGGCTAATTAGTCTCTAACTTCCAGACTATTCCTGTTTATGACAAGGATTTTGTGTAGGGCTTTCCACTGAATTTTCTATTACGATGCTTTGTTAACAACAGAAACAAACTGACAGCCCCTACAGGTTTTGTCAGTTTATATTAGATAATTTTATCTGCTAAAGGTTACATATATATAGATTTTTCGAGCAAAGAATTAAAATTCAAAGACATTGTCATTATAACTGAAATATTTTGATTTGGTTTTAATGTTTTTATTTTGAATATATATACTAACAAGATTCACTTTTTAATACAAATATCAGTTAATATCCAGCAATGTTATCTATTAAAAAATAAAAAGATGCTAATAAGGGTTTTCTTTGTAGATGCTGATATAACAGAGGAATTAGTCAAATTATCTATTGAACCTGTTAAATGTGTGACACCAGGAGAAGAAAAGGAAATAGATTATGATGATAACTTTATGGCTAAGGTGATCAAAATATTTATTCAAATCTAAGTACATGTACTGTATAATTGCGAGTATAATGCACATCCATTCTTTTCCTCAGCTAAATCTGAAAATATGTCTGAAGTATGAAGAGGTTTTACAGACTTTTGAGATCATACATATTAAAGTTCAGTTTATTAAACTATATAAAGTTAAAGAAGTTGTTTTGCCATGACGAAAATTTTTCTCTTATTGCACACTGCATGGCATTGCCTGTCTTGTGAGCTTAATTTTCAGACACAAAAGTCCATTTTTTTTCCTTTCAAATATAAAACAAGTTATATAATATATTGTCAATCTCTTCTTTTGAAGGTACCTGAATGGCCAACACCTGGAGGACTAGAATATGAGGATGTCAGGAAGATCTGTCAACAGGCCATCAACATTAATCAAGCATCTCAAGGCTGTATATCATTACCAGGTTTTAATATTAAAAAGTTATTGGAGTGGTGTATAGCTGATATTCAAGTAAGTACATGGTCAAATTTAACGGTAGATGACATTTTTCATTAACTTCACTGGCTTTGGTGCATGAGGGATAAATAGTGCTCCGTGAAGTCACCTTAGACCAATATTTAAGATATTTTGTGTATTAACCTATGCATGATAAATATCTGACCTGGAAAACCTCTTCCCATTATTCATGTAGAATAAGTCACATATTTGGCATATAAGGAATTCATGGAATCAACTGGGCATTCAATAAAACAATTTGGAAGAGAGTTCAGAATGTGTTCCAACCGTGATAGGGCAAGGAGATGGTTCAAGTTGATATCAGGATATTAAGCATTAATATATCACAATATGGCGCGATATTTTTTAAGTTTGTTTTTACTGGTTTTTGAAAGAAAATTATGATCTAGAAATTTTAAATGTAACATAAAACAATAAATATCTCTAAAAACACCCCAGTCTTGAATATCATGAAAAAAAAACAGCTGTTTCAAATATTAAGTCACTTGTTAAAAATATGTAGATGATCTCGACAAAAATATAATGATATAGCGATATTTCGGTATTTTCTAATCAGGCGATATTATTAACAATATAAATTCCTATACCGGTATTTATCATGATACCGGTATATCGCCCAACCCTAATTACTGTGATGAAAAAATAGTAGATGTAGACAGAATTCAAAATGGCGGAGAAAGAAATAAGGGAAAATTTTGACTGTGACATAATATGGTTCTATTACTTGTTTAGAACTCACCAATCAATCCCCACCCTTGTGATCATGGACAACAATAATTTATGATGATTTATATGTTTAAATCAAAAGCCATTATTATAGTTCAGTGAGATTGTGACACGAGAAATCAACTTCTTTTAATTTATGTTTTTCAGCCAACTGATAATAAAATTTGGGCTGACATTTTGGTTGTTAATGTAAAAGAAGAATGTCGACATAGAATTACCATTAAGATATCCATCTGGATAACTATAACTGGTACCATTACTATACCAGATATCTTTGCTAACATCTGTCCTAAAGATTGTTCTGGTAATGGTAATTGCGTCAGAGGTGAGTTTGGAAGTTTGTATTTACTTGTGTGGTAATTATTGTGTCAGAGGTGAGTTTGGCTACTTGGTTGCCTGTTGAGCAGACTCTGTTTTTGGAATGATATGTTTGAAAGCAGACACCAGGTTGACTTTCAAAAGCACTTGCAGAGGCATGAAATTTTCTTACCTGGAGTTGTATTGATTCTTCATCCTAATTCCTAATGATTTGTTCTTTCAGGCATTTGTGTGTGTAAGGATGGTTTCAGTGGTAAGGCCTGTTCTATTGACACCAACAAACCACCAGAGTTAACAGGAATTAAAGGTGGCTTGGCCTGTGATTTTGGTGCAAATGATTGTTCAGAAGTAACTATATTTGGAAAGGGCTTCATCAAAGGAAATGACTTGACCTGTCATTATACTGCATTAGATGTAAGTTTGCTGTAATCCATTTTTGTTTTGGATTACAAAACTGTAAAATTTGTGCAAAGCATGAATTTGACTCGTGGTTTCCCTCTGTCAGTGATGCAGGTCAGACCGACTGACATGGAAAAAGCGTCATTCAAATGGGACTTTAAACTGAGGCACTGTTTGCTACAGACAAATGCTGATGTTCTGGTAAAATTTCCCAAACTTATCATTTTGAAGGAAAACAAATTTTCAATGGATGGATATTTGGCAAAAAGCAGATTTAAGAAAATGGAAAATCTCTCTTGAATGAAATAAGTAGTACATTTGATACAAACATTTGGGATCTATGGTTTTTGTGCAAAGTTCACCACTGCTGGCAGTGTTAAAGAGGATTTACTGGTGTAACAGAGAAGATTTTCTGTTTTAATTTCAGATGAATTTGGTAAAAAAGAGGTTTGAAGAGACAAATGATGTCTTCACAACAAAAGCTGTCTTTATCAGTAGTCAATCTGTGGTCTGTCGTTCACCAAGAAACGAAGCTTTCATCATCAGTGTTAGCAATGATGGCACGAAACTCAGTAAAAGCATATACTACATAGCCTATGATCCAATTTGCATGCTGTGCAATAATAAAGGATGTTATGTCAATGTAAGTTGCAACTTTCTAAATGAAAACCCTTTTATAACATTTTAAGGAATTGTAGTGTAGACTAACCAAATTCCAAATTTTCTATCTGAAAAGTAATACTGAAATATGTAATCACATGAAAATGTATGAAAATTTCCTAATTTTATTTGTAGGATGATATTTGTGTGATTGATGGGAAATGTTACAAAGATGGCTTCACAAATCCAACTGATCGCAGCCAAGTCTGTCAGCCGAAAAAATCTGTCAATGATTGGCAACTCCTGAAAGGTAAGTCAAATATCATCTAGTTTAAAAAAAAATATATGTGTATACCACAAAATCCAATCAAAACAAGTTATAGTTAGTACATGGCAGAAAATAAGTACATTTGACTCAATGTGATATGTACAGGCAAGAAATTTATTGAAAAGATTTGCGAATCAAAACAAAATGTATATTTTTCTTCAGAATTTCTGCCAAATTACACAACCTTCAGCAGTCTCTGCAGCCTTAAGGATCTAACGTCATCGAAAAGATCTACAACTGGAATATTTGAAATGGCTACTCAATTAAAAAGCGTGTATCAATCTTTAACTTGACTAGCCAAAACTCAAATTCGGTGTGCTAAATTGCCAATCAATTTTTTTTCTTTCCAAATTGAAGCCACATTGCATGTTTAAAATTCAACTTACAATAAATTTGATTGTTCCATTTTGTAAATCGAGGTCTGAACAAATGTTTACTAAGTATTGAATTTTGATTTCAGTGACAGACGTAACAATCCAAAGATTCAGATTTATTCGTATCATTGGCAACATCCTCATTACTTCACAGTTCAACTTTACTGTATTTGGTAATCCAAACTTTTTACCAGGACCACAGGGTGGTAACGCCTTAGTTTTGGATGGAATCAAACAGTATCTTGATTTTGGTGATTACCAAAACACGTGTTTGTTTGATCTTGGGCAATGTAGATATGGTTTGTCAATTTCCTTCAATCTCCAAATAAGGAAATTTGTCAACAAAATGCAGATACTGAACAATGATGCCATTAACATGTGGTGGGAAGGAAATAGACTCTATCTTCAAGTCAGACTGGAAAATCGCGTCTGGACAGTCAAACCTAAATTCCACAAACGTATAACATCCTATGTAAATATCAAATTCTCATGGAGTTTCCAGCAGGGTATCAAAATATTCTTTGATGGTAAAAACGTGGCTTATAGTAAAAAATACAAAAGATTAAGAAAATTACCAAAGATTTTCAAGAAGTTCCTGATTGGCCGTTCTGTCGATGGCAAAAGATTTGGTTCCTTCTATTTGGCTGATTGGAGTGTTATATTTGCTGTTGATGAAATTATACAGAAGTTTGATATCAATGTTGGTAAGTTCAATAGAAGATGTATATGGATTATCTCCCTTTTCATTTTATAGCGATATTTGATCCCTTACAGTTTAGGGGGAAGAGGGCTGTTACCATTGACAGCTTTATCTCGTTGATTGGATAATGAACAGTGTCTCTGTATGTTAAGGCGATCATCTAGATACATTGTTAGTCTTTATTATTCTCTGTCTACAGTGAGCATCAATTGAATTTTTTCTCTTATTACATAAATATTCAAAATAACTTTTCGGTTTTTAAGCTATCTGTCATTGAGTTCACAGGTTTTAATCAGGTTTTTAAAGAATTTTATCATATTTTTCAGAATTACCTAAATTTGAAACTAGACCCATTGTAGAAATGACTGTTCACAATGAAACTAAACAAGTCAGTTTTGATTGTAAATTTAAAGAACTCACCAAGAGTAATCTGAAGTATAGTATAAAATGGTATTTGAATACTAAGGTATTGTCAGAGGAAACCGTCAATATTGTCGATGGTTTTGGCACCAGTCAATTGACCGAAGATCAGTTTGAAAATCTGGAATTGAATGATCAGGTACTTGTTCTGGGTTTTATGACTTTATCATTTTTTCACAGGTAAACTAGACTTTAATGACTATCAATAATCATAATAAATGCTGAAACAGTTGTTTGAAGATCACACAGCGTGAAGCTCTGAGAAACATGTTTCAGGTTCTGTTTCGATATTTCATATATTTCTAAGTGCAAATTGTAATATTTATTGTGTTCTAGATCTATTGTGCTGTATCAGCTTGTGTAGAAAATAATTGTGAGGAAACAAAAGGTCCTGAAAGAAACAGCTTACCCATCATAGCTCACGTCAAGGTAAGTTGTGGCAAACCTGGTTGAAAGAATCCTTGAAATACTAGCCTTGGTAAGAATCCTTGAAATACTAGCCTTGGTAAGAATCCTTGAAATACTAGCCTTAGCAAGAATTCTTGAAATACTAGCCTTGGTAAGAATCCTTGAAATACTAGCCTTGGCAAGAATTCTTGAAATACTATCCTTGGTAAGAATCCTTGAAATACTAGACTTGGTAAGAATCCTTGAAATACTAGCCTTGGTAAGAATCCTTGAAATACTAGCCTTGGTAAGAATCCTTGAAATACTAGCTTTGGTAAGAATCCTTGAAATACTAGCTTTGGTAAGAATCCTTGAAATACTATTACTTTTGGTAAGGACCTTGAAATACTAACCTTGGTAAGAATCCTTGAAATACTATCCTTGGTAAGAATCCTTGAAATACTAGCTTTGTTCAGAATCCTTGAAATACTAGCTTTGTTAAGAATCCTTGAAATACTAGCTTGGTTAAGAATCATTGAAATACTAGCTTTGTTAAGAATCCTTGAAATACTAGCTTTGGTAAGAATCCTTGCAATACTAGCCTTGGTAAGAATCCTTGAAATACTAGCTTTGGTAAGAATCCTTGAAATACTATTACTTTTGGTAAGGACCTTGAAATACTAACCTTGGTAAGAATCCTTGAAATACTATCCTTGGTAAGAATCCTTGAAATACTAGCTTTGTTAAGAATCCTTGAAATACTAGCTTTGTTAAGAATCCTTGAAATACTAGCTTGGTTAAGAATCCTTGAAATACTAGCTTTGGTAAGAATCCTTGAGATGACTAGTTTTGGTAAGAATCCTTGAAATACTAGCTTTGGAACAAAACTGAAAACTCTGAGACTTCTCACCTTGGATAAAAGTCTGGTGGAAATATCTTTGAAATAATTGACTTTTTTTCAGATTTTAACAGAAAAGGTTACAGTTTATGAAGGAAGTATGTTCAACTACATTGAAATTACTGCAACTGTTCCTCCCAGACTTTTCTGTTTGGCACAAGATAGAGAAAGATCTTGTCGTCTGCTTGTTAGAACTCTCCTGTCTAGGGAAAGAAGAGAAGTGAAATGTCAGACTGGTGAAGAAATTGTCCAGGCTGTTTTTGGTGTTGCTCATGTTGATGATAAAATGCCACCATGTGCATATTCTATAACTATGGACAACTGGATGACAAATCTACGTATACCAATAAAAGGTACCATTGATCAACTTAAAGACCGAGACCAGAAGAGAGAAGTCAAGATTACTGTGGACGTTTATGCATCAGAACTGATCTTCCAAAGCGTTATTATAGGGGAAGTAGAGGTTAGTATCAAGGCAAAGTTTTCCGAAGAGTTAATCTCATAATTCTGACTCTAGCTGGCCAACATTTGTCAATATGAAAGTAGAGTTTGCATTAAGATCCTGGCAAAACTTTGAAGTTGACCTCCATTATGATAAGTACAGTAATGTTGCTAGTAAGTCAGTCCATACTCCCTCTTCTTGTACACAGTGGCGGAGCCAAATAAGTGGCAAAGGGGTCAGTTGCCCCTCCCCCCCTCGCAGCCTCGAAACCTGGGCAATCTCAGATATTTCTCACGCCCCTCTGACATAAACCTAGCTCAGTCATTGCTTGTACACCTAGTAACACTTGGCTTGTGAACTCTTCATTTCTTTAAGGGAGTTCACACAGTTATATTAAGTATAATCATTTTTATCAGTATATGTTTCTCACCATAACAATATCATTAGAAATTAATTTTATAAAATTGAAATGTTGAGTAGATAATGAAATGAAATTTTAATTTCAGCTTACAATAAAAGATAGAGACAGAACATCTATGTGTAAAACCTATGGTGATCCACATATTTACAGTTTTGATAATACGTATGTAGTTATTAGCTAATTGGTCCATGATGTCACTGTTCTTGTTTACAACTGACAACAATTTTAGCAATGTGGTCAAAATGCAGACATTGGTGTTTGGTTTTCTTGTTTATTCTGAGAACAACAAATAAGATCATCCCAATAACAGCTTTTTTGTAATATAATGAGTAACACATTCAAGTATTCCGAAAGTAAATCATTATTTTTTGATTAGGGAACTTAAAGGGATTGTAAAGAGGTTTTCTGAATTTTGTATGTGTATCTGGAACACCAGTAACATCGATTTCTGTGGAAACTGCGATTCCACTAAAACTAAGTATTTGATGACATCACTTATGTGATGAAGTATATTTAGCAATTAGTGACCTCATCAAACACTTTGTTTTAGTAGAATTACAGGAATCACAGACGCTTAATCAAATTGGAATGATGCAAATTGATGCTATCAGTGAACTTTTACACATAGAAAATTCAGAAAAAAATCTTTACATTCCCTTTGATTTTGAAAAGTTTATTTATATGTATGTTTGCTTATTACAATGAAATATCCTAATTTGTTGTCTTGCAGAAGGCACAATAATTTCTATGAAGGTGAATTTTTGATGTACAAACATAAGACTCTACCATACGAGGTAAGATGTAGGCCCAAGACTGAGGCCGGTTAACTTAGTATCTTATATCAGAGGTTGAATTTACCTTTGTACATGTATTTTGAAAATAGAATGCGCTGAACCTTATTTCCCATCTGTGATGTAGGATGAGAGCGTGTGGGCATGTGGATGGGACAATAAACTGCGGCCTGGTGTGCTATACAAACAAGTACTAAGGCTGATAATCTGGTAATATTTCGTTCATTTTGAATGTGACAGTGAATGGTTAGACAAATATTGTGAAAAGCCTCAAAACATCATCTTTAGGGTACCTTTGTTGTTTTCAATGGTGGAAAGCCTCAAAACACCCTCTTGTTATTGTTGTGTTCAATGGTGGAAAGGAAGAATTTAATTGGTCTTATATCAATATCTTTGATTGGTTTTCCTTTTAAGGTTCATACATTCCAAAGAGATTGTGGAGGCAGAGTGAAGGTATCATGTAATTGTGCTGTAGCTATCAAATCAGGTGATGATGTCATTGTTATGGATAGGTGTGGACCCAAACGCCAAGGTCGAGGCAGGTTTATACCACTAGAACCTAGAATTTACCTTAATGGAGAATTGACACCAGGTACCAAGATATTCAGATACAGAGGTGGACGTAAATTTGAGGTAAGATCCTGGAGTGATTTATGTATGTACTAGAGTTCATCTCACATGGCCACAAAATCTTTATCAGAACAGTTGGTTTTTGCAATGGGTGTTACTTTCTGATGTTTGGACTAAGAGCTAAGCAAGCAAAATCAGTCAACAAGAGCAAGATACGAAAAGAACATACCACAGACATTACATGTACATTTCATCTAATTGGCAAGAGCTCATCTCATGGGACAAACATGTGTTTTGGATATAAGATACTCATCAGTAAAGGTGAACTGGTTATCAATCGCCAGTGGATATAAGCTTTTTAGTAGTCTTTCTACTCTGTGATTGAAGGAAAAGCCATGATTTCCTGTATAAATTATTACATTGTTATTAAAGATGGGTTTCCTTATTTTTTAGTATCAAATTAAGCTAACTATTTGATTCACTGGTGATCCTAATGTGAATTATCATGAATTCTTTATCATATCATTATTTTTCTTATATTGTATGTAATTAAGAGTTTAACCAATCATAAATGTCCATGTATGACAGTCTGGATAAACAAAAAAAGACTTTTTGACCTTTCTTGATCGGTCACTAATTGGAATTCTGCTGGAAATTCTCTTCTAATTTAGCTGATTAAAAAAGAAAAACTGGTATTTTTCTTAGACATTAGAACACCTCTACTTTCTTAAGAATAGCATTTTTATTTTCATAAATGAAAATAAGGGAACCCTTCATTAAAGTTTGACCATGTATTTGGGTTTTTCAGGTTGTGTTACCAACAGGAACGCGAGTAAAAGTTGTCCACGGAAAAAGTGGTTTTTCTGCTTATCTTAGAATCTATGTCAAGGCTTCATCCATAGACTACATGAACGTTGAAGGTATGGTCCATTTTATTATTTTTTCTACTTTGTTTTTTACGTTTTCTATCAAAGTATCTTCTCCTAAATTAAAATTACATGCATTAAAGATTTTGCGATGTGTCCATTATGTATACAATATAATAGTGTTTTGATGTTGATTATATTTGTACAGGATTCTGTGGTCCATTTGATGATGACAAGAGTAATGATTTGATGTTAGCTGATGGTACTTTATATCCTGGTAGATCCAAGCATCCTGATTCATTTATTGTCAGTTGGAGGTAGGTTTGATCTTCTGCTGAGATTAATCTCCCGGATGTAGGTTTGAATGGCTGACATTGGAAAACTCAATGCTTTAAAATATATGTAGTTTTCATCAAGAAAGCATACAGGCACTTGCACTATCGTCACAAAATGCACTCCATCTTTAATTGATGCAGAGCTGGGCCTAAATTTCTGTATCATCTTAATTATGGTAAAATTATGGTAAGGATATTTCTGGAAAGAATATTGCGTAAGTGAGCATAATTGAAGAATTGTTGGCCCTTGGAACCTTATCGTTATTTAGATATGGTTGTTTCTCTCTTTTTTTGCTTCCCTTTTGCAACTAGCCATTTTTGTTTCAGAGTTTCAAAATCTGAGAGTTTATACTATGGTACTTGTCCAGAAGAGGAAGTTGATGCAATTGTGGATGAAACTAAATATTGTCAATGTTTGGAAGATTCTGAAGCTGTTTGTGATGCTGGTTTGGACATTGGACCGTGTACTGCTAAAACATCCCGAAGGAGAGGTATGTATGGAACACATTTGGAAATTTGAACAAGATTTTCACATTTGCTCACAAACCAATTAACTAGACTCCATCTCATAATGCTCACACATGTTTTGGATACACAATCCTCATAAATACAGTGTAGAAAAGTAGGATGTAATACTCCATTCATTTCAATTCTCATAAATACAGATAGTTTTATTAATTTGGATTAACTTTCTAAAATAGGACTAGAGTATTTTTGATTATTTAGTTTAATGGTTATATCGTCTTATATTGAGATTCTATTCTTTAGTCATGGCACCTGGTAAGTGTAACAGATGAATATAAACACTTGTTGACCAAGATTGAGACTTTTAAATTCTAAGAGGTAGTGTTCCTTTAATGATAAAAATGCTTTAATTTGAAACTCAGAATGTCTAAAAATAGAATAATTGTTACTATTTTTTTTTTGTCAGCAACTGATATAACTAATTCATTGGTTGTTTCTGCTAGAGATGTTCAACATTGTCTGAGAATCAATCAAATAGAATGGGAATTTACATTAACCTACACAGCTATAGTAAGTTAACCATTTATGCTTTAAAATAGCTCAGCAGAAAATTAACAAATTTGGACATTTGTTATTGTAATTTTAAGAAGGAAAAAATATATCTGAATAATTTTCGAAGATGACAGAATGATGAAATAACTCAATTTGATAAAAATTTCAACTGCTATGTTTCAAAAAAATTTCTTAAAAAGGTTTTTTGAAATGAGTACAGTATAGATCCCATAAAAAAGAAAATACACCTGCATCTGAGCTTGCACTGCTGAAAAATATTTTTCCTCCATTGTATTGTAAATTTTCTTAAATTTGTTTTTAAGGTGATATCGTGGCCAACACCAAGTGGTATAACATTAGATATAGCAGTATCTATCTGTAGAAATTTCATTATTAATACTGGTATTTACGAAAAGTGTAAGAACTTTATAGATCTTGATGCTGCCTTATTATCATGTGTTGAAGACATTCAGGTAGGCTTTGCTACATTTTTTTACATAGTTCAGAACTGTTGACATCTATGGCATTATATACAAAGACTAGTTTGAGGGGCATTTGATTTTAAAATAGGGAATGTTTTGCAGCTCAATTTCTCAAAAAATGGACTCTAAATTTGTCTTTTACATATGAATAAAATGCGCAAAACAAAATTTGAATATAGTGCATACTGTGGGCATGAGTCATGAGAAGATGCACAAAGATGGATGCAAAACATCTTAGTGGAGAGAAGAGGCATGAGGATTATCTCATGAACAGGGACAAGAGGATGAGCTTATGATCAGGGGCATGAGGATGATCTCAGGAACAGAGGCATAAGGATGATCTCATGAACAGAGGCATGAGGATGATCTCATGAACAGAGGCATAAGGATGAGCTGATGAACAGAGGCATGAGGATGATCTCATGAACAGAGGCATAAAGATGAGCTGATGAACAGAGGCACGAGGATGATCTCATGAACAGAGGCATGAGGATGATCTCATGAACAGAGGCATAAGGATGATCTCATGCACAGAGGCATGAGGATGATCTCATGAACAGAGGCATAAGGATGAGCTGATGAACAGAGGCATGAGGATGATCTCATGATCAGAGGCATGAGGATGATCTCATGAACAGAGGCATAAGGATGAGCTCATGAACAGAGGCACAAGTATGAGCTGATGAACAGAGGCATGAGGATCATCTCATGAACAGAGGCATGAGGACATATAATCATCATTTCATATCTACCTCACAAATTGACCGGGTGACTTTAACTTATGGCTTGTGACTATGTACTGGTAATTGAAAATTAGTTCAGAAACAAAGTTTTTTTTATGTATCTACTTCTTGTTTATTTCAGATTTTGGATGATAAAAAGGAAGTGACTGGAACATTATTTGATGATGTCTTCTTGACTTGTATGACTTCTGTAGAAATTGATGTTTCTCTGTGGATTACAGTTGAAGGAGGGTTGATTATTCCACCTCCAGCCATTACTGATAAACTGTGCCCTGATGACTGTAATGGACATGGCAAATGTGATCAAGGTAATCTTTGAAATTCTTGATGTTGAATTATTCATGCAGCCCTAGCAGGAATTTAAAAAATTTGTAGTATATAGTCAATATGTTCATTAATTCTTTGGAGAAGAATATTGGAGAAGTCATAGGTAAATATGAGGTCCATACCTTCATACACTTATGCTATGATTTGTTGGTAAAGTTGCCCGAAATTATGCCTTTCCAGCAAATGGAGCTGAGTTCCTGTCTGCCATTGTATTTTCAAAATCTTGCCTCTTGTTTGTCTGCAATGAAATTCATGTATCAGCAGACCCACAGAAATGTTATATGAAAGTAAAAGTATTTAAGTCATTTTTGTCACTCTGCTAAAAGATATATCAACAATTGATGTATTGAGCACTATTTTAACAATGAAAATATTTTATTATTGTACATTTTGACACTGTAGGTAACCATTTTAGTAAGATAAACAATTATCAATAACATGTACTTGATGTAATTTCTAGGTGTATGTAAATGTGATAAAGATTGGCTAGGTACAGCATGTGATGTCAATGCTAAAGAACCACCAACATTGATATCTATCTCCGGTAATGAATTCTGTGATAACCAAAGATTCAACTGTTTCTCTGTAACTGTCTTTGGTCTAGACTTTGCTGAGGTGGACACATTGAAATGTCAGTTAGTTAAAGATGGGGTAAGTTTATAAAAAACATATATTTCATTGCTTATGTTTTATTGCTATGTTATTATGCATAATATCATATAAGATACATTTATATCATATCACAAACATTTATATCATATCAGATACATTAATATCATATCAGATACATTTATATCATATCAGATACATTTATAATATATCAGATACATTAATATCATATCAGATACATTAATATCATATCAGATACATTAATATCATATCAGATACATTTATATCATATCAGATACATTAATATCATATCAGATACATGTGTATCATATCAAATACATGTCCATCATAACAGATGCATGAATACGATTTCATATTGAATACATGTATACAATATCTATATACAAAAATCACACATTGCTACACGTGTGGTACCAAATAAGATATGATGTTGCTATGGAAGCAGAAATTCTCAGCCATCTTGAATACATGATGCTCCTCTGCAACTTTGAGTTTGTAAATCCCCCAGCTGAAAGAGTAATTCTGCTCTGCGTTGTCTTGTTATTAATGGCAATGGATTCTTTCAAGAAGCTAACGCGTAGCTCTGTGTTCTACACATACATCTAAATTTTTCCATTATTTTCTTCAGGAAACAATTGTTGTACCAGCAGAATTTCACAGCCCAGAGAATGTCATATGTAAGATACCAACAACATGGTATGGTAAAGTAACTATTTCAGTTTGTAATGATGGTATAACATTTAGTATTATTAAACTAGAATATACTATTTACAACTCAGTGTGTCAAGTCTGTAACAAAGATGGCTGCAATGAACGGGTAAGAATATGCTTCATAAGATATACTATGATTTTTTTAAAATTTTTCCTTTTTATTGGAAGAACAAAATTTTTCGCTTGCCAATTGAATGCAACTAGTTTGTGGATTGCTTTGTATTTATGTCCCTAGAAAATGATTATTACAATTTTAGCTACAAGTGCCTGTAACACTTTTCAGATTGAAAATCTTACTAAAGGCTCATCTGTAACACAAGCAGAATGTACAATTAAATTTTTTTCCCTTTGAGCTATTTTCAGTCTATGGTCTCTTTATGTTACAGGATGATGTATGCAGAATCAATGGAAAATGTCTTGCTGATGGTTTCTTCGATCCAGAAGATGCTTCTAAATATTGTTCAGTTAAATTATCAAAGACTGATTGGACTGTCATTAGCAGTAAGTAAGATTTCATTGATCAACTGATGTGGCTTATGCCACTGCCCTGGCTAAATTTCCCTCATTGCACCCTGCATGGTGCAGAAAAGTAGGACATAAAACATTTCATTTCATTCAAAGCGCCATGATTTCATTAACTCATTAAGGGTGTGGTTTTGTGAGAAATTCCAATATTCAATGATTTTTCAAATATCCATCTTAACAATATGGTTGTTTTTTCAGTTGATGAAATAAAGGAAAAAAGAATCACATTTAAAGAAATTATTGATAGAATTATTATAACAAACAGTGTTAACATCACATTTACTGGAAACGTTAGACTAGAAATCAACGAACGTAATAAGAAAGCTATTAAATGTGGAGTTGGTGCTTTCCTAGATTTGACGTCTGTCAACCATCCATGTTTTAGTGATCCTGATAAATGTACCCTCGGACTGACCTTCTCATTTTCACTGAAATTGAAAACAATAAAAGATGACTCGTACCTGTTGTCAAGCTGTGCTGAGGAAACAGACGGTATTGGAATGTCAATTTATTACAAACGAAAGCGAATGTATATCACTGTCAGTTCCAGAAAACGGCAATGGATACTGATCAGTAAAAATATCAAACTCAACAAATATTTTGATTATGAAGTTTCTTGGAGCAAACAGACGGGTTTACAATTGTATGTAGATAAAAAGAGCAATGCTAAAACTACCAAATATTTTGACAGAGATGTGCAGACGCCATTACAATGTAACCTGTTCCTTGGTAAGAAAGCTAAACCAGGTTCACAGAATATTATGAATGAATTTGAAATCGAGCTATGGCAGGCTGTATATGCTGTGAAAGAAGTCGTTCAGAAGTTGGATGTAGTTGTTGGTAAGTTATAACTTTTTAAAATTCTATCTGCATTTTCTATAGCATAGTCGGTTAGTGCGTTGTTTTTTTACATGATGTCATTCGCTTGGTTAGGTTGAGCAGCTCGCTTGGCGTGTGCAAGTCTGAAAGTCTAATTCCAGTCAACCCAGCTGTAAATGGGTATGGTATGGATAATCCAGGAAAGATCAATATCAAGAGGTTTGGCCAAGGTTCAAGTTAGGTAGATTTGTATGACCTAAGAAGTATATATAAGCACGTTCGGTCGTGGATTTTAAACAAAATATAATGTTTATATATCACAATAAGTTTATCATGTCAAGGTTAAAGATATTGCATCATAGTTTTATTGGTATTTTTTCAGGCTATCCAAAATTGCCCAAATTGCCAGAAGTAAAGGTTGAAATCTTAGAAAGTAGAAAAGTCAATTTTGTGTGTGAATTTGAACTGATTAAAGGTTATGATGTAGAGTATGAGATAGAATATTATCTAGGTGAAACATCATTATTTAAAGATAGATTAAAAGATGGAATTATACCTAGATTAGCTAGTAATAAGATCACCAAAATTACTTCAAATATGCAGGTAGGTCTGATAAAAGATCCACATTCCTATCAAATTTGGTAAAGAAATCTGAAGAAAGCATGGACAGTTTTGTTGCCAAAAAAATTTTATTTGCTATGTGAACTCTCTGAAATGGTTGCCTGATTAACAAACAAGAGCATAAAGATGTTAGAGGGTACAGGCATGCCCTTCCTGTTGTAACACGTGACGGTACCTATGGAGTGGAGCTCAAGGTCTTTCCTACATGAAAGTTCTTAGCAGTCTTAGCAGTTTCACTTGAATGTGAACTATCTGAAATGGTTGCCTGAGTAACAAACCAAGAGCATAAAGATGTTAGAGGGTACAGGCATGCCCTTCCTGTTGTAACACATGACAGTACCTATGGAGTGGAGCTCAAGGTCTTTCCTACATGAAAGTTCTTAGCAGTCTTAGCAGTTTCACTTGAATGTGAACTATCTGAAATGGTTGCCTGAGTAACAAACCAAGAGCATAAAGATGTTAGAGGGTACAGGCATGCCCTTCCTGTTGTAACACGTGACGGTACCTATGGAGTGGAGCTCTAGGTCTTTCCTACATGAAAGTCTTTAGCAGTTTTAGCAGTTTCACATGAATGATATACTTCAACAAAAATATATTTTAGATTAAATGTAGTGTGGTGGCATGCTTTAAAGATAATTGTGAAGGAAGTCAAGGACCACCATCTGTAGGTCCTGGAGTCAGTCCTGGTATTCAGGTAAGACTACATCTGCTTAACATGTAAAATACAGGCATTATCAATCTCAAGATTCAAAAGGGAGTGAATTTCTGCATCTGGTAGAGCCTGGTCTAATATTTTTAAGTTTACACAAAAAAACGATGAGTGCATCTTGAGCGAATTGGTCAAGTAACACATTGTTGATCCAAAGATGTGTTAAATAGAGATTGTTGTCTCGAACAAAATGGTCGCTGCATCATAAAATTGGATCTGATGACGCCAATATGTTTCTAGTAGATGATTGCTTAGTTTGGACAAGATTTTGACTTGATTGTATTAAAGTATATTTTTTTATTCAGATTATTACCAAGAGTTTGACTGTTATTGAAGGCTCAATCAATGAAATGATTAAGATCAAGAGTAATGTACCACCATCTTTCTTCTGTGGTGATGATGAAGACTGCGAAGTGAGAATTATGGCTGGTATTCGAGCTGCCAAAGAACAGAAATGTCCCGATAAGCGAGTCATACCTCAAGCTGTGATAGCATGGACTGGAGATGTTGACCAAGCACCATTCTGTGGGGTGACACTCAGCAAAGCGAAATGGAATGAGTATCATTTGATTGCTGTCAAAGGTGTGGTAGACTCTCTAAAAGATGGAGATAAAAATAGAGTTGTTGAAGTTTGGGTGTCTGTCATCACTAAAGTCAAAACCATCAAGATTGAACTAGGACAGGTCAAGGTGAGTGTGTCTTGATTTAATTTGTTTACACAAAAGTTACAAAACTAGGGTAAATAATGAAAACAGACTCCAAGCTATATTCAAAATGACTCTTTCTAACGACATAACTGATATATATTGTACAACTGCCTAAAATGCAACATGACTGACTGATGTTTTTAAGGGGTTAACCAAGCTATGATTTTTCTTGCAGCTTAAAATCAAAGATGGCGATAAAGCCTCGATATGTAAATCAGTAAATGATCCACATATTACAACATTCGATGGAAGGTAAAATTTTACTCTCCTGAATATTATTTCCAAAATATTACCTCTATTTCTTCTTGCTCAAAGAATGTGGGTGAAATCTGACTCCAGGCTGACTTTCGAAGGCTCAGGCATCAGAATTTTTCTTACCTCGAGGAGTATTCAAACCCACAGCCTAGTAGAAGATAATCAAAATCGCTACCGACTGAGCTATTCCACTATCACTAGATATTGGTCTTAGGAGATGAAAGCCGACACGGGGCTGACTCTTGAAAGCACAGGCATGGGCATCAGAATTTTTCTTACCTTAAAGTGGATTTGAACCCACAGCACGTGGTCCTGTAACTTGTACAAATCCTGAAAAAGAAGGCTTATGTTGCAGTAGTCGCAAAACTGTTGCTTTCAGTTCAGAAAAGTAGCTTCCAGTAATGGTCAAAATACACTACTTGAATTCTGCATGTCACCAGGTGTAAAATAGATCACTTTTGACATCATTTTTCGTATTTTATTTTTCAGACGTTATGACAATTTCTTTGAAGGAGAGTTTGTCCTTTATAGACATGAAACTTTACCTTATGCTGTAAGTAATCTGCAGTAATATAAATTTAAACTTTCATTGATGGCTTACTGAAAATTTGATAAATCCAAAAATGACTAATGGAGCCAATTATTTGAAAAAGGAACATTGATAGGATCAAGATCATACAAAACTGTAAATTTGATTCAACAGCAGCACTATATTTTTTGACACGTTTTGGAAATATGATCTTTCATCAGGGCACTGGGCATTTAAATGATGGTTATTTTGTTACTGAGTTGTGCATTAGAAGATGTTGTTTTTTCTTTTAGGTTCATGCTTTCTACCGAGCTTGTAGTGATAGCAAATATTCTACAGCTTCCTGTAATTGTGCTGTGGCCATTAGAGTTGATGATGATGTTCTAGTCTTAGATAAATGTGGGGCTAAGAGAACCTATAGACCATACCCAATGAAGATCACACTGTATCAAAATGAGGAGCTGACAGAAGGTTTTATTATCACACAGGAAAGGTCTAGAAAGTACAGGGTAAGTATGTTCCTTTCTTGTTACCTGAATATGGTCAAACCCATGTAGTTTATGATTGAAGTTTGTATCACAAATATTCAAAGTGATAGATTATAAAGCTAGGTGCAGACGATTCATTCATTGAGGAGAAAATTTGTTATTTGTGGAAATTTGCCTGAAATTCACAAGATGGACATTGTTAAAAATAAATTCAGGTGATTAGTATGCGTAGAAGATTTGTGATACAATGATGCCATTTCTGTCTTTTACAGATTTATCTACCAAACGGTGTCAAAGTTGTTGTCAAAACCCAACGAATGAAGAGTTTGATGAACATCTGGGTAACTTCATCTTCCACTGATGTCGGACAAACTGAAGGTAAGTTTTTGGGTTGTTCTTTGAATGTCAGTTAGGTCACTTTCTAAACCATCTGCCCTGATAAGGAATCACTATTCAAACCATGTGTCCACAGAGACAGAAATATCCAGATGCTTGATTGATTGCGTCAAGACACAAGAGTTATCAAAGAGAAACCTGACTTCTTTACTTTTGACATCTTTTAGGTCTGTGTGGTGTTTTGGATGGAGATAAGTCCAATGATTTGAAAATGAGAAATGGACAAATTTCAACCGAGAAGGACAAATTCCCAGATGCTTTCTCAAAAACATGGAGGTAAGTAGGTCTTTATTTGTTTTCAAAATTAAAGAGTACTTTCTAGATCATCAGGACATCCTAGCGCTAAGATCGTTTCAAGAATACATGGCCAGGACTTCAAACTGGACCAACCTCTTTTCTGATCCCTGGCCCCAGTAGAAACACTACTGTATTTTGTTTATGTTTTGTAGAGTAAGTAAAGAAGAATCACTGTATGATGGTTATTGTGGTAAAACAACATTGAAAGAGAAGTCTGCAGTATACTGTGATTGTATGTTTGGAGAAGAGGCCGTATGTTCACCTGGTCTTGATGTCTTTGATTGTAGAAAGAAATCTAAGAAACCTAGAAGTAGAGGTACATCATTATAAGCTTTCTTTATCAGATAATTAGAGACAGACAGCATGTAACCCAATGCATTTAAAATTAGATTATAAGTTCGTTTCCTTATTATTATTTTGGTCTCCATTGTAATCTAACAAGATTTATACCAAGGTCACTTATTGGTGACGTTTCAAGCTATGCATAGCAGACAATCAGATTCACTCTTACAATCAAATAGTCTAATTTGGGTTTCACTATCCCACTATTCATAGTTGATATTTAGACACAAATTCTGCTTGATGACTGTGATTGGTTGAAATGAACTTCAACAGTACACAACCTTGGTATAAATCTTGTTAGATTACGATGGAATAAAAATTTGATGCAACAAGGAGAATTGGAAATGAGATTAACAGTTGCTCATGTCCTGATTTATATAATTTATATTACAGTAAAAGATATCACTAATAGGCTATCAGAAGACTCAGTCCGACCACTGAAATGTGTCTCAACAGAACCAAGAGTAACATTTGAATATAATATTACTTATATTCATAAGGTAAATTTTTGGGGGCCCATGTTAATTCTTGCTCGTCCTTTGGTTGTCGAAGATGACCACAAACTCCACTTTTAGGTTAAAGAACCAGGGTGATGAGTTCTAAGATAGATGATGAGGCTATACATTAGACATGTATGGTATTGAGCTGTAGAAAGCCTGCACTTCTTTTCTACAGTCTTGGTTTTTTCCACCTTGACTCAACTCATCTATTTCTAAGAACACTCATGAATGATCAATCTTTAAGTGCTATTTAGGGATAAAGATTACATTGTGTACAGTAAAACTCAGGAGAAGTATACCATTAAACTGTATTCCATTATTCATAAATGATTATTCTATATTAGGTTGTAAATTATGGTATTAAATTTGATGAAGCAGAAGGACATTGTAATAACAAACTGGGATCATTACCAGCAGTTAAAGACATTAAAGATATAATTGGTGTTGACAATGTACAGGCTTCATTAGAATTCTGTGTTAATGATATCATGGTAAGACTAAAAGATTTGAGAACATGTTTACGTGGGCTTGTCCTTGTCAAATTCAGATGAATTTCAAATTCTGTGTTCAAATTACAGATATACAATTGATATGAATTGTGGGTTCCAATCGGGGCTGTTGATTTGGTTCAATTTGGCTGCCATGACAGCTCATTACTTGGTTCAGTATATCTATGCTATTGAATCTGGATGTTTACAATTTGTCATATTTCATTTGAAAATAGGTTTAAGTTATATTGAAATCAAAATAGATGCAGACGTGTAGCAGTACGAATAGGGGACAGACAGACACAAAGTGGGAACAACTTTCAAGGCTGAATTCAAAATGCAGCAACTGTGCGGAAACATTATAGTCAAAAATCTCTTATGCGGTGTCTGTCATGGTTCTCCCAAGAAAATTTTCAAAACATTGAATTGATTTAATGCATTCTGACACGTATTTTGACGCCACTGTGCAAATATGTACCTGCACCCAATATGATTATGCACCCAAGAAGAATAACCTACCAAGTGTTGGCATGACCTTCTGGATTTGTTGTAAATGTGTCTGGTTTTTTACCAAATTTTGTATCTAATTTCAGCTAACTGGAGACTACACATGGGTCAATGTATTGTTGGACAATGTCAAAGAACAATGTATATTGAATGTTGAGGTTAATGTAGACAAATGGATAACAGGACCAGATAACATTCCTCTCTTACCACCAGCAATTGATAATATCTGTCCCAATGAATGTAGTGGAAATGGTACTTGTAAGGAAGGTAAGTTGATCAATGGATAACAGAACCAGATAACATTCCTCTCTTACCACCAGTAATTGATAATATCTGTCCCAATAAATGTAGTGGAAAGGGTACTTGTAAGGAAGGTAAGTGGACCAATGGATAACAGTACCAGATAACACTCCTTTGTTACCACCAGCAATTGATGATATCTGTCCCAATAAATGTAGTGGAAAGGGTACTTGTAAGGAAGGTAAGTGGACCAATGGATAACAGTACCAGATAACACTCCTTTGTTACCACCAGCAATTGATGATATCTGTCCCAATGAATGTAGTGGAAAGGGTACTTGTAAGGAAGGTAAGTGGACCAATGGATAACAGAACCAGATGTGTTACCAATGTGTTTATTGGGTTTCATCACTCTGATTGGTTGTGTGTTGTCAAATGGTTACGTCATAATGCTCACAACCTACCAGTGCTGCTCACTGGGAATTGCAGCTTCCAATAATAATTCTTCGCTAGCTCCTTTTGAGAAACTCTCCACTTCTTATTTGATCTAGAGGTATCTAATTGTTATTAACTTTACTTGTAGGAGAATGTGAATGTAATGAAGGTTTTAAGGGAGATGATTGTTCCATAGCTATTGCTCGACCACCTGATGTTGTTTCTATATCTGAAGGTCCATTGTGTGATACTCTTCAAAACAACTGTTCCATTATCAATATTTATGGCCTTCAGTTTGCTGAAACCATTTGGTGTAAATTCCAAAAATTAACAGTAAGTAAACTAAATGTAATTTTTTTTTTGATAGAGACCTTGGCAATTTAACGTTCAGTTAGTGTGATCTTTCACTAGTGACGTCTGCAAAATCCCACAAATTAGTTTGAAAGGCTTTAACTGTTTTCATTAAGACATTTGTATGCCAATATTTACCAGCAATCCTGGGTAAGTGCTTCCGAAAGTTATCCTGGTGCTGGCTTACAAACCCATTCATACTTTCCTTAAATTTCAACTGATTTGATTTTCAGATGACAACATTCCAAATAGATACTGGTAAAGCTGCTGAAATCAATGTTGGTATTTATCAAAGTGAAGAACAGATACAGTGTATGGTACCTGATCCATCAAGTAGCTACTTTGTTAGTATCAGTAATGATCAAATAGAATTCAGTGCTACTCTAAAGATTGTGGTCTATAGCTCAACTTGTATGACCTGTACTGATACTGGTTGTACAGAGAGGGTGAGTTCAGGTTTTTTTTCTTTTGAGAAATCAGAGATTTTTAATGCTAATCTGATATTTATATATTAAATGAAATGAAATGAAAGGTTTTACGTCCTTTTTTCTGCACCATGTGGGCTAATGAAGACGGACAAAGCCTTGCAGAATGCAATGAGGGAAATTTTGCCAGGACAGCGGCATAAGCCAGCTCTGTTTTGATTTCTAACTGTCAAGGGATCTTTAACGTTCACAGCATGTAGGCCATGGGGCCTTGGTTTATTGTTCCATCCGAACAACTAGACGCTTTTTCCATGTCAGCCCCTCTTACCTGCATCACTGACAGGGGGAAACCGGGTTGAAAAATCCAAATGTATTATCCAGACTTATGCTGGGATTGAACCCTGGACTTTCAGGTTAGCAAGCAAACATCTTAGTCACTGAGCCACCGTGGCTCCCCATATATTAAATGAACATATCTTGTTAAATATGAATGGATTCAGACCACAGAATTGGTCAGATAGGAAAAAATCAGCACTAAATTCCCTTTATTGTTATTTATAGAATGACGTCTGCAAGATTGAAGGTAAATGTTATGAAAATGGATTTGTCAATGAAGAAGATGAAAGTGAGGTTTGTGAAACAGCTAAGAGTAGTACAGTGTGGACAAAACTTGAAGGTAACAATTATAATTCTCATAAATTTAATTCCATTAGCATTAATCTGAAAAACACCATTCTGATGTCCAGATGATGCGATGTATAACAGTATAAGATAAAGTTGGTCATAACTACATGAATGTCAGTGCTTGACTTGCAAAGTTATCTATTTTACAGCATTCTCAATATGGTATAGTATCATATGGCTCAAATGTAAACAGCAAAATACAATTCGTTACTAACTTGTAAATATTTTCTGGGTTTTTTTTTTCAGCCAAAAATGTTAAAGTGATACGCTTGGATTTTCTTGAAGATAGTAGGCAACATCTTGGTTACGAAGGCTTATAACTTAACTCTTGTTGGATCACCAGTCACAGACGTTGGACCATTGGGAGGATTGGCCATAGTTCTAAATGGTTTAGGACAGTACATTGTTCTTGGTGATAGGGTCGGCGAATGTCTGGGAGATATTGAAAAATGTCCACTTGGTCTGACCATCTCATTCAAGCTGAAATTTAAGTCTCTAATTGAAGGTGGAATTATCTTGAGTAGTGGGGCTGAGAAACGTGACAAATATGGTATGGTCATGTGGTACGAAAATGGACGCATCAATCTTAAAGTCAGCACCAAGACCAAGGAATGGTCTGTGTCTGTCAGTAAAGTGTCTCTTAATAAATTTGTGAAATTCAAATTTTCTTGGAGCCGACAGATTGGCTTGAGGTTCTATTTGGATGAAAAATTGGAAGTAAACAACAAAAAGTTCATAGCAAGAACTGCTGCTACTGTTGCACGATCAACCAAATTTCACATTGGTTGTGGTGTAGAACAGGAAAGATTTGCTAATTTTACCATTCAAAGTTTGAAGATTGTCGAAGCTATTGAAGAAACAACTGAAAAATTGAAAGTCATCACAGGTAAGATTTTGATTTTGAAATTTGACGTCTGCCACAATTTTGTGCAGAAATACATGTAAGTTGGCATAGTGTTATAGCAGAAATAAACTATGATGGCTGTTGAACATTTTCCTGGAGGAGTGGATTTACATATCAAGATCCCTTGAACAAATAAAGGATGGGACAATAAACCGAGGCCCCAAGTGATACAGGCTGTGCACGTTAAAGATCCCTTGACAGTTGGACATCGAAAAAGAGCAGGCTAATGCCGCTGTCCTGGCAAAATGTTCCTCATTGCACCCTGCATGGCATTGTCTGTGTTCATAAGCCCACATGGTGCAGAAAAGTAGAACGTAAAACTTCATTCATTTCATTTCAATTTGAACAAATAAAATGAAAAGTCATGCCATTTTGTCAAAATTTTCCTCATTGAACACTTTATGGCCTTGTCTGTCTTCATCTGACTAAATAGGTGCAGAAAAGTAATTCATTTCATTTTTTTACTGTTCTTTGTATATCACACTTAATACTATGTTTTAGAGCTACCTGTCTTTGAAATGGCACCAAAATTGAAAGTAGTGGTCGACAAACTGATATCATTAGAGTGTAGTTTTGAGAAGTTAACTGAGGTAGAAAATGAAAAATACACTGTGAAATTTTATTCTGGGGAAACTGTCATTGAAACAGTTACAGTAACAGACGGAAACTCAACCACTATTGATGAAAGCAAACTTGGAAAATTGACATTTGGTGGCTCCGTAAGTATTTTGGTTTTTTTTTAAATGTTGAGTTATTTTCACTTTTATTTCAATTGGATCAACTCTGCTTGAAATATAGATCTAGATGATTTCTTAAGTTTTCTCCCCAGTTTACTTCACTTATCATCCATGATCTGATTAATTTTTTATGCAACTTATGTTCTATGCCATTGAAATATGGCGCCAATCAAGTGGTTTGTACAATAAAACCTTTTGCTACTTCATGAGAAAAATTCTTAATTGCTTATTATTGACTTTGGGCAGACAAATCACAGAAAGAAAATTAGAATTGAAGTGCTTGTTTTGCTGGATACTATAGATTTTGTTACCTAATGTAACAACATAAATTTGTCATAAAAGGGACTTATCTAATTGATATGTAGAGAAGTGATAATTTGTTCTCTTCAATACATATTGAATGTAATTTTCATTATTTCAGCTTAAATGTGGTGTATCAGCATGTTTTACCAATGATTGTTTTGAAACTAGTGGTCCAGAAAGAATGAGTGAAGTTATCCAAACATCCATTCAGGTAAGATATTGATTCTAGTGCTGGATATCCTCAATCATGCCACGATACGATACTTCAAAGTTTCTTTATATATTAATTAATTAATTGAATTAATTGAGTTGATAAAAGTGTAAGCGTCCACTGTTTCAGTGAAAAAAATTATTATATCTAATAACAACTGTTATAACAACAAAAATCCGCACTTTTTTGATGGAATAAATGGAATCGCCAAGTATCTATACACGACGTCACAATACGATACATCGTCGCATTTTATATCGCAATACATCAATTCACCTATATATCGTGCCAGCACTAATTGATTCTCATCAAAGTCTTAGGTTTGAATTTTCAAAATAGCGCTTTGAAGCTTGTGATGTTAAAGAATCATATAATCATTTAAAATGCAATATTTGTTATTTCTTTAAATAATAGCTAGTGGGGAGTCATGCTTTCTTGTTTGAAACTGAAAATGTTGTTTTGTATTTTGTGACATGATAACATAGCAATGCCTCTGAGAGCTGAAACTCTCCTTCTTTTTACGTATACACAGAAATGACCCCTATGCCACTTCTTTGGTCCCGTACTCAGCCCTCCTGCATAATAGTTGATAAAAATGGGATTGCATCAATCTGAAATATAAGCATAGAGTTGAAGTTTTTGAACTTTCTTCTTCAGGTCTTGACAAAAGAAATCACAGTATACGAAGGTGGAGTTGAAGAATACATAATGGTATCAACATTATTCCCTCCAAGACTATTCTGTGCTGCCAATGAGGATTGTCGCTTCAGAATCAAACCATCATTCCTGAGTGTCAAAAAGGAAATAAAGTGTGCTGACAGACGTGAAATACCCCAGGCTCTGATTGGATGGATGGGTGGTAAAGAGGAAACAGCATTCTGTGGAGCTGATATCACTCAGACTAATTGGGAAACTGTTCTCAAGATTCCAGTAAAGGCCTCCATTGATTCCTTGAAAGACAAAGATCAGACTCGTAAAATCCAAATTTCAGTTCAACTGATTAGGAACACTGTGGTTGAAAGTTTGAATTTCCAGCATATTATTGTTGTAAGTATTCTCTTCACCTTTATCTCTTTCCTTTTTTTACTTTGACAAATATTGGTTGACATTGACAAATTTTGGTTGACATTGACAAATTTTGGTTGACATTGACAAATTTTGGTTGACATTGACAAATTTTTGTTGGCATTGACAAATATAGTTTTGCATTGACAAATTTTGGTTGACATTGACGAATTTTGGTTTGAATTCATAAATTTTGGTTGACATTGACAAATATAGTTTGGCATTGACAAAAATTTATCTTTTATCAAAATGTTGTTTTTACATAGACAAAATATTTGTGTATTTTGAAAAAAATACGGTTTCACATTGACAAATTATTATTTTCCATTGACAAACTGCTGTTTTACATTGACAGATATTGCCATGTTGCGAAATATTGCCAGACATTTACAGACATTTACAAATACTATTATTATAACGGAAAATAAAATAACATTTTTTTTTTTTTGACATATACTTGATGTCCGACAGAGGCTAAATGCAGTTGGACATTTTTGGCAGGACAGTCGGTCGTGTCCAGCATATATGGGCACATCATGATCCCTGATATAAATAGTCTACAATTCCATTTTTGACTATTTGTTGCTTCTTTTATGTTAAAACTATTGCCATGTTTGTATTACAGGTAACTATAATAGATCAAGATAGAATCAGATTATGTAGTAGTACAGGTGATCCTCATATGAAAACATTTGATGGAAGGTTGGTATAACTATTAATTATCTATATTTTCATGCAGACCGCAGCAGCATGAGCTATTATTATTTTTTCCATTCATTTATTATATTGTACCCATGGAGTGAATGTTAGACAGGACCATTTCCTTGTGTATTGGGCCTAATTCTGACCCATGTAAAATTAAGAGTTTATTATTATTATTATTATTTGAATGGGATTTGAAGATCCTTTGTCAGTTCAAAGTTGAAAGTGCTAATGTAGCCAAGATTTCCTAATAATTTTGCCACCTTCAACAGATTTTAAGATGCAGAAAAAGAATCTATTTCAATTGTATCGGCCTCTTTCTTTTGTAGAAAGTATAACAATTTCTTGGAAGGTGAATTCCTGATGTATAAACACAAAACTCTACCATACGAAGTACAGGGCTTCTATAGAAGTTGTTTGAATAAAGCAGCATGTACTTGTGCTGTTGCTGTTAGATCTGGTGATGATGTGGTAGTCATTGATAGATGTGGTTCTATGCGTGGTAAACCAAACCGCCGTACACCACTTACAATCAATTTATATTTGAATGGTGAATTGACTCCTGGTACCAGGATCTTAAGATACAGAAATGGAAAAGAATTCAGGGTTAGTTTTTTGATATGATTGATCTTAAATTACGTAACAATGGCCATGTATTCTCAAAACTATCTTAGGAAGCCGCGGTGGCTCAGTGAGTTAGATGCTTGCTCGCTAACCTGAAGGTCCAGGGTTCAATCCCTGCATAGGTCGAGATAATTTTTCGGTTTCCCCCTGTCAGTGATACAGGTGAGAGGGGCTGACATGGAAAAAGTGTCTAGACGTTCGGATGGGACAATAAACTGAGGCCCTGTGTGCTACAGGCTGTGCACGTTAAAGATCCATCGACAGTTGGAAATCGAAAAAAGCAGGCTTATGCCGCTGTCCTGGCAAAATTTCCCTCATTGCACCCTGCATGGCGTTGCCCGTCTTCATTAGCCCACATGGTGCAGAAAAGTAGGACGTAAAACTCCATTCATTTCATTTCATTTCAAAACTATCTTAGCGTTAGGATATCTTAGAAACCAAGTTAGAAGTTAAGACCAAGAACATCTTAATGCTAAGAATATACAGCCAGGTTCAATTTGTCTATAAGGCATCACAAATGCAAATTACTATAAAGAAGAAGACATTACTTAGCATTTTTAACATAGGTGATATTACCAACTGGTGCTATGGTCAAAGTCAGGAAGTCAAAGGCTGTTGGAGGAAGATATCTGGATGCCTGGATTAAACCAGCTACAGTAGACAGAGACAATGCTATAGGTTTATGTGGTAATTTTGATGGTGATAATACTAATGATTTGATCATACGACAAACTGGTGTCTTGTTCACAAAGAGAACCAAACAACCCACAGAATTCTCAAAGAGTTGGAGGTATGCTTTTGATATTAGTTCAATGAAGATGGGGAACATTGCCAAGTCATTTTTTTATATTTCCCAGGTTTTATGATAAAATAAGCTATAAAAATAAGAGAAAGATGCATTAAGACTTCTATGAATTAACTGTTTTTGCTTTAATAACTGGACACAATTATATGGATAACAATTACTTTAATGAATAACATGCAACGTTACAATGATGATGCTTTCCTCTATCATTGTTTGATAAAGACGAAAGCATTATCGTCGAAACGTCAAAAGTTATTTATTAAAGTAAAGTGTCCAGTTATTCATACCCCAGTTACTAAATGCCAATCAAGGAAGTATTTTTGTTTTGTTTTTAGAGTCACAAAAGAAGAATCACTTTATACTGGATCATGTGTACTAGAGGAGAAAAAGGTTGAAAAGGAACCAATATTCTGTAGCTGTCAAGGTGAAACAGAAGTCTGTGGACTCTTAACCAAAGACACTTCCTGTTCCTCAGTGAGCACAAAACAAAGAGGCAGGCGTGGAAGGAGAGGAGAAGACATCACTGAGAAACTAATGACATCTCTTGATACCCAGAATCCACCTAAAAAATGTCTGACTCAACAGATTTTAGTTTTCTTTGAGTTTGACATCAACTATGTTTTCCCAGTAAGTAAGATTAGTTGTAGTTTTGTTGTACAATTTTTTTTTTGATTCCGACTGTTTTAACTTCAAGGTCATAATTTCCTCATTATCAAGTTGGATGCCTTACAAACTTTGTCTTCATGATTCTGATCAATATATCCCCTAAAGGTGAATTCATCTGAGTAAAGCAGATAGTTTCATTCAATTCTGATATAAGTTATTAAAACATTATTGAACTTGAAGAATCACATATAACATTACAGGAAGTGTCATGGCCGACTGCAAGTGGTAGAACAGAAGTACAAGCAGCAGCAGAATGTAAACGAGTTATTGAAGAATCAGTATCAGGAGCAGCCTGTAAAAAAGTAGCTGGTGTTGCAGTAACTGAGAGTTTGGCTACTTGTATTGAAGATATAAAGGTATACTTCCTCAAGCCAAACATATCTTTTTTTTCAATTTCACTCAAACTTGAATTCTTCTGTTCATGCAGGCAGCCTACATTTCATTTCACCTTGACATTCGTTTTGAATCAATCCATACTGAAAAATGACAATATTAAATCTTTTTGGGCTCCTAAATATGAAATATCAGGTACTATTTCTAGAATTATTTTGCCTGGATAGAGGGGAGGCCTATCCCTAATTATAGATTTGTTAATTTTTACTGTGTTATGTAGGCCTATGATCAATTTAATTAATAAATTTACAAGATTTATTTTTTTAAAAAAAATCAATTTGGAGTTTAAAATTTAAGTGTCTTGAAAAAATCTCTTAACTTTTCACCCAATCTCCAGATTTTTCAAGGCAAATCTCAATATTTTTTTTTCCAGACCTGTACACAAGTATGTGCAGGCCTACAATTAAGATGTTTTCTTTATTTTGAATGGTCTTCATACAAGAATTTTTGATATTCTTACTGCCTTTTTTTCAGATTACTGATCTTGTAGAATGGGCTGAATCAGCCTTCAATAACTTTATTGAAGAGTGTACCAATACCATTGAGAACAATGTTGAACTGTGGGAAACAAAGAATATCAATGGTACAGAAGAAATCATACCACCACCAGATATTGTGGATAAAATATGTGATGGTGATTGTAGTGGACATGGTACCTGTGTAGAGGGTAAGGAACTTTGTGATTATCCATTCAAGTCTGAATGAACCTTAAAATGTCTGTTTGTAAAATGTCAAATATCTTTGCCACAATACCAGAATGCACATCCAAAGATTATCAAGTGGGATTAAAGATCCATTGAGCCTACCTTTAAAGATGGGTTTCCTTATCTTTTTAGTGTCAAATTAAGCACATTATTTGATTAATTGGTGTTTCTAATGAATTATCATGTATTCTCAATCATATCGTTATGTTCTTATTGCATCTAATTAAGAGTTTTAACCAATGATAAATGTCCATGTATGTAGAGTCTGGATAAACAAAAAAAGACTTTTTGATCTTTCTTGATCGGTCACTCATTGAAATTCTGCTCGTAATTCTCTTCTAATTTAGCTGATTATGAATAAATTATGGACATGTAAAACAAACTGTTATTTTTTCAAGTCATTTTTATAAATGAAAATGGGAACCCATCTTTAAGATATTTTAATGCTTGCTTCTTTTGGTGTGAAATGATTTTAAGGGATACTATTAGGGAGCCTTTCAGTCTGGTAGTATCAACTGAAGCTGCTGATGCGTTACCTACATCTTTGTGTTTATTTTCATTAGGTGAATGTGAATGTGAAGAGAATTATACTGGAGATGATTGCTCACTCAATAAACAAGAACCACCAGTACTTTATGAAGTCTTGAAACCAATCTGTGACACCAGACTTTCTAATTGCAAACAGATCGCTGTCTTTGGTGCTTCTTTCATCCAGTCTGAAAATTTAGTTTGTAAACTGGAAAAAATGCAGGTAAGTTTTGACTGAGAGCTGGATTCATAATTCATCACACCTGAAACACCAATGAAATTGGTTTGATTGAAAAAGTCTCTTCTTATGTAATATCCATATCATTTTTGGCCTGATTCAATAAGTTGGAAAAGAAATCTGTGCATTATGCAATGAACTAAAAAAAACACTTATTAAATAATGTGCATGCAAGATTTATTGCTTTACATTTAATGCAGAATTTTACATACCATATCACCAGAAGTGAATGGTTCTTGGGCCCGGCTTTTGTGTCCAATGCTAAGTGATTAAGGCAATTTTGGAACCTTTTAAAGCCCAAAGAATGCATTTCTGAGGATTCTGAAGCCTTAAAATCCCATCAAAATGAAGACCTGATGATTAAACTACAAATTTATCAATAACTGCTGAATTGAAGAATGTTTTGAAAGAGATCAGTTGCCTGGGCTTAATTCTCACTTGCCTGGGCCAAGCCACCATGTGCCCCACCCCTGACCATGGATATGATGTTGTACCCAGGGACTTGATCTAGATTCTAAGCTACTCCACAATAAACAGATTACACTTATATATTATTCATGATTCCAGAGAACAGACGTCACTTTCACAGCAACTGGTGATACTTTAACTGTCAATGCTACCTTTATTAGTGATGAACAAGTCAGATGTGAAGTAGATACAGCTAATACGTATCGTGTTGCTGTTAGTAATGATGGTGGAAAACTAGACAGTACTACTAAGGCATTGTTTGTATCATACGATTCCGCCTGCTACTCTTGTACCAAAGATGGTTGCACCTTAAAGGTAAGTCGTCTGCATGGATCATATGCACTACTTTTATGGGATATCATCTACTCTAATAGTAAGTAAATTAGACAATAGTGCAATACACCAGAGTTTAATTTAGATTTGAAATTTGATTAGCAATTTATGTCGAAATTTAATTTTGGCTAATCAAGTTAAATTTTGATTCGCATTTCTTTAGAATTTGGAAGTAATTTAAAATATTCCAGTAGGAAACATTCAAATATACAATTAGATTTTTTTTTGCAGATCAACATGATAAATTTTAATTTTGGCTTATCAAAGGAAATATTGGATTGCAAAAGGGGTCATCGCAAACTGCAATGCAATGCTGCTTAAATTGGACCCTGCTATACTCATATGCAATTTTCCCTGAAACCTATTGAACACATAAGTCGTTTTTTTGGTAACAAAGTTACATTATACATGCTGTTAGTATTTATGGAAAAAAAATACGAGGTCTGTGCATTTGTGAAATGAAATGTAATGTGTAAATCAAATATTTCCCTCAATTGCACACTTGAGTGATTGGAATCAAGTCTTTATATAATTTGTTTGTAGTCGGATGTCTGTGATATTAACAATGAATGTTATGGTGAAGGATTTGTTAATCTGGAAAATTACGTACAGAAATGTTCACCTGGAAAGACAACATGGACTGATATAACCAGTAAGTATGACTTCAGTCTGTGAAATCTCCCAAAATCAAAGATGGTGGCTCAGTGAGTTGGATATTTATTTTCCTGCCAATGTGTCTATGGTTCAGTTTCAGCATTATGCACTCTATAGTCTACAGTCTTTCAATTTGTTAGCAAAATTATTTCAAATTAGTTTCTTACATTTCAATGTCAAATGAATTTAAAAAGATACAGAGAATTGTCATTTATTTAATTCATATTGTTTTTTTTCCAGAGGAAGAAATCAAGGTCTTCAAATTCTTTTTCCTTCGTATTGAACAGAACAAATTAGTTACATTATCTGGTAATTTTGACTTGTTTAATAACCCCTCGTTCACAGATGGTATGAAAGGCAACAAAGCAATTCAGTTGAACAGTGAACAAAAACAATACATGACAATATCAGATAACGTGGCCTGTATTCTCAATCCCATGAATTGTAAATTAGGGCTGACTATTTCATTTAATATTCGTGTTCGCAAATTCGAGGAGAATGTTGTCTTGCTTACCAGTGGAGCTGATAAGGAAGATGGTTATGGGTTAGCTTTGATCAGAAAAACAAACAGCTTCCTGCTAGTAATCAGCACTGACACTCAAGAATGGTCAATCCTCACTCAAGATATACAACTCAATGTTTTTGTCTCTGTCAAAATTTCATGGAGCGTTCAAATTGGTTTAAAATTGTATTTGGATGGTGAAGAAAAGGCCACTGCAAAGACATTCATTCCAAGAAATGTGACTGCAACAGAGACTGACAGGTTCATTGTTGGAAAAGCTGCCGAGAAAGAAGCCTTTGCTGATATGGACATCGAACACGTTCAAGTCATTGATGCTGTGCAGGAAACTGCTGATGCCTTAAATGTAGATGTTGAAGGTTTGTTCTCTTCATATAATTAAACAACTATTTTAAGTGGAACAGTCAACATTTTCAAAGAGTTGCTTTGTGTTTTGAATATATATAAATAGTCTTCAAAAGAACTTAAATTGCACGAAAATTGCATAATCCCTTCACATTCCATTTTTCTATAATATATGTCTTTTCCATATATGGTGGAGTCGCAAGAAAAGATGAATCTTTTTAACTTTCAATCAGGGATGATTCTCGATCAATCCTAAAATTTAAACTGCTCAGTTAAATGAATTAAATCAAACACTCCCTTCCTAGAAAACTAATAGAAAATTGATAGTTTTATATTAAAAAGTACCCAGTAAAATCATTAATATTTAAGTTTGAAAAATTATGAAAATTCCTTTTCACATTTTAGAGACAACGGAAGCCCCTCAAACAACAGAGACATCGACTAATAGTACAACAGATACCACAGATGGAAGAACCGAAAGTACTACTGATGGAGTAAGTGAAAGTACTACTGAAAGTGCAACTGAAAGCACTACAGATGGAATAACTGAAAGTACTACTGATGGAGTAACCGAAAGTACGTCTGAAAGCACAACAGATGGAGTAACCGAAAGTACAACTGAAAGCACAACAGATGGAGTAACCGAAAGTACCACTGAAAGTGCAACTGAAATTACGACTGATGGAACAACAGAAAGTACTACTGATGGAGCAACTGAAAGTACTACTGATGGAGCAACAGAAAGTACTACTGATGGAGCAACTGAAAGTACTACTGATACAGCAACAGAAAGTACTACAGATACAGCAACAGAAAGTACTACAGATACAGCAACAGAAAGTACTACAGATACAGCAACAGAAAGTACTACAGATACAGCAACAGAAAGTACTACAGATACAGCAACAGAAAGTACTACAGATACAGCAACAGAAAGTACTACAGATACAGCAACAGAAAGCACCACGGATTCAACAACTTCTACTAAATGCATAGGTAAATGAATATACATGTATTTAACCAAATTACTTTTCTTACCAGGTAATCATCTGACTTGTTCTTGCTACTGAAAGAAATATATTTTTCATTGATTGTTTAGTGTGGTTGTATATCATGATTTTTACCATTGTGGTAGTGACGGGTGTCACATGCAAAGCAGACGTATATTGTCGTCACGCATGTCCGTCCGTCTATCGGTTCGTTCGTCCGTCCGTCCGAATTTTCGATCAACAGAATTGGCGATAGAGGTGACAGTTTATGTCAGAATTTTATTAAATAATGTGTCTTTGTTTAAATCAACAGTATCTTGCACAAATTAGATTTTTGGTAGGAATTGACACAAGTAGGTGACTGCCCTCGATATACTGAAAATGTATCAGGAAAGTGGGCGTATCTTGCTAGGCAACTACTTGTTTATTATTAAATTACAGCCTAGTTATATAGATGATGATTTATCTGAATTAGAGCAAACATTTTTTTCTCATTTCTGGCATCTTATTGAGTTCTTTGGAAAAATTTATATTAGGAAAACATGAATATGGGACTGCTTTTCTTCCAGACTCTGCTGATAGCTACCCCAAGATGCCTGGAGCTCCAGATTTAACCTTTGAACAAGTTGATGATAAGCTGTCTTTCACCTGTACACCACAGAAGGTCACTAGTGAAGATGGTGTGGTTTACACTGTTACATGGGTGGTGAATGCTATAGATGTTGGTACTGGTGACATCGCTACAGAGGAATCTCACATTCTCAGTTACCAGGATATCACCAACTCTGAAGCTGTTTTAGATAGTGGAGTAAGTTGAAATTAGTTAAATCTTCTATCTTCTTGGTTCTTCAAGACAACCTGATACCACTTTTCAATATGAATTACTTACTCCCTTATGTTTGATATACTTGCTCATGTGATAATTTCATTAGCAGCTACAAATATTTTGCCAGTATGTTGTTTGGATTTCGGTTTTCGTTTTGCGGTTCTGATTGTTAGTACTTGGTTTGTTTATTCCATGAGGTTTTTGGAATATATTAAATATTTTTATTCCATTATGATTTATTTAGATTGTTTAAAGGAATAGTTACTGTAATATATTTACTTCTTAATAGATAAGGTCTACATTTTTTTTGAACTTTCAGATAACATCAAGTGCATAATTTTAGTATTTCCATAAATGCAAGAAATACTCATTATTACTATACTAATTATTCTGATAGCTTAAGATGGGGAAACATTTTTCTCAATCTTTTTGTTCAAGCTCAAGACAAACTTTAATCGTTGTTTGGATATTTTAGATATCATGTAAAGTAACTGCTAGAAATCCTAGAAGATGTGTTGTGGAGACCAGTCCAGCCATATCCAGTATACCTCTCCCAGCATTCACTAGACAGGTTTGACTATTTACATTAATTTGTTTTTCAATAGATGCCTAATATCAAATTGTCATAGTTTGTACTGACTTAAATGAACGAATCCAAACTGTGTTGCTTATCTTAGGTATACAACTCAAGTAGATAGCAACGCGTGAGATACTTTTTAGCCAATAGATGGGCAATATTAGGGATATTGACCAATGTAATGATAGTTCAGCGAAGACCACTTTTTATTAAAGGTGATCATTTTTTCAACCAGTCGGTGTACAGAATCAGACTTATTAACCAATCGAAAGATAGATCAGAATACTGATATCACTCAATGAAATAAAGTAACATTGTTTACACATCGACAAAAATATACCCCACATTCCATCAACCACGTCAATAGTAAATTAATGTTACCCTGTCACTGATAATTACTTATTTTATTCATAAAATATCAAGATAGTACAATGCCCATAAATATATTTTAAAAAAATCACATCGAAAGTCACAATGGATCTTAACAAAGGGTTGTCATTTTGTACCAAGAAATTTGAAGATTTGGATATCCCACAAATTCACACAAATTCTTTTGGTGCCAGTTATGTGAGAAAATAAATTCAAAATTAAGCAAACGACTAATTTGAATGTAGCCTAAACTTTTATGTGAGCTTGGAGCTTTAGAACTAGAAAAAGGTGGTTTTCATGTACTTTGTAAAAAATTTCTTTAAGCATTATAAACTTTTGGTTATGAATACGGAATGTGAATGTATGTTGACTTCCATTGAAGATGTTTGTTCTTACTGACAATAATGATTATTTCAATAGCATTTATAACCATTCCTTTTGTTTTTCTCACTATTTCATTTTACTTAGAAAACTTATACCATCATATGTATCATATAAGAAACATAGTGTTTAAACATGATGCATTGTAAATGTATATATGTTTTATAAAACTTTCTGTATTTTTATTATATATTTAGTATATAAATTAGTTTGGTGGGGAAACATAGTGGTTACATTTTCATATTTCTTTCCTCATCCATGTTACGTTGTAAATGTATATATGTTTTATGTTACTTTTGTGATTTTATTATACGCCCACATCTCTCTATGTGGACGTATATTGTTGGCACCCCCGTCCGTCGGTCCGTCCGTCAACATTTTCTTGTAAACGCTCTAAAAACTAGATTTTTTGATGGAATCAAATGAAATTCGGTATGTGTATACATATTCATAAAACGAAGATCAAGTTCGAATTTGAGATATTTTCGACAGTTAGAAGCAGAGTTATTGCCCTTGCCCCAAAATCTTGAATATTTACCATCCACATGCCGTGGCGGGCGTATATGGCTATGGTCTACTATCTTTCTTTCTGTAATCTTGTATATAATTTGTTTAGTGGGACCTATTGAAAATTTGACTTCTGTCTAAATGAGTTGTCAAAATAAAGTTATTATTATAATTTTATTATTATTGAATGAATTGAGAGTATTCTGATGAATTTGAGATGAAGCTACAAAAGTGCAATCTTTATTACCAGCATTTCATCCTTTTCAGGTTGTTGATGCAGAGAACATGGAATTAGTCGAAGGAGCAGCCTCAAAATCAGTCAAAGTAACATTGAGTCAGTCCCAACAATATTACTGTTTGCTGAAATTCAAACAAACTTGTGAAATCTCCTTTGAAGCTAAAGCTATACGAGCTGACAAACCAAACAAATGTATCAATGGAAAACTCATTAATGGTATAGCTGTTGATTACACTGGAGAACTAGCTACAGCATCTTGTAAAGCTCCAATGACAGGTCAAGAACATACCATATCATTATCAGCAGTGTCAGATAGGAAGGTCATGAGAACAGATGTGGAATCAACTGTACAGATCATAGAACATGTTTCTTATGGAGAACAAACCAAATCAGAAACTCTTGGAGAGTTTAAGGTATGGGAAATACTAAATACCAAAAAAAAAAAAAATTCAAATTGGATGGCAATATTTGCACAGTTGCATTCATCTTTAAATTTAAAGATGGGTTCCCTTATTTTCATTTATGAAAATGAAAATGCTAAGACTTATATGAATAGAATGACTTGGAAAATACCAGTTTGTCTTACATGTCAATAATTAGTTAAATTGTTAGAGAATTACCAGTAGAATTAAAGTGAGTGGCCAATCAAGAAAGGTGAAAAAGTCTTTTTTGTTTATCCAGACTGTACATACATAGACATTTATGATTGGTTAAAACTCCTCAAAAGATTAAAAATACATGATAATTCATTAGAAACACCAATTAATCAAATAGTTTGCATAATTTGACTCAAACAAAATAAGGAAACCCATCTTTAAGAAATTGAAACATATATCCTATTTTGATATTTTAATTAAAAAAAATTGATGATTCATATTTAAATGGAGTTAATGATTTATTACCTGTTGTGCATAAGATAAGATTTTTTTTAACTGTTTCCAATTTTGCCTCAAATACCAATAAATAAACCATATATTGGAGTTCAGGGAAACTGTTTTTCATCATTTGCAGGTCAAAGTTAAGAGTGTAGATGTCCGAGGAGCCTATTGTAAAACTGTAGGAGATCCTCACATCAGAACTTTTGATGGGCAAACATTTGATAATTTGAGAACTGGTGAATTTACCATTTATAAAAATACTGAAATGGAAGTTGAGGTAAGCATCCACCAAAGTGTTAGTGGTTATTTGAATTGAAATTTTGGTTCATTGGGCTTTAAAGGCAAACTACCTCTTAGAATGGACATAATATTTAAAGTCTCAAACTTGGTTAACAATTGTATATATTCATTTGTTGGACTTACCAGGTGCCATGACAAAAGAATAGAATCTCTATACATGCATAAGACTATATTTGAATTAAACAAAGAAATTATTAGCTTACAAGTGGTTTCAAAATTACTTAGTTTTATGGATTTATTGAATTATAGACGAATTCTGTCGTATAGTTAAGGTAAGTTCACTGATGAACAAAGACCCATTTTGGCCAAGTTTTGAACTTTTGTAGCATCTGAGAAATTCAAGTTTGAATTGAAATTGAAGCTCTCCAGGAAAAGTTTCTGGCTTATCTTTATATGCTCCCAGTGTCATTGATCTTTTATGGACAGATACAGCAAGTTTGTATTGTTTTTCAAGGTACGAGGTTTGTTTACGGAGACTGGTAGTGGCAGTAGTAGTTGTGGATTTTTAGTCAGATCGGGAGATGATATCATTAAACTTAGTAAATGTGAACTTGAAGAGAATTCGGAAGCCTTCCCTCTGATACCAGAATTGCTACTGAAGGATGAATTGACACCAAATACCAAAATTTTCCAAGAAAATGGTGGCAATAAATACAAGGTAATAACTACTTGCAGAATAAATATCCATACAAGCAAGACAATTAATTAAAAATCTTGTCCAAAGAATGGTAAAATCGGGAGTAAGAATTGTTTAGTAGTGGAGAGAGAACTACCATCAGGTGTTTGGAAAATAGTAAGCATAGTTAGCTTCGGGCACAGCACCCACCATTACTATAATGGTCCAAATCATGAGATACAACCAGATCAGTTCATATCTGACCAAACAAATCAGCCAAAATCCAAAAAGCAGATTTATTATATTTATCAAGAAGTAACCCTGTTTCAGCAATTTCAAACTTAATACTTGACGTCTATTTAGAAAATCTCCATCAATGATACACTTTTAAAATAGGCAAATTAAGCAGTATGATGAACAGCATTCATGTACCTTGTATTTTTTTTTTGTCAAATGTATGGGCATAAAGTGATCAAACTCAGTTTTGGTCTTCAATGAAGGATATGCTTACTCCTTTTTTGCCTACATCATACTTACATATGTGTTTTGTCAAATTATAAATTGTGCATGTCTTAAGGTGTATTTTGCCTGTTTCCAGATTCTGTTGCCCTCAGGAACTCAAATTGTAGTACGAAATGATGTTAAAAGAGCAACAAATGTTTGGATTGTTCCATCTGGAGAAGATTTTGGCAAGACAACTGGTAAGACTTTCAACAAAATCTGAGGCATTTGTCTGAAAATTACACATTTATGTGTATAAGGGCCTATTTGATTTTTATATGCACAACACATATCAGGAGATAATGAGATGAGCTCTTGGCAAATATTTTCATCTATTTGTTTTTTTTTTAAGGTACATGTACCATGGTTTGAAATTTTTGTCTATGTGGCACAAAAAGTTGTTACCAAGGCCATTTAAGACTATAGCTTCAAAAGGTTTTGTTTGGGATACAATTAGGTCCAAGCTTTTTCAAAGCTGAAAGTTTTGAAGTTTTATATCATAAACATTATGTTATTTTAGGTTTATGTGGTAATTATAATGATGATGATACTGATGATGTTAGGAGCAAAGATGGTACTGATTATACTGTTGATGATGCTACTGTTGATGATGCTTTCCTCTTATCATGGAGGTAAGTTTCAGTTCGTGTTGGTGTAGAATGGCACTAGCTTATCTTTTGAGATGTATTAACCAACTTCAAAGGAAAAGGGTTGCCTTTTCGGGGGTTGAACTGGGTCTTGAATATATATATGTAAATAGTCTTCAGAAGTACTAGAAATGTACGAAAATCACATATAATTCCTCAAACAAGGAATTTCTGGTTGTCTCTTCTATATATGAAACAGTCTCAAGAAATGATGTGGTACCTTTTGAAGTTTCAAACAAGGATATTTCTGAATGCACATGGATTTGAAGGCTAAAATTCTACAGTGACTTGTGATCGTTATTACTGATTAGCTTAGATAAGAAATTTACGTATCTGAGACTTAAGTACGATCGGACAAACAGATGTTGAACCTGTGTCTTTAAGCCTAATTTGGAGGGTCAAACGTGGTCTTAACAATTGCTGGTTTATTTTAGGATTGAAGATAGTGCTAGTCAATATTCAGGATATGTAGGAACATTGAATATGCCGACTCCTATATATTGCACTTGTTATGATGGGGAAGATCCAGTTTGTGGTTATTTTAATAATATTGATGACTGTGGAGTGACCACATCAGGTAAGTGGTGCTTATTTACTTCCTTTGATCAGACCAATATTCAGTAATGATTACAATTTCTAACTTGAGCCTGCTTGGATCAGGAGTCATCTTCCATATCTAGCCAACATGCCAATCTTCCATTTTGATCATTTAGTTCTTAAAAAAGTAAGTGAACTGTTGTTGGTTGTGTTTTGAACTGTTACAGGATGCATACATAATATTTTTGCTTGCCCGACAGGGAGATATACATGTGTCATTATGATTTATTTTAGGTGAGGAAATCACTCAAAGATTATTAGATGATGCAAAAGCACAAGCTGAACAACAAGCAGTTACCAGAAGAAAGAGAGCCACCAACTCATTTCAATATAATCCTGACTTTAATGCAGCAGCTGTAAGTATCAGTCAATTCTTTGGATTCTATTGTACAACAAGGTGGGGCTCGATTGAAGAATTCTGAACAAGTTTCGTCTGTTCCACTTCTGGCCTCAATCAAACGATATGAAAATGGATATGTCACATTAAAAATTTCCTTCTCTGCCATTTGGAATAATCAAATAACCCCCTGAAACCTGCAATTTCTAATGAAAAAGACATAAATTTTTATGCTATTTTTGCTTGGGTCTTCTTTGAAGTGACAATTTTATCTTAGTCAATTTGTTGGTTTAACAAATTCAAAGTGCCTACACAGATGCTTATTCTTTCGTAGAATGATCCAAAAGAATTCAATGCATACAGTCAGGTAAAATATCTGTTAAAATTGAATTTGACAACTGCTAGATTTTATATTAGTACCACTTTCTTTCAGTCTGCTACCTGGCCTACAGCATCTGGTATAACTGAAGCTAAAGCTAGAGAATTATGTACTAGCAGGATTCAGGTTTCTAAAGCCTTTAAAGCCTGTTCTAATTTCTCAGCAACAAACTATGCCACTGAAATCAACAACTGTGTTACAGATGTTAAGGTAGGAATAGATTGTTCACTTCTGTTACTAATTGCAGCCAATGGCTCAGTGAGTTAAACGCCTGCTCACAAGCCTGAAGGTCTAGAGTTCAATTTTGACGTAAGTGAAGATAATCCCTTGTTTTCCATTTGACGGAATGCAGATTCATGGAGACTGACTACGTCCGAGGGAGCAGGGGATCTGTGATTGCCCGAATTTCTAATCTAACCGAAAAACATGCTTTCGGGGCTGCGATGAGGGTCGACTGCCCCCTCTCCCCCCTCTCACCCCTCATTTGGCTCCATCACTGATTAAACCAAGATTAAACCGTGATAGTTCCAAAAAAAAAAACCAGAAACAGCAGGCTAATGCATCTTACTAGACAAAATTCTCCCATTGCACACTGTATGGAGTTGATGAAGAATGATGCCTGATAATGATATAGTTGATAATAAAGATATATTTGGTTTGTATTTGTAGCTAACTGATGATATATCCTGGGCAGATGCTACATTAGCAGACATACAAGAACAGTGTGAAATTGATGTATTGAAAAATCCTGAAAATTGGGTCAATCAGTCTAATGGTATTCCAGCTCTACCAACAACTATAACTACATCACTTTGTCTAAATGATTGCAGTGGAAATGGAACATGTGTTGATGGTAAGTACCTTTCTAGTAGCAATATACATTGTCTTCATGATTGTAGTGGAAGTGGAACATTTGTTTCTGGCCAGTATGTTTCCAGTGGCAACACACTTTGTCCTAAAGGGAATGTAAAGAGGTTCTCTGAAATTTTTGTGGATCAGGGACACTGATAGCATCAATTTGCAACATTTCAATTTTCAATCTGACGTCTTTGTTTCCTGAACTACCACTAAAACTAAGTGTTTGATGATGTCACTAATCCTGAAGGCTGTATGTGATAGAGGCATATTTCACAATTAGTAATGTCATCAAACACTTAGTTTTAGTGGAATTGCAGACATTGGATTGCAAATTGATATTTTACAAATTGATGCTGATACACATACAAATTAAGAAAACCTCTTCACAATCCCTTTAATGGAAGTGGAAATTGTGTTGATGTTAAGTACGTTGCTAGTAGCAACACCCATTTGGTCTTTATTTACAATCAGTCATTCAATCAAGACCAAATGGCTGGAACCATGAACCACGTGAATATTTAGTGGGTTAATCTTAATATATTTTAGGATCATGTGACTGCAATACTGGCTATGCTGGTATAGATTGTTCATCAACTACTACTGTAGCCCCTACAGTCCTACCTGGCTCCAGCAACGCTTTATGTGATCAATCTACAGCTTGTGACCAGATCGTAATCAGAGGAGATAACTTCCACCAGTCTTCTAATTGTCATATGGAAGAGATTGAGGTAAGATTGTGCAAAAATAAAAGCACATTCATCAATGGACATACCTGGTGCTGTAACCCAAAATAAAATTCAGCGATTTTGTATTATATTTTGGGGTATCCACTGATGAAGAATATAACAATCCTTACACCCTGACATTTGAAACTACTTGCAACTTTTCAGTACCATTTTTTCATTGTTGGTACATTCAAAAATGTTAGATAGCATCATGGTAAATTCTTATGCAGTAGGGAGTTGGATTATTGTCTGCTAGGCGATTAGGTGCCCTTGTTTTAAATCCTCCTCATGGTACGAAAAATTCTGATGCCTGTGCCAGTAATTTCGAAAGGCAGCTAGTCGTATGCTTACAGATTGAAACAAATATCAGAAGCTTCAGCTATTGGTAGAGTGTGAGTTTTTGCCTAACATCCTTATTCTAATACCATTTTGTTTTCTTTCTAGATCGACGAATCTGGTATTAAATCAAGAGGGGAAGTGTTTTTGATTGCTGCAAAATATAGAAGTACATATGAAGTATCATGTCCTATGCCTAATGATGTTAAGAGAAGCTATGCCATACGTATCAGCAATAATGCAGGTGATAAGTCATTTGCTGAGGCATTATTCAGTGTCTATGATCCAAAATGTTTAGCTTGTACAGTCAGCTCTAAGGATTCAACTGGAACCTGTCCGAGAAGGGTAAGTCTTTTGCTAATTGACATCATTGTTTTTTTTTAAATCTTAGTTCATGACCAAGTTTGAAAATGAAGATCAAGGACCTATTTTATGATAAATTTGGATGTTCAGTTACAGGCTCTTGTCTATGCACTTCGACAGAGCTGTCATATTTTTATTCTCATCCTCGACACTCGTCTCCCCATTAAATCTCAGTCTTCCCCATTCTTGTACTCCCAGTCTCGAGTGTCGACACTGCCCTCTCCGAGAAAAATCTTCTGATTATTTTTCAGGCCGTGGCTATTCGCACTGCGATGGTACAAAAATGGTCATTAAAAACATATGACCATCCCTACTTAACCCTAACAAAGTCACTTAATATCAATCTTGACAATCAAAATGGCTTCACTCTTTAAAAAAAAAAACCCAAAAACTAGCACGCCTATTGTGTCCTATCTTATCCTTACCGTTGTTAGCAGCAATAGAGAACATGCATCGTTACGGTCTAAATAGCCAGTGCATATTTTTTAATACAAAATTCCACTCCTAAGACATAGGATTTTTTATGTATCATTGTCCAAGATTTCAACAATACACATATCCATTTTGGTATCGAAATTGTAAACCTTTATCAAATCCAATTTCTATGCCTGTTTGCGAAGCCTCTATCATACAATACTTGTAAGTTTTTATGTTCTCATTTTCAGAGTGATGTATGTCATATTGAAAAAAAATGTATTCAACCAAATAGTATTAAAACCGGTGAACCATGCTATATATGTAATCCTCCAATATCTACAACTTCTTGGTCCAGCACAGGAGGTAAGTAAATAAAGTAGGTCATTAGTATATAGCAAAATGAACCATTTTTTTACAAAGAATAATAACTTAGGTTTATAAGGATCCTTTCTACCAGCCAGTCCATGTTCAACAAGGATCCTTTCTACCAGCTGGTCCATGGTCAACGAGGATCCTTTCTACAAGCTGGTCCATGGCTAAACCTCTTGGCATTGATCTTTCACAGATTTTCCATATAACCCATTTACAGCTGGGCCAACTAGAATAATGAGGAAAGGTTACCAGACTTTCGCATGCCGACTTAGATTATAAACACACGACCACCACAAATGATATCAGGAAAAGTTTCCAAAGTTGTAAAACGGTGTGTAAATAATTTTTGGATTGTTTGTTTCAGCATCTGGTTGCCCATCACCACCACCACCAACAAAATCACCAACTACGAGTAAACCAAAGATAGATATGACCGATAATGATACACGTACAGCTATTATTGTATCTGGTACCATAGCTAGTACTATATTGGTAGTTATCATACTAGTGTCTGTAGTCTTTTATAGGTAGGTCTCTCACATTTTCGGTATATTTATCAATTTGCAAGGGCAAGGTTAGAATGTTCACAAATTGTTCATTTGAAAGTGCAATTTCTTAGATGGTTTCCCAATGCTTTGGTATTTTAATATTTGGCATTTTGATTTATCACTATTGCATGTAAAGAAACATACACCTCGAAACCCTTGATATGCAGGGCAAATATTCATGTCATTTTATCTAACCAATAACTTAAGTTGTGAAACCTGCATCCTCTTTCAATTTGCCCCATTAGCCATTTTTTTGCATGAATTGAAGTCGGGGCAAACATCCCAAATTGATATCCCATTTTGTTTCATTGAACCAAATTGGCCAAGAACGTAATCTTTTTCAATCAAATATATGACAGGTATATCAGCCCTGTAAGATCAAATCGTTGATAATAGTCATATGCCTTTAAAGGAATACTACCTCATAGAATAAACATAAGATTGGCCTTGGACAATTATGGTATCTATATATTATATTCTTCTTTGGACCCACTCAGTGCTATAATTGTAGAGCAGAATCCCTCTATAATCCAATAAATCCATAAAACTAAGTAATAATTACATTCTTTTACGGATTATACAGAGATACTGTTGTTAAGTTCACTGATGAATATATACTCTTATTGACAAAGTTAAATTGTATGTGCATTACAAGAGGTAATATATCTTTTTAATGAATACAAATAATATATATAAGATCATGTTTTTTTTTTATTTGTAGGAGACATATGTTAAGAAAAGAAAGAAAAATACCATCCTATTCAGGCTCAGATGATGGCATATACAACAATGGAAGTCGAGTCTATGATGGTTTCCATGGTTTACGGACCGAAAACACCTTAACTCTGCGACCAAGAGAATATCTAGGTGGAACCTTATAACAATGGCAATACATTAATGATAAAAGGGACAAAAAAGCAATGATTTGTAATTCAATCAAATTTGAGACTAAATATCCATTAAAAAAATAAATGAAAACTTCATTCATGGATTCAAAATTCAATTTATCTTAAATCTTTGATAACAATAACTTTTATGTCCCTTTGAAATATTATATATTCATATACAACTTTTTTTGTAAATATATTCATATTTTTATACAGGTATACAATACTAACCGAGAATTTCCACACTATTTGTTACATTTTTGCACTTATTTTTATAACTAAGATTTTATGTTAATTTTTTGGAATGTTCATTTATTTATTTCATAGTGCTATTCTGTATTTCATGTTCTTTTCTGCTGGACAGAATTGGATCGATATTAATTTTTGCAATTGCATTTTAGTCACAATTCTATATTTTGAATGGATACCTGGAGAATGGAGAAGAAATTTTACAAAATCACAGAGTCCAAATTTGAAATAGATAGGAAAAATTTGTTACGTTTTTGTTCATTTTTCTTGTTCACTTTTGTCAACTTTGTTCATTTTACTTTAGATATGTATTTGTTAACTTGTTCAATTATGTTCACTTTGTTCATTTTACTTTAGATATGTTAATTTGTTCGTTTTACTTTAGATATGTATTTAATGACTTTGTTCATTTTCTTTTAGATGTTAACTTTGTTCAGTTTACTTTCACCATGTACGGTATTTGTTAACTTTCTGCATTTTAACTGAAAAATTAAGCAACAATGAAATGTAAAGCTCAACATATTTGATTTCATTAATTATGGATTATATTACATACAATTAGTCAATTAGTAGCAATCAAAAGCAACCAATTCATTCAGGATTCAACATTTCTATATTTTTGAGCATGTTTTAATAATTTATAAACTTTTTCTCATGATTTACTCATTTTTTTGTTAAAATCAACATTCCAATAAATTATATATTCATGTTGCAATTATCTGTTTGTTTAATTTTGTCATAAATAAAGGAGGATACATAGGTATCAAGTAAATATCACTATTTCTGAATTTGTGACCGTCCGCACAGTTCTGCATTTGCCTGAGCACTCTTTCACCATTTTTTGCATGGATAGATCTGCATTTGCATGATTCCTAGATCACCCTTAAAGTATGGGCTGCTGCTCCTATGAATCTAGCTACAAAAAACTCCAACAGAGGGATTTGATGGCCTTTGGGGGAGGTGGCGGAGTAATGTCTTCGTGTTGATGAAATAACAGACGGAATTAAACTGAATATTTTGCGCAATCAATTTACACAACAAGTATCGTCAGCATCATTTTGAAAACCTCGTCGTCATAGCTTGACTTTTTTCAAAATTGTTCAAAAATTAAAACAATGGTCCTTAAAGGGATTGTAAAGAGGTTTTATGTGTCATCAATTTGCCACATTCCAATTTTTAATCAGAGGTCCGTGGTTCTTGCGATTACTATAGGAAAAGCTGTTATTGATATAATTATAAGGACATTGGCAACAGTAACGTCATAAAACGCATAGTTTAAGTGGAATTGCAAGAAAAACAGACGTCTGACTAAAAATTGGAATGGTGCAAGTTGATGCTATCAGTGTCCGCGGTACACTTATTAGTTTTAGAAAACCTCGTTTCAATCTCTTTAAACATTCATAATTATTATGGTTACACAAGAGCAAGGATTCATCTCGAAAAAAAAACTTAAGTCCCAGTTGCAGCACTGCCGTTTCTAGACATCAAAATACCATAGTTACTTTTGCACAACTCTCTTACAAAATATAGTTAACCAGAAAGACAATTACCCTATAAAATACCCAAAACACACATACCTGTGAAGTTATTTGAAGGAAATAACTATGATGAATTAGCCAGATTAGTTATTTCACAAAGGTTGAAATAAAGTTTCCTTCTACTTCAAAGACCAAGATAAAAGTAAAGTTTCTGACTGGATAGGTGATGAAACTCACTGACAACTCACTAAGCTGACCAATGACAGAAGGTGACAAAGTCCAGTGAGGTCAGTTCAGTTAAGAAAATAAGAGATGGCAATAATAAGAACATTAGTATTAGGTCAGTGTAAAGTAATTATGTGCTTATTAAAACCGTAGTGGTGCATTAAGATAAGACAACAATTAAATAAAACAACCAAGTTTCTTTAAAAATGCACCCTGCCACATACTCCCTCCCTACGGGAAAAAATGTCGTCTCGACATGAAACTAAACTAAAAAAAAATATATGAAACAAACCAAATTAAAAACTATGAGCAAGCTTTAAAGCCTCACTAACTAATTTCCTATTCTTACGTGACAAACCATGAAACTCTTCAATCTGTAAATAATCAAAAACCTCAACAATACTAAAACTAACTGAAGGTGTAGCTGATTGTTGCATGACAAAATTTGAAAACTTTGAAGATAATTTACGTCGTCTTCCTGATATTCGAGGCACAGGGGATGATTCCTCACTATTATCACTAACAGGTTCTTGGAGCTGCGGCTCCACTGGATCCAACTCCTGCTGTGATTCCTCATCTGCTGATAGCTCTACTGTGGGGCTAGCTGAAGGATCGAAAGACCTATCCCTCTCCACATAGGCAATTGCAAAATCATCATCACTAATATCCTCGACATTATCATGAATCTCTGGTTCCGGTTCAGGTCTTCTTTTTCGTCTTGGTTTAGGTACAGGAGCTGTGGGGACAGTTCCTATGGGCAAAAGATGATTACGATGTAATCTTCTAGTGGTTCCCTTACCATTCTCCAACTTCAGATCGCAAACTGGGACATCTGGATTCGGCTTGTCTACAATAACAAAGACGTTGTTTTCCCAACGATCAGCAATCTTATGCCGTCCATCCCTAAAAACTTAGCGTTTGACAAGAACTCGGCCACCTGACTCTAAAACAGAGTTTCTGGCTTTCTGGTCGTATGTTTTCTTCTGTTGGTCTTGGGATCTAGAGATTTCTTCTAAAGCAGCATGGTAAACACTTTCTAGTTTCTTTCTTAAATCGCTTACGTACTTAACATATAATTTCCTTTCATCTGGAGTGATGATACCAAGGATGATATCAATAGCAAGGTTTGGCTTCCTTCCAAACAATAACTCAAAAGGAGAATATCCCCAACCAATGTGCATTAAAGGTAAGATTTCAAACTAATACCTGTCAAAATTTCATCATCCTATCTCAAGTGGTTTGGCCGTGGTGAAGCTGCAAAGTTTCGATTTTCAAAAAAGGCAAAATTGGCAAATTTCAACAGGTAGCTACCTGTGGTACCAAAATCCATTTTTGGGTCGAATTTTTTTGGTCTCGGAAATCGATGTAACCCGGTTTTTTGGACTCGGTGCTTCTCTAGCTCTCCCCCAATGTGCATAAAAGTGAATTCTGAGCACTTTTTTTTTTGCGGAAAAGTGCCAAAAAATCCGGTTTTTCATGGACAAAACTAAAACGCTCAGTGCTTCCAAAGTAGGGCAGATATGGAATCGCGGTTTGTGGCGCTGCAAAGCTAAGTTTTCAAACTAATACCTGTCAAAATTTCATCATCCTATCTCAAGTGGTTTGGCCGTGGTGAAGCTGCAAAGTTTCGATTTTCAAAAAAGGCAAAATTGGCAAATTTCAACAGGTAGCTACCTGTGGTACCAAAATCCATTTTTGGGTCGAATTTTTTTGGTCTCGGAAATCGATGTAACCCGGTTTTTTGGACTCGGTGCTTCTCTAGCTCTCCCCCAATGTGCATAAAAGTGAATTCTGAGCACTTTTTTTTTTTGCGGAAAAGTGCCAAAAAATCCGGTTTTTCATGGACAAAACTAAAACGCTCAGTGCTTCCAAAGTAGGGCAGATATGGAATCGCGGTTTGTGGCACTGCAAAGCTAAGATTTCAAACTAATACCTGTCAAAATTTCATCATCCTATCTCAAGTGGTTTGGCCGTGGTGAAACTGCAAAGTTTCGATTTTCAAAAAGGCAAAATTGGCAAATTTCAACAGGTAGCTACCTGTGGTACCAAAATCCATATTTGGGTCGAATTTTTTGGGTCTCGGAAATCGATGTAACCCGGTTTTTTGGACTCGGTGCTTCTCTAGCTCTCCCCCAATGTGCATAAAAGTGAATTCTGAGCACTTTTTTTTTTTGCGGAAAAGTGCCAAAAAATCCGGTTTTTCATGGACAAAACTAAAACGCTCAGTGCTTCCAAAGTAGGGCAGATATGGAATCGCGGTTTGTGGCACTGCAAAGCTAAGATTTCAAACTAATACCTGTCAAAATTTCATCATCCTATCTCAAGTGGTTTGGCCGTGGTGAAGCTGCAAAGTTTCGATTTTCAAAAAGAGGCAAAATTGNG